TTCACGTGGTGGAAGTACACCAACCATCAAGACCCTTTGAAGGTAAATCAGCCAGGAAAACAATCCGTTACCTTGGATGAGGCAACTTCCTTCTCAGAACACATCTCCCATCATCTGGGAGGGTGACTCCCTTGATGGGGACCCAAAAAATATCACAGAGAGAGACCCGAGGCTTTTTTCCACCCTACGGTGTTCCTAACTTGAACAGAACACGCAAACGCACATAATGCTGCCAAGAGGACTCCAGGTGATCACATGAATCTCTTCCCTCGACACAGAAATTACTTCACTTTGATCTGAGAAGTACACAGGCACACACACACGCTATAGCCAAGGAATGCTTTAGTTTCTCTTAGTCACTGAAATGCTTACCACCTCTCAGGAGAATGGCAGGTTTCAGGAACACCACAACCTATGGAATAAACATGAAACTTTCAGGAAGGCCATTCAATACTACAAAGGTTCTCTGATACATCACAGTAACCCCTTTCATTCATGGATACGAAGACCTAAAGTCAGAGCCTCACAAGGCTCTTCCTCAAGAGACTTTGGGAAGAACCTCATTTCTACAAATCAGTGATGGCCAAACTGAACAACAAATATCCCAAACACACTCCACACACACATAATGATGATATACTAATACTTATCCTGTATGTGAATTTCTTGCATTCTACAGACTTAATATACAACATTCAGCAAGACCAAAAGACATGGGAACAATCGCACAGCCTTGTTCATTCCATTATTCAACAGACTTACAAGGAGACTTCTGCATGCTTATACAGCGGGTACACTCAACGAGTGGGAAATCATTGCTAGTATGACAATTTATGAGAAAAAGGAAAGAAATTAATACATGAAGGACACTACAAGTATTGAACAGAGACACAAAGACAGACACACAGAAAGATCAACAGACAGTAGACAGACAGACAAACACACATACACACACACACACAAACACGCAGACACCCAGGAGCCCTGACTGTATCAAAAGCATGTCGAATGTTATCTGCAACGGCGAAATGCTCACTTATGCACTAACTAAGATGAACAACTTTCAGCACTGAGAAAGGAGTCAAAACCCAGGAAAACACGATGAAATGATGTCGGATCCACCAAATTTCACTTGAAGGAAGGACTCCGACCACCATATATAGCCAAGAACAACTAAAAGACCATAAATCCAGAAGATCATGCCTGCAGCCATCACTCTGAATCAAAAATCAATTCTAGCAGTCCGGTAACATTCACGAATAACCATACAGAGAATGTGATCATATATCATAGCGAAATCGGATCTTTCCTCCTCAGAGAATTGATTTACAGTTGATGTAGAAGAACAACATGAAATATCTGCTTTCAAAGTAGCAATCTTGACTGGCATTATTAGGAACTGAACAATTTCATAAAGGAACACATAGATCCAGGAAGTATTTATTAAACACATTATAACACACCTCACACATAACCACAACTACCCGAAGATGAACACTTAGGATCCATAATTAATAAAAACTATTTTGGAGGTAGGTGAATTATTGTGACTTATCAATCTAAGAAAAGATACCTTTCGGCAGAAAAACCACATACTTACGAATAGCTGAAAACACTGGTGATGATGAACGTCTTCAAACTTTCACCGCCCGTGCTTTTAATGGACTCTTCAGAGTTCTCAGGTTTGAACTCAGGGCTTTGACCTGCTAGGCAGATGCTGCACAGCCTGGGCCACACCTCCAGCTTAATGATTCCTACTTTTAGTGACAGGATAAAAACGACACGACCTGAAACATCTAATTTCAATAATTTACTGAGTTTTCTTTTTATTAGATTATTACCAAATAATTACTTATTAATTATAACTCAGACACATTTTCTATGAATACCGCATGGCTGTTAAAAAGCAAATAGGAGCTGGACACTAGTGGCCCAAAATGTAATCCTAGCTATTTGGGAGACTGAGATCGGGAAGATAACAGTTTGAGGCCAGCCTAGAAAACAGTTCATGAGACTCCATCTCCAAAATAACCAGAGAAAAATGGACTGGAGGTGTGGCTCAAGTGATAAGAATATCTGTTTTGCTTTGCAAGTGCAAAAGCCCTCAGTCCAAACCCCAGTTCCACCAAAAAAAAGGCAGCAAATAGAAGCTGGGTGTGGTGGTGCACACCTTTAATCCCATTACGCAGGAGCTGAGGTAGGAGGATCATGAGTTCAAGGCCAACCTGAGCTACATAAGGAAACCCCAGCTCAAAAAACAAAACAAACAAAAAACGAATAGTATTTTTCTTTAGAGCACACAATCCTTTGTTTTATCTATAAAAATACACTTGTTGATTGTGTTAATCAAACCCAACATCCTTACTTACTCAGAGTTTTTACTCTTAGTCTAACCTACTTTGATGTTATTCCTTCTTTTCTGTTTTATACTTCATGCTATTGCTTTTTTGTAACCATTTATGACACTGTGACATGATCATCCCTTTATATCCTCAGGGCACTGTTTCCTGGACTACCCATTACCCCCAGACACCCAAATCATTGGATGCTCAAGTCCTTATGTAAAAGAGTAGTGTTTGCATATAATTCCACATACTTTAAATCATCTCCAGATTACATATAATACCCAGTACAAGATAACAATGCTTAGGATGTAAACACGATGTAAACAGTTATTACTGTATTGTTCAGAGAATAATGACAAGGAAAAAAAGGTCTGCACATGTTCAGCAAAGACACGTTTTTTTCCCCCAGAATACTTTTGATTTGTAGTTGGTTGAACCTATGGATATGGACCCCATAACATGATGGGCTGAATTTATGTATTATGCCCTCCTCCAATTACTGCTTCATGACATAACAACTCCTAACACCCTTGGAATCTCCCAAGTGCCAAGTGTCTTAGTTTGTTAGTGAGCTAACTGCAGGCTGGCAGTGTCTGGAAGCCCCTTATAGGGTGGGCCACAGCAAAGACTAAGGCAGAATTAGAAGACTGAGCTTTCGCCCTCTGCCTCACACCCAACTCCAGGAAGGGGAGAGGGACTTAAGGTGAAGTTGATCACTAGCGGACAACAATCTAATCAACGATGTGTATGTAATGAAGCCTCTATAAAAAACTGGAGAGACTGAATTCAGAGAACTTATGAACAGTGGAACGCAGAGAAGGTGGCAATCCTGACAGGGCCCCTTTTCCTACATTTGCCATATGCTTCTCTTTACCTATATCCTGTGTAATATAAATCTGTTTCCCTGATTTCTGTAAGCATCTACAGCAAATTAATCAAATCCAAGGAGGGGAACCCTGATTTACACCAAGTTGGTGGGCGTACAGGTAAGGCAACTGGGCTTACAACTGGCATCTGAGGTGGAGTCAATCTTTTGGGATTCAACCCTTAACCTATACGATCTGAGTAGACAGCATCAGAACAGAAGTGGATTAGAGGACACCTAGCTGGTGTCTGCTACAGCTTGCTTGCCTGCTGTGGGAAAACCCCTGCGTACCTGATGTCAGACATGTGTTTGACAGTTCAGAGGGAGAAACTAAATTTGTTACCAGACCATTGTTCTATGTTTTAGCCCCTTCTATAATTGTGATGACTTGGCAAAGTTTCTCTCCTTTTCCCTTCTTAAGTTATCCTTGTTTTTTGGGTTTTTTTTTGAGACAATATTCCAGTATGTAGCCCAGGCTGGTCTCAAACTCTCAGTTCTCCTGCCTCAGCCTTCCCAATGCTGGAGTTACAATTATTCTTGCTTTATAATCCTGCAATCCAATGTATCATATTCAATATTATTAGTTAACAAAATTATGCCCACCACATGCTTCTTTTACTCTTTCCCACCCACAACTTCTCAAAATCCTAGGTTTTGCTGAGTTTATAGTTCTTGGGTCTAAATTACCACTGAAGTCTCCCTGACTTCTATTCAAGAACTCTTACATAAGCTTTATACCACCATTAAAAGTTATGCCTTTTTCTTTTAAGTACTGGTGACAGAGCACATGCTAGATAGAGCCTAGTATGTGCTTTCACCAAGTTACATCCCCAGCCTAAATTTTCTAAAATTTTTAATCCCACAGGAAAAACTAACATAAAGGATACACATAGAACACCACAATAAAAGGTACCAAAATTTTCACTTTCTTTTCTATGCTTTTTGGCATTCATCCACCCTCTTGTCACAGCCCAACTCATGCCTCCCTTGACAATGCCCAGGGTGCCTACTGAAGCACCCTGTTCAGCCACATTCTGACCACAGCATCCATTCAAAAGCTGCCAGAGGCCTCAAGCTCCCCATCGATGGGACCTCTTCAGCAAGTGGGCCTTGCTTTCACCACCACATCTTTCTACCCTAAAACAACCATTCTTTTCCCAGTCTTTCACATGCCTTGCACACTGACGCAGGGTAAAGGCAAGAAACCGCCCACATGCTGAGATTTGGGAGGCATCACTCACCACTTTGTCCGGAGTGTTAAGGTACAAGTCGACGATGTAGCGAATCCTCTTCTGCAGCATATCAATGTCATCGTCTGGGTACATGAGCCGCATGAACTCAGGGTTCTCCAGAGTCTCTAATGTCAGCTGGCACATGGAAGCCTGGTTCTCTTTGGCAGCAACATGCATGACGTTGTACCTACATCCTTCCTGAAAGGAAACCACATGCTCTGAACTTCACGTCCAAGTCTTTTGTCACCAGTACAGTGACCACTTGGCATGACTGATGCTGATGGTAGACCTACCTGTACAATGGTTGGGTTGTCCCCAGAACCAATTAGGTATCGGGGGTTACTCCAGATAAGATCAGAAAAGGTGTCTTCTTCCCCCTTCTCCACAGCTTTCCGCAGCTTGGCAGTGAGGTCCTGTGTACGGGGATTTTTATAACTGTTTGCTCGCTCTTTGTTTACTGTTTCCAATTCAGACAAGCACAAACCATCTGTCATCAAGAGACAGAATTGAAGCAGTTTATTCCTGCTGGCATGTTCAAAGGACAGTGCAACAGAAATTCAGTACCTGGCATCACTGGTTTTCCTTTCTTTGTACATGTTAAACCTGGTACTTCTACTGATACCGTATTTTTATAGTTTTCTTGTACTAGTTTAGGTTGATACAGTCATAAACAGTAAATGTTTTTCTTTTTCTACAGTGTCAGAATTTGAGAACTAGGCAAATCTACTCTAAAAGTGATCCAAAAATAAATTCCTTGAAGAAATTAGATCCCAAAGATCTCAGATGGGGAATTTTGAAGTTGTCATAAATAATTCAACTCTGCAATTCAAGTGGTGTTATAATTTGAGTGGAGAAAAAGTGATAATTAAAGTACAGATAACAAGTAATAACTCAAGTGACCCAAGTAAAAAAAAAAAAAAGCCTAAATGAAAGAATTGTGGACTGACAGGACATCTGGATTAAGCATGAGATCTTTTAAAAAGGACTATCTTAAACAAAAATCAATCAGCCTTCGAGGTGACCTTACGTGTAGTGAATCAATTACAATATGTGATAAATAAAAATTATTAAATAAAAAGAGAGACAAGACAGAATTGAAAACACTTAACCTCACAGATGGTCTCTCCTAACACACTTTGTATTGCACTGATGCTGAAGCCTTCCCCAGAGGCTTGGCAGCCCTTGGGGAGTGCCAGGTGAGAAGTGGGGCTGGCAAAGCACATGGCAGTGGTCTGGCCTGCAGCAGTAATTCCAGTACACTGCTGAGTACGGTCAGATGGCTGAAAGGCTTTGGGAACAAGGCGTCATTTGGCACACTTTGAAAGATAAGCTGATTGAGGTGGGTGAACGAAGATTTAGGAGCAATCACAGGTGATCTCATCTCTTTCTCTTTTGTTTTTTTTTTTGGCAGTTCTGGGGTTTGAATTCAGGGCTTTATGTGTGCTAGGCAGGTGTGCCAGTCCTCACAGGCAATTGCCAACATGAATATGAGTATTCCTACAAAGCCTGAGTGGGAAGTGCACATGAATCACAATGCCTGAGAATGACTTAATGATTTCCCTTATGGGAACTTTCCCAAAATGTGAAGAGGAAAATAGTAAAAGACTGAGTAAGGAACAGGGGAGGGAGGCAGACGGGCCCTGACCAAAGGCCAACTGTCCAGGATAGGGCACCTTCCCTCCAAACCTGGCCAGTTGGGAAACACAGATAACTGTGGGAGACAGAAAGAGAGCCAAAGCCGAGTCTCTCCAAGCAGAACCCTGTCTCTGAGTTGGGCAGCAGATGTAGTCAATTCTGGCTCCCACAGGGAAGGTCAACTCTTGGGGATGCAGACTGGTCTCAGTCTTAATACCCTGAATCCAACAGGCAGAGTGACAAAGAGACAAATGGAAGGCACAATGGTGTTCTTTTTGGCACTTCTCCAAGGTCCATATGCTAAGTCTTGGCTGGTGAGCTTTAGAGCCCAAGTGGCTTTCCAAAACCACTCAATACCCAGGCCCTGTTCTTGTGTCCCCGAACCTCCCCAGTCCAGTTCTCAGCCCATTCCTCTTGTTCCATTACCAGGGCCTCAGCTCTCTACTTCCTGTCACACCAGAGTTCTCTCACAGATGGAGAAATGGAGTTCTAATATATCAAGAAAGAGACACAAAATACTCTGGAGTTACTGATGGTAATGCCAAGACATGAACCGCAATATAGTTTACCTTTCAACCCACCACTGCTAAAGAGTGGTGCTACTTTCACAGGAGACAGTGGTGATACAGCTTTGCTTGGAGAAGGGAAATAATCACAAATTCCTCTAGCAAATTTCTCAGCATCTTCTCTGGTTGGAAAAGCTTTAAACCGGGACCCTTTGATCATTTTGACAGCTTGCAGTGCTTCCTTTTTATCTTCATAAACATGGATCTTTTCTGGGTAGGAAAATTAGAGATGATAACTAGAACCCCTGAATGGAGATAAGATGCCAACTCTCCCTTTCCATATAGACTGTAATACATTTTAAAGGATGATAGCTTTCACTTTTACAAACTCTCTACATACTTTGTGGGCTTGTATTTCTCACCATAATTGTAAAAATAAAAACAATGTGCATTCATATAGTTATATGTACACTTAATATTAAATTTTAATATGTGTAAAATGTATTAGAGATAAAAACAAGGCTATAAATATAAAAATTTTTTAAAAGGCTTAGGTATGAGGCAGGAAAGAAGCTAACGTGGTTACTGCTAGCAAGCAGATCGGGATGAAGAGGAAACTTCACTTTCACTTTATACACTATAAATACACACACTATTCTCACAGCAACTTTTATAATAATAAAGATTAAATATCAATACAAGTTACATAATGACACTTCCCAGCATCACTAACTCTTCTTTAACAGAATCTGACAGGTGACCTGAAAATAATGGATGCAGCTCAGAGGTACAGTATTTGACTACTATGTGTGAAGCCCTGGGTTCATCCCCAGCACAGCAAAACAAAAACGACAAACAAAACAAAAAACAACCAAACAAAAAAACTATCAAAAACTTATGTTCATATTCCATTCCACCCATGGTGCAAATTATGTTCAACCAATTTCCTTTCTCAGGCATCGCCAGAAATGATAGCACAATAAGGATAAAAATGATATCATGCAATTTCTGAAATTCTAATCAACACTGAGTTCTCATTTTTTTTTTGATTGAAAATTATTTATACATTCATTGACCATTTGCATTCATTAACCTAAAAGGTATTCAGGTTATAATAAATTAAAAGGGGAGAGATGATTAATCAAAGAATGGCAGATAGCCAATCAGTATTTTTAAGTTGTGCATATCTTATAGAATACAGTTTTCCTCACAAATTTAAAAAATTCTTCCTTAGATTTATGAGAAACTCAGGAAGGCAACAAATGCCAACACTGGTGTTAGCCTTGGGCAACAAGTGAGGAGTCACTACGTGGTATCACATTACCATTTCTCAAAGGGCCATCGTCGTACACGGGGCACACTCCATAGTACAAGGCTGGCTCCTTCGGGGCTGTCACTCCGGCCCTGTGGGTGTCGATTCCCATGGAGGGACTGAAGGGCACTGGAAAGACCTTGGATACCACAGCCTCCTCCTCTGGAGGGTTCAAGCCCACACTGTAACCAAAATCTCTGTCTTCAGGAAACCTGGCCTGCTCAGTCATATTCCCTCCTATAGACGTGGAGATCCTTGGCGTGTCCTGGCTCAGCACTGCGGCAGCCACCTCACTGTGGCTGGGAAGAGAGGAAGGCAGAGCTCCACCTTGCTCTAGTAAAGCCTGAGCCAATTTCTTCTCAAAAATGAACCTTGTAGTTGATGTAATGGGTCCACATTTCAACCCAGCTTTGACAATTTCTTCTCTAAGGTCATCCGGATTCAGGAGTTTCAGTTGAGCCAACACAGCATCCATTGTCAGGTTACCTAGGTCCAAGACAGTAAAAATCAACTTGCTGGCACTCAATGGTAGAGCATATGCTTAGGGTGTTCCCAGTTACCCACAGGACTCCACTTTTTATGCAATCTGTGTCCTTACTCTAAAAGTCACGTTAAAAAAAAAAAACTGGGCCTAGGTGGGTGAGGGGTGGGGGAAGAGAGCAGGAGGATTGTGGTTTGAAGGCAGTCCAAGCAAATAGTTTATGAAACCCTATCTTGAAAAATACCCAATCAGAAAAGGGCTGGTGGAGTGGCTCAAGTGGTAGAATGCGTGCCTCTCAAGTGTGAGGCCCTGAGTTCAAACCCCAGTACCAAAACAAACAAAAAAACACCTGAGCTAATAGTTACAAGGGTTGTTTTGTCTCTGCAACCAAGCAAGGCTAAACAGAACTACATCGCCTTATGTTACATCACTAACAGCAACCCTGGGCAAGTTTTAAACTCTAAAGCCTCAGTTTCCTCACCTAAAAATGAACATAATAATAGCTTTACTCTTAGGTTATGAGAATTAGATAAAATAATGTACATAAAGTCTATCACTGTGTCTGACACTGGAATTATCCGTAAATGTCAGCTACAACTATTAAGCTATCAAGAAACACAGAATTATTAATCACAGAATGAGTAACAACATGCTATGAAGTCCGTTAGAATAAAAACAAATGCAAGATCAGGTGTGGTATTACATTCCTATAATCCCAGCACACAGAAGACTTGAGGCAGGAGGACTGAGAGTTTGAGGCCAGATTGGGCTACATAGCAAAACCCCGTCTCAGTTAAAAAAAAAAAAAAAAAAAAAAAAAACCCCAAAAAGCAGCAACAAAAATGTACACTAAAAGTCCTACTATAAGACACAGGGGTCTGCTCATGTGTACACACAGAAACAAAGGACAAGGCAGAAACTCATGAGATTTGGTTACTGACAGAGGTGGAAGAAACCAAGCAGAAAGAAAGGGATCGGAGGGTACTACTTCTGACTTTAAGACTCATTTATGATTCACACACTCAAGAAACAAGTAAACAATACCTATAATTCTACCTACTCAAGAGACAGAGATAAGGAGGATCGAGGTTCAAAGCTAGCCCTGGGCAAATAGTTCAAAAAACCCATCATAAAAAAGAGCTGGTGGCTCACACCTGTAAATCCTAGCTACTCAGGAGGCTGAGTAGGATCACAGTTCAAAGCCAGGCCAGGCAAATAGTTCTGGGAGACCCTATCTCGAAAAAAACCTTCATAAAAAAGGGCTGGCAAAGTGACTCAAGATGTACCTTGAGTTCAACCCCAGTACCACAAAAAAAAAAAAAAAAAAAAAAAAAAAAGGACTGGTGGAGTGGCTCAAGCAGTAAGAGCACCTGCCTAGCAAGTGTGAGGCTGAGTTCAAATCCCAGTGCTGCCAAAAAAAAAGTAGCAAAAAGATGGTGAAGATCCTCAAAATGAAACATAAACCAAAACAAGTGAACCTAACTACTGTAATGGATAATGTAAGAGTAGGGGAAAAGTAACACAAAAGACTTCAGGAAACAATATGCGACTCTAAAGACAGAGCACTATACCAATCACACTCTAGCTAGTGGACGTGTTTTTCACACTACCATAAGCAGGCATTCTGAAGCTATTTTACATGTACTTTAGGATGAAGCAAATAATTGGAATACATTATGGCTGATGAGAGACAGGCTTCTCACTGACAGAAAGGGACATGGGGCAAGAACAGGGATCAACAAGTGATTCCTGAAAGCACCAGAAAAGAAGCACCTGAGGTATTGTGAGCCACGAAGCCTCTCTGGCACTTAAGAACAGCTGCCAACAATACATCAACAAGACTGGTGGGGGCCATAATCCACTAACCCTTTGACTGCAATAAACTCAGTGCTGCTGCACTGGAGTTGAAGTACTGGCATAACCTCTTAGATAGACTGATACATAAATAGGCAGATAGAGACATGAGAAATTGGGTTAGGTCTGTAAATTGAACAATAGTGTTCCAACACTGTTAATTTCCTGGTTCTCATATTTGTAGTGTGATTATATAGCATATTAACATTTGTCAATGGTATACAGAATTTCTTAGTAACTTTATTTTGAATTGTAGACTCACAAAGAAGTTGCAAAAGCTATACCGAGAGTTCCCATAGACCCACTGTTAACTTTCCACTTCCCCTAAAGGTTGACCCTACATAACTATCATGCATTATAAAAACCAGAAAAGTGACCTCACATAATACAGTGAACAGATCTTGGACCTTGTTAGTCTCTGCAGGCACTCTTTAAGTCTTTGTGCAGAATTTCCTGACAGTCTGACCAAATGTACACATTTCTGTACCCACCATGAGGACACAGAACTGTCCCATCACCAAAGACCTCCCTCTTGCAGCCCCTTACAGTAGTGACATCCAATCTTCCCCACTGTCCCCAATCCCTGGCAATTATGACTTTGTTCTTTATCACCATGGTTTCATTTGGAGAATGTTAGGTAAGTGAAATCATACAGTACAGATTTTCTGAGATTGGCTTTTCTCACTCAGCACAGGGCCCCTGAGTTCCATCCAGGGTATTGAGTGGACCCTGCTGAGGAGCACCCCAGTGTATGAATGTGCCAATCTACTGTCCCCTTAAGGGATATCTGGGCTGTTTCCAGTTTTGGGCAAGGTTGTGATGAACATTCACATATAGTTTTGTGTGAAAAGTTTTCATTTCTTTAGGACAAAAGCTCAGGAATGCAGTGCCGACTTAACTTCCTTGAGACACTGCCAGACTGATCTTCAGAGCAGCTGCACCATTTAACATTCCCACCAGCAACATAGGAAGACCTGGTTTCTCACAATCTCTACCAACTTTTGGAAATGTCAGTATTTTTTTTTTTAATCTTAGCCATTCTCACAGCTATGTAGGGACATCTCATTTTAGGTTTAACTCTTTTTTTTTTCCCATGAGCTGATAATGTCAAACACCTTTTCACGCATTCAGCTGATATGTACTATTTTTGTAATCTTTTGTATACCTAAAATGATTTAAAAATAAATACTAAATCTTTGAAAGAAATTCTTAACTGGAAAGAGACGCTGCAAACTCTAGTGTCTTAGTTCCATGCCCTACAAGTCACACTCATTTGTCTGCTTTCATGTTTCCATTCTCAGTGTCCTGCTCGGAGTTTGCAGCAGTATTGACAGTGTACAGGGACAAATAAGAACTCTATTTACTAAAGGTGGCCCTAACACTTTAAGGGGACAAAAAAAGGTAAAACCCAGAATGATGAAGGGTGCTAGACCCATTGTCCACAGACCTACATCCCATCTGGCCTCTGCCACAGCCTTGCTTGATACCAGCAGTATCTTAACAGTTTATACATGTGTTGAGGACTGCTGAATTTTTAATCTCTAGATTTTCCCTGGGGGACACCAGTCTGAGACTCACAGTGACCCTCAGTTCTACACTGATGATACAAGTACCAACAGTAACAGAACAAAGCAAAGTTTGTAAGCGCTCAGTAATGAAGTTAGTCAACTCTCAAAAAACAAACAAAAACAAAAACCCTTACTAAGTGCTACTATTACTCCTGTCTTACTAATGAGCGGAAGCTGAAAACCAGAGTGGATGATGTTGAGATGTCCCACAGGAGTGAGTGATGGAGCCGGGAGCTGAACCCACACGGCCTGATGCGCTAATCCCCACTAAAGTGACACCTCAAATTTAAAGTTACCAGAACCCTTCCTGATCTCTCCTCACCCAGACCCGACGGATCCAGCCTAAAGCAATTCTTCCATTTCCTCTGGCCTCAAACCCCGGAGTCACACTCGACTTTTCTTTCTTTTATCCTTTGGCCAGAAACAGTAACTTCCTTTGTCTTCACACTCAAAACACTTGCAGAAACCAGCAAGTTCCTACTCCCGGCCCCTGGTTGAGGCCACCCGCCCCGTCTCTCGCGACTAGGGCTTTCCCGAAGCTCCGAAGGCCCTTCCCCCGGAAATCCACACCGCCCGGGGAAGCAGGGTCTCTCCTACAGCGTCCACCGCGACTGGGATGCCCCTTCCGCCTGACAGGGCGACATCTCCCGCCTCCCGGAATAAAAGTCCCGCTTCCCCTCTGGCCGGGTTCCCGCCGGCGGATGTCCGTTCTCCGCACACCGGATCCACAGCGACCTCCGTTCGGAGGTGGAACTCGAGTCTTGGGCCCGGCTAGGCCTTGGGCCCGGCTAGGCCTTGGGCCCACCGGCCGACTTGCCTTACCTGGGCTGGGGGCTGCGGCCGGGTGGGGCTGCGGAGTGGATGTACCGCTCCGGCCCAGGCCCCGCGGCCGCTTCTCCAGACGCCGCACCAGCCAGCGCACAGCGATGAGCAGTACCGAGGCGCCCAGCAGTTCCCAGGCCAGAGCCGCCCACTCGGCCGCCACCAGCCGTGACCACAACATCGCCGCGACGCCCGCTCCTAGAAGAGCGGGTCCTGCGCCGTCGGCTGCTCGCGTCACTGCCTGCGCCGTCGGCTGCTCGCGTCACTGCCTGCGCCTCACTCCCCGCAGGTCCCCACCCGGCTGCCCACGCCGCTGCCTGCTCGAGTCGGCCGGCGCAGGGCGGGTAGGGCTGCACGCGTTAGTCCAGCGTCTCCCACTCAGGGCAGCCCAGCCAGGGAGCGCGGTTGCGACCCTGGCCCCAGCGGCGCGGGCAGGGAGGTAGCGGCGGGGTTGTGATTCGAGCGCGGGGCCGTCAGTCAGTGGCGCTGGTAGCCACGAGGGGTCCTGAGATGAGCGCGTCGTTCCGACGCTCATGCTGCCCCGGGAGCTGCCGGCTGGGAGCGTGCGGCCCCCGAAGTCTCTGCACAGCTGATCTGGTGGGCCGTGTCCTCCCTACGGAGCTGGCAGTGGCTTCTCTGCGCAGCTCCGGACCTGAAGGAAGGTCGAGGGCCTGGGACCCGGAGGGGGCGGGGCCCGTCGTGGCGTGGGGAGACCTGCAGAGGGGACTGAACCGCAGAGTTGAAGTGGACGTGGCGGCATTCTACAAACCCCGCCCTGCAAACGCAGCTGCTCCTCTGGAGCAGAGTGATTTCGCCCCCCCCACCCCCGGCAAGATGGCCGTGACAGTCTTACAGAAACAAACAAGTTTGATAGCTCACGATTTTAGAGAACAAGCTTTTTCGATGGCTAAGCAAGCAGTGAACTGTCCAGTTGCACTACGTGCTTAAGAGAAATGTTTCCCGTTTCTTAGTCCGAGTTCGTTTCTACTTCTCGTCCCTTAACCTTGAGGGCAGAGGGCTTCCCTGAGGAATGGAGGTGGCGATCCCCACCAACATTCCTGCAGAGGGACATGGGGAGGGGGAGTACTGACAACAAAGTGGCGTGGGGGACTTGGGGCGCTGATGGAACCATTTGCATCTTGACTGTAGTGGTGGTTACCCAGTTGCAGATGCTTGTCAAAACTCTCAGATGTGTACAAGATTTATTAATTTTCGGGGATTTTGGCTGTATGGGGTTTGAATTCAGGACCTTGTGCTTGCTAGGCAGGTGCTTTATAAACTTTTTAGTGAAAGAAGTAAAATACAGACGTACATACGTATGTATAATTGATGTCTTAGTTTTTAAAAAGAAAAGCAGTTAGGGCTGGGGTATACCTCAGTGGCAAGCACTAGCATTTGAGAGGCCCTGGGTTCAGTCCTTGGCACTGTGGGGAGAAAAAAGTCACTGCATAGTACCGTTTGGCACAAAGTACGAAAAGGTCAGTAAATTTGAAGATGGACGAAATGCAAGTTAAAACCACAGTGAAAAAAAAAAACCACCACAGTGAGAAACTGTTTTACACCAACAAAAATGACTAAAATTAAGACATCACTCGGGTCTCAGAGGTAGATGACAAAGGAAATGTATCCTTTGGAAAGCGTCATTATATAAGATGCACACGTTGTGCAGCTCTAAGGCCCACCACCTTTAGAAGTCGTGCGTACTCTGCCAAGCGCAAGTGAAAGTGTAACTGGAGTGCCAAGGCTGAGAGACAAAATACTACAGGGACTGGTCAAAGTGGGCACCTAAAAATTGTGGCAGATTCAGCCTTGGATTCTGTGAAGGAACACCACCTAAACATAAGGGCAGCTGTTTCATATCTGATTCATCTTAAGAATTTTGATGAGTAGTCACACAGTAAATGTTTGGTTTTAAAAACTTTTAAAAAATGATCAGATTTTGTAAGGATGTGCAGCAATTGCTGAATTCTCGCAGCAATTGCTGAATTCTCACACATGATGGATGGGAGTGTAAAATGAGTTAACCACTTTAGAAAATACTGATGTAATCCCCCTCTCCATTTTTTTTTTAGACAAGTTATCATTATGCAGGGTGGTCTGACCTGGAATTCAGAATCCTCCTGCCTCAGCCTTCTGAGTACTGGGATTATTGGTTATGTGCTACCACACCTGGTGGAAGTAATTTCTTTCAAAATGACTGCTTGGGGCTGAATGTATGTGTCCCCCTTCTCCCCCCAAAAACCTGTTGAGTCTTTATAAAGAGACCTGTGAAAGACCCCTAGCCCTTTCACCACCAGACAAGGTCACAACATGGTGGCATCTATGAACCAGGAAGTGGGCACTGGACATTGAATGTGCAGGCACCTTGGTCTTGGACTTCCATGCTTCTAGAAGTGCGAAGAACTTCTGTTGTTTATAAGCCGCCTGGTTTATGATTTTTTTTTTTTTATCGTAACAGGCTAAGACAGCCTTCCTGTGGCTCAGGAACACAGTTCTAGGAATGTCAGGAATAAAAATCCACTGAACATTACAAATGTTCATACCTGAGTTATTCATAATAGCTCCAAAATGGAAGCACCTCAAATGTAGATTGACAAATTGTGGAATTGTCATATGGTGGTACACCATGCAGCAACATGGGCAAATATGAAAAACACACCCAGCGAAAGATGTCAAATACCAGAGACTGCGTAAGACCAGGCAGAGTTTATGGTGGTAGAAATCAGAACAGCATGGAGAAGATAGGATTGTGGTTCAAAGGCAGCCAGGCAAAAAATTAGTGAGATCCCATCTCAATAAGCTAAGTATGGTGGTGTGCACTTAAACTTCTTAAGGCAAATTTAGATATATTTCAATTTAATCCTAACAGACTAAGGCAGGTAAAGTAAACTGATATTCCCTGAACAAACAAAAACAAACAAAAAGCCCAGGAAGAAGCCCTCTAGCAGCAGGAACAGCTAGTAATGTGTTTTGTTCAAATTAATTGGGTTTCTTAAGAGGACACAGTCACCAGGTGCCAGTGGCTCATGCCTGTAATCCTAGCTACTTGGGAGGCTGAAATTGGGAGGATCACAGTTCAAGGCCAGCCTGGGCAAACAGTTCATGAGACGCCATCTCAAAAATAACCAGAGCAAAATGAAGTTGATGCTGGCTCAAGCGGTGGAGTGCCCACTTTGCAAGCATGAAGCCCTGAGTTAAATATGTCCATTAAGGTTTTTATCAGAAGCCAGGTATAGTGGCATGTGCCTATAAAATGCCAGCACTTTAAAGGCTGAAGCAGAAAGCATAAGTTTGAGAGCAACCTAGAATACACAGTGATGCCATGTCTCCAAAAGTCAGAAAGACCTATCAGGACTGTTTTGTACTTATGAAGATCCAGCCATGTATATTACATACTGTGGGGTTCAGTTCAGAAAACAGCCCATGCCAGGGGATTCAGCAGAGGAAATCCTGGACAGCAATAGCAAGAAGCCAGAGACCCTCAGCTGGAAACATGCTGGCTCCTTACCAAGTCTGGGAAAAGCAGCAAGACGGGAGCCCTGTGATGGACACAGCTAGGCCGACAGTGGGTATGTCCAACAGAGTATGGTCAGTCAAAGGATGGGGCTTGTTTTCTGGATGGAGAGCCATTCAGGTACCAGGAAGATACACTTGGACCTGTCCATCTAGTCTCTGGAAATGCCGTTAATGTTGAGAAGAGATCTTAACAATTGGAGCTTTGTCATTAAGATGATTCATGAGGCAGGGATTGCTCTCTGAATACCACTCCAGGGTATTCATACAAGATACTAAAAAATATTTTACTGTGAAGATTATGTGGAAAAGAGCCCATGAATCACCTACTGTAGGTGCCCAAATGAAGTAGGACAGAACAGGTGCACATCCCTGGCTGTTGGAGCTCTGCCTCCAGGGAGGAGGCAACACCTCCCAAACAAAGGATGCCACAGGCTTTGCACTGTGGGAGGTGCCATCTCCATCCCTAACTCAGAAGGCCTCAGAAGGTCATAGCCAGTACTTGCTGGAACCTGCACCATCACAGGGGCTGTGGGAGTGGAGACAGTGCTTAGTTATGCAAATGTGGATAAGCCTTAGCACAAGGACCAGCACAGATGCTTGCCAACAGTTTTATAGTACCTACTGCTTCCAGGAAAAAGCACATTTACCAGAATCTGCAGCACTGACTGCCAGATGGAAACACATCTGAGAACTGGTGGCTCACACCTGTAATCCTAGATAACTCAGGAAGCAGAGATCAGGAGGATCAAGGTTCAAAGCCAACCTAGGCAAATACTTCCACTATCTCAAAAAAAAAAAAGATCATCAGATTAAAAAAAAAAAGGGCTGGTGTAGTGGCTCAAGGTGTAGGCCCTGAGTTTAAACCCCAGGACCACACATACACACACACACATACACACACACACACACACACACACACACACACACACAGAAAGAATAAATAAAGGTAGGCAGAGAGCCAGTGAATGCTTCAGATCTTAGGGAGCTGCTAGGAGTACCTCATCTAGGAAAGGTTTGGGAACTCTGCTAGCAACTATCATGTTTACCCATCAAACTGGATATCAAGGGTATACATCCACTTTATAGTTTTATAATATTTTATAATTTTATATAGTATACCCATTTTATAGTCCCCCCATAATCTGCATGAGTTATCAGGCTTCTGAGCAACCTGGTCAACTTCCCATCAGTGATCCCTGACAGTGCTTGCCAACTCTGAGCCAGGAAGCAGTTGCCCATTATCCATACCTAAGCCACTCTCACAGGACCTCTATCCTAAGAGGATAGAGAACAGAACATCTATTTGAAAAACTAGAAACAGCTTAAAAATAAAACAGGCAACTAGCTTCTTCAGTGCTTGCAATGCCTAGCAACTTGACAAAAAAAAAGAAAAGTTCACACATGTAAGACTTAATGGCTATTGAGAACAGTGGTTAGGGAATTTTCACAATTTTCACTTAGATTATATAGTAATCACCTGACCCTTGGTTAGAGCCGCTAATAAAATAGAGTCAAAGTCAAATCTATGACTTCTTTCCTTTTTTGTATTTAAAAAAGTTGCAGGTTATTAATAGTAACATTTAGCAGAGAACTACATCTGACTAACTCTTATTGATCAAAAATAAGGGACAAATAAAAAGACGAGGAATTGGGAAGTTACAGTGCTGCGATGTGAGAGTCAGGATCCACACATTACCAGGACGGACCCAGCAGAGGCCAGTGGCTGGGCGATAAGAGCAGCACAGGAAACATCAAGCAGACAGGCTCCTGAAATCCTCTGCCTTCCTAAACATGTTTCTCTTCCGTGTTTCTTGCCCATGGTATATGAGGAAGACATGGTTACATGCTTCTCTTGCCTAGTCTAAACAACAAGGAATTACATTTCTCATTCCGCCTCAGACCTTGGCAGAATAGAATTCTCTTTCAAAACATACATTTGAGCAGGGTATGTAACAACATGATAAAGTAACTCGCAAATATGACAAAACACAAATGCTAAAATGAAACCCCGGTGAAATATGAAAACCTTTACCAAAAAAATAGTTTATTGCACAAAATTTAAGGAGTTCTCAAGCACGCTTAGATTCATAAAAAATCAACATGCTTTTTAAAGTTATAATCTGTTATACATGGTGACACCTTTCCCTGGAAAGCCCCAACCTGAGGACTCCCTTTTTGTGAGGAAATGTTTTTTATAGAAATCAGAAACTCAAAACTGCTGAATTTTTAAGACCCTCTAAAACATCAACCCATGGATCCTATCCAAACCTGAGACCTCCACAGAATGAGATTTGCCAGAACTTCGAGTCACTAAGCTTGTTAGGTTACAGCTCAGAATGTCTCACACCACAGTATTACTCATGTCACTGGAGTCCTTAGAAGGAAGGCTCTGGGACATTTTCCTTTCAAATATTCTGGTCCCTTTTACTTCCAGAATCTTTAAACATGACAATTTTTGTTTACAGAAATATTCATGGAAATAGGGATATGGTGACTTTGTAGGCCAGTGACATTTCCAATATTCCTATAGCAAGAAGAGTTAAGTTTTTTGAGGAAGAGTGTAACATAAGCTTCCTGATGCAGAGCACAAAATCTGTCTTCTGAGAGGGCCAGACCCATTCCCTGGACCCAGGAGTCAGTCTCTCATACTATCGAAATCATTGTCTGTTACACCTTCCAAAGATAAGAACAAGAGTGAATAAATCTGTAAGGTCCGTGGCATCTGACATGAACCATGAGGAAGAACAATGGCAACCACAATACCGTAAGTGGTTTTTAACATAAGAAAAATAAGTAATGACAACGTTAAGTGCCAAAGTGAACACTCCTGCAACAGGACATTGTGATAATGTACACAAATGTAAGGTAATGACAAACCTGTCTTACAAAAGAATATTCCAGACCTGACTGCTGCTTCTATCACTAAACCCCACAATTCCCACTTCTGCCCAAAGGGACAACAATAACTCAACCTGTATTCACTCAAGAATCTAGTTCTGGGAGGTAGAAGTGCAGTAGAGTCCCCTGGAGATAGGAAAAAAGAAAAAAAAAAAAAAAACAGGCAATCCAACTTCTCTTTGAGGTGACTTTTAAGGAACCTTAAAGGCAGTGCCACCTTTGTGCAGGAGGCCTCTGATCCAGAACTGCAGGTTTGCATGAAGACATCGACACTTAAAGAAGGACAGAGGCTGGAGCCAGGACAGGACAGGCCTTCATGGAACCAAGAGGGCCCTGGCGAGGAGACCCACGTAGGAGGTGGCAAAGCCACAAGGAGTTGCCATTTCTGAGGGCATGCATGCATGCATGCACACTCTGGACAGTGAAGAAAGGAAAATGGATGAGGACAAGAGATAGGCTTTCACTTGATGAATAAATTCAGAATTAGTTTATCCTTTCCTAAGAGAAAAAAAAAACCAGTAAACCCATCCACTCAAAAACCTCCAAGCATGGAGGGAGAAAGCAGCTCTGCCACAGAACAAGCCCAAGTGTTATTTCTTGGTTTTAAAACCAAAACAAAAGATAATACAACCAAAATAAATAAGAATGTAAATTACCATATTTCTTTTCTATTGCTGCAAGAACAACATAGTCAAAAAGCAATTTCCAACTTAAAAAGTAGGGAATATTTATAAAGAATTTTCCAAGTACCATTTCAAGATCAACCCTGTACAAATGATACACACATTTTAAAAGTTCTGATACTCGGTAGAGAATATTTTTACAGCAGACATCTCTGTGGCTAATGCTACTTTAACCACATCAATCACCCTTCTAAAACTCTATTACAAGAGAACACAGTCATCTTAAAAATTCCATAGTTTTCTCCATAAAGTAGATACAGATAATCTACCAACACAAGCTAGCTGGGCTTCACTTTCAGACCAGCAGTTCTGCTGGACCCCTTCTCTCTCTCTCGCTTCTAAATTGTAAAGATAAATTTTATTTCAGATTTTCTTAGCAAACTAGGGGAAATTTAAAGACCTCAACTCTTCTAGTCAATCAGCATCTGCACTGTTAATATCTTAGGTGGGAAACATACCCCAGTAACATCTCACATAGTTGGTGCTGACTTCAAGCAAGGCATCTGTCTTTGAACTTCCTGTTTCTCAAGGGAACACTACAGCCCTCTTGCAGACATCAGGTCTGACTGCAGGTGATGCTGGTATCCACCAGGGATCCAGGACCTCTCCTGATGACCATGCCGACAGGCATTAGTGGGACACAGAGTGCAGTCTACAAGCCACAGACGGGTTAGAGCCTCCTCCTCCCCTGCTCTCCCCAAGTGTCAGGTTAGTGTGTAGGGACCTCAGTGCCCTTGCATCTCCTGTGACCACTGGGTCTGATCAAGGGTCCAACCTGCTCCTGCCTGGTGGTCAGCCAAGGTAGGTGGGACCACACAAGACTAATGACCTAACAGGTCAGGGTTATGAACTTACAAAGACACTGGCAGCAGAAAAGACCCTCAAGAAAATTAAAACAAGGAACCTTTTCTGTGCAAGAATATTTGGTTTTAGAGTAAATAAAATATATTTTTTAAAATACAAGATTTTGACTGACATCCCTAAACCCTACATGTACATTTCCCAATAAGTTTTCAAAAGGCAATCAATAAAAAGACAATTAGGTCCTTCTTAAATAATACAGGCATATGCTTTGAAAAGATCTTCCGTATTTATATACATATCCTATGGTGGGATGGCTATTGAAAAACAAATGAAATAACAAGTCAAAGGTGCAAATAAAACATTTCTGCAGGAAAGCATAGCTCTTAATGAACAAAAGATGAGAAATGGCACCCCAGCCTTTCCAGGTGCTGCTGCCCAAGGACCCTGCTGTGCAAAGTTCCTATCAGGGCCTGGCTGCTGGTACCACACTCAGACATAATGTCTGTCACCACTTGTAAGAGGCCTCCTCCTGAAAATAACCCATCAGACACTTCAAACACTCCTCACTGAAGCCTAACTACATTTCTAAGATTTGGTCATTTCATGGGAAAAGCAAGTTATGATTTCAAATGACTATTTCTCTAATCCTTGGCTCTCTGTTATTTTACCCCTAAAAGGCAAAAGCAAAACTTAAACCTCATCTCAGAAAAATGTAGAACACACGATCAAATAAATAACATTGACAAAACAACATTTCTTCACATAGCTGCACACACTCGGTGGTAAAGACAGTGATGGTCACTGGTCCAGCCCTTCTCTGGGAGCCCTGCTTTGACCATGTGGCTCTGTGTCTCCCCTGGGGTGAGTGTGCTGTCCTGGGGTAGCTTCCACCTGAGTCCATGAGGACAAGGACTCGTGCACAGTGATGGTATGCTCCTCCATCTGGCGCTGCAAACTGTCCATCTCCTGCCTAGGGAGTTGGAAGAAAGCAAAGGAAAAACCTGATCACATGTGGGCCAGGAAGAATGCCCCCCCCACCCCCGGTCCACAGCCTCCTCTAACAAGCTAGAGTTAGATACAGTTGGCTCACTGAGATGTGTGCTGCCCTCAAAGGCCAATAAATCTCTATCAGAGACTAGCAATACCAACTGAGATCACAGAAGGCTAGGGCTTTTGGCAGTTTTCTCCACTCTGGGCAGAAGCAAGCCTATCTGGCTTGGGCTTTTGCTTCAGGAAGACACTTATGAAAGACCTAGACCCAAGGGCCTGACACTAACCAAGTCCTGTGTGGAAGCTGTCACCTGAGGCAAGCATCACACATGACTTCCACTCATAGGGTCACCTGTCTGTGCTGACCCTACATGGCCATCCCCCATGACATTGGCCTCTTCTGCCCCAAGCCAGAAAGCTCAGTCCGGAGTTGACAGGTGCAAAACACCTCGCCTTCAGCTTCTTAGGGTTCATCAGAGTAGATACACTACCATTTTCTCCTTACAACATGGACCTAGATGTCATTCCTGTAAGAAGCCCCACCTTCCTAACAGTGCTGCTGGCACTCCATGGGGGTCACAGGAGAGATCCCTCCAAGTTAAATATGTCATTCATTTTCAAAGGCTAATTGAAAAGGAGTACAGAATACAGATCATACTTGAGCTGCTGCAGACAGCTGTTCAGGTTTTTGAGGGGCTCCTTGCTCACAGCAGGTGGAGGGCGCAGCAGTTCCTCCAGCAGCGAGGCTGGGACGGGGCAGTCAGGGATCTTGATGGGTGTTGCAGGGCTGGAGGAGCTGGCCTCTCCTTTTGGCTCCTTCCTCTGTTTGTAAAAATACATCATTAGCTCTTCCAAGTCCCTTCATCGATCGCCACTATCCCAACCTGAGTTAGACAGGCTTCCACCATAGGAAGAGGCCCCCCGCACGACAGTGAGCACAGCCTCACTGACACAGGACTCCAGATGGCTGGTCAACAGCTTTACTCCTACAGAACGTAGCTAAGCACAAGAAACTTAGGCCTACCCTTCTCAGGACACAGCTGGACCTAAAACTACAGCTCTCCCACGGGAGTTTCCAGAGACCCACAGCCTCAACTCTAAGCTTCTGTAAGAAATTAGGAAGATTTTCCAACTCATCAGGCCGCTTTATCTAAGACATAAAAGCCTTTCCATAGGTATAAATGATGCTAAATAAATGTGACAATCAGAACTTGCATCTGAAAGACTTCTTTGCATCTGCACCTGGACAATATTTATGCAGACTGCCTAGAAAACCTGCCAGGTATGTCAACATCCAAGGGCTGTCAATAGCAATGTGGGACTCCCACTGTGGCAAAACAACAGGGCTGTTCCATCACAAACCATTCCTCCATTTGTTTTAAAAGTGTACTACAACAAAATGGTATTTGAACTTATGAAAAGAAGCAAACATTCTATTGTAAAAGGCACCACAAATAAATGATTTGGTCTATTGTCTAAGCAGAACATTCTATCTATTATTAAATTTTACACAGCAGTTGCTCAAAGTTAGCTAAATACATCTACTTATGTGTGAATGACTAGAAAACCTGTCAGCATCCTGCCCAAACTAACCCACACACAGGAGATGTCAGTTGACCCAGAAGGCACACGGTCTCAATACCACCTTGGCTGCACCGCGACGGAGGTCTAGCTTGAGCTGCTGGTTCTGCTGAAGCAGAGTCTTCATGCTGTTCTTCAGTTCGGACACTTTAGCTTGAAGCATAAATTTATCCTTTTGGGTCACAGACAGATCTTCCTGCACCACCTCCAACTCAGACTTGATATTCTAAGAAAACGGAATCCAGATTTTTAAAAGCTACAGGCTTTTAAATACACTTTTAAGTTCTTAGTTTGTATACTGGTCTGAAGACTGAGTTCCATAGGACAGGTATGAGACATTGCCATCTTCGGGCACTTCCAGTTAAGTCTATATTGCGACAGATCCAGTGACAAATCACACCCTCAATAGTCTTACTCAAGTTTCACAGCATCTGACTAGAAACCGGCAATGTCTGCATGGGTGCCTTCCACAACCAATCCAAGAATCTGTTTAAATTCCAACGTGAGCTAACAGAGTTAAGTCTAACATTCCTACGAAACCACATAAACCAAATCTAACTGATTCAAGCCATTTGTTTACAAGTGAGGAATCTTGGCAAGTTACGTTTCTGATCCTTTTCCTGGCCAGTGAAGGCTGCACATGGAGCTCCGTGGAGAAGTTCATCAGAAACTGGGACATATCACAGATACACTCCACCCCCACCCCCATTTACTGGACTCAAAAAGTCATGTTCCTGGCACATTTCACAAGGATTAGCAGAGGGATGGAGCCTGGGCTCCAGGTTCAATTCCACCTCCATCCAGCTGTGTGAACTGGACCAGGTGACCATGCTGAGCCTACTATGAAATGGGAACAATGTCTTCAGAATGGTTTGGCAGGGACATCCATTCAGTGAGAACTCTTGTTAAGCACAAAGCACACTGCCTGGCTGGTACTCAGCACAGTAGCCAAGGAGTGGTATCCAATCACTAGTTGGTGGAGTGTTGTCCAGAACCGGGGGACAGGGACAGCACCTGCAAGGACTGTTGTGTTCCCTCCAGTTCCTTCTTGCCCTGCTGCTCTGTCAAGTCCAGCTGCTGCTTCAAGGACTGGATTTCTCGCTCTTTCTGATCCAACTCCCATTTGAGATTTTCCATCTAAAGGCAAAAAGGCAGAAGATCAAGACAATTTTGAAGTGACATTCTTATACCGGAAAATGGTTCCACAGTTATTTTTGCTCATCTTTTAAGTATTATATTTAGAAAAAAAATAGTAAGTTTCTCTCTGAACAGACAGAGCTTGGACTGGGGGCCCAGCTATTACCTCTTGGCTTCCTGTGGGCTGATGGCTCAGCTGTGCATCCAGCTGCTGCTGCAGGAGTTGCAGCTGGGTCCGGGCCTCTGCCAACTCAGTCTGGAACTGTGCTATTTCTTGGGAATGTTTCCCCTCTCGAATTCTGGCATTAAAAAAAAACGGTTAAGAATGAAATGGTAGTTATAACGAAACCCCCCGCTATGTAACTTGTACACTGATAAAAATGATTTTTTAAAAAATGAAATGGTAGTATCTCCCAATTTGCCCCCTGCCCCAAGATTGAACTGTGAACCACAGCAGCCCTTGTGAGACCCAGACTGTTCTGGGGTGCTTACAATGATCCACCTCAGTTAACTCCACAAAGCCCTCTGGGAGACTCACTTTGTCCACACAATTAAGAACAGGGGACTTGCACATGAGCAGAGGCCTCTATGGTTGCTGGTAGGTAGAGGGGTGTGCAGTTCCAGACCTATCTGGCCCTGTGTGTCTGACTCAGGGCTGCACTAGTATGGAGCTGAAATGGTGCTCAGGACATAGACCTTGGGGTGCTCAGATGGGGATTCTTTCTGTTCCAGAAAGACAAGCAAGGAGGGGAGGGACCATGGGAAGCCTTAAGCTCAGGCTTCTTGAGGCAGAGTCAGATATTCTGCTCCTTTGATTTGCCCCCAAAGTACTGAACATTTTAGTAGAAGATAGTGACCTTTGCCATGTTGAATGTGAATTAAAGATGGGGGAAAGACCCTGACAGCTCTGCTTGCACCAGGACATGTATGGCATACAGCCATCAAGGAGGCCACAGTGGCTAGCTCTGGGCTTCCCTCATGAGCCCCAGGCACTCACTGGAGCTCATTGACCTCAGCTTGCAGCGTCTGCACCAAATGCTCCTTGGCTTGCAGCTCCTTCTTCACCTCACTCAGCTCCAGTGAGGCTGCTTTGAAGTGGCGGCGGTTATGTCCAGCTTCCATCCTGGCAGCAGCCACCTGGAAGGAGGGCAGGAAGCTGATGTTAATGCTCCAAGGACTGGGGTCAAAACCCCTCCCATATCAACGTGGGTCCTAGGTACTCTTGTGCACCCCCAAGATCAAGTTCCCAATAAAGATCATGTGCTGTGATGCTCAGCACAGAGAACCAATAACATGTGGCTACTGGTCACCACTGAATGAACACATGTGCTCACAATTTCCTTAGTCTAAATAGTTCTTATAGTCTTCAAGTACACGTGTTGTTCCTAGTTAAGTTTACTAGCATTTCCTACATTTTGAGAGTAATCTGCTTTTCCATCACATCACCTAACTGTAAAGAAGGTGTAATTCTATTTATGATGTAATTGGCCTCCTTTTAGAAAGTCTGCTGCTTGTCAGAGCCAACAATGGATTCAAAGTTTGCAAAAAGAGAAGTAAATTCTCACGAGTATCACAAAAATTTCATTTTACTTTCTAATAATTTAGTTTTCTTATCTAATCTCACTAGCAAACACACACCCCCACACATATATATATAAAGTATGTGACAGATCAATTTAAGAGCTCTGACTCCAACTCCAAGCTGGGGTGTGGATCAGTGGTAGGGTCTTGCTTGCATGTGGGAGGCCCAAAACAACTCCTATAGAAGATATTGACATTGTCATCATTAGGTAGATATTCAAGGTGATCTATACTTCATTTAATCTTTATACTTTTTAAAATGTTTTACTACCACTTACTACTGTTACAACCAGGGCAAAAAGCCCAAATGCACTGTGAGAAAAAATTAAGCACCATTCACAACTTTTCTTAGAAAAAGAAATGGAAAGTCATGTAGACATCATTTCCTCCCAGCACTTTTTGCTCTGAATTTCCTAGTATTACCTAAACACAGAGCAAAAGACACACTTGGGGGGAAAGGAAGGTTACCAACATCAGCACAGCACCATTACGAGCAGCAATCCCAAGCAAGGTCTACACAAATAAGCCAGTGTGGGCTATGAGCAAACCAAACTATTGCTTACATGAAAATAATTTTACCAAATAAAGAACCCTTTCCTTTTTAAAAATTTGTTATTATATCATTATTATTATTTTGGTTTGACTGGGGTTTGAACTCAGAGCTTTGCACTTGCAAAACAAGTATGCTACCACTTGAGTCACACCTCCAGTCCAAGAACACTTTACTTTTCATCCCTATTAAATCATCATAGAGACATTTTTATACAATGTGGAAAATTGTAGGTCATAAGAAGTAAAGACTTTATGCTTAGGTTAAAAAGTCTGAGTTGTGGGCTGGTGGAGTGGCTCAAGTGGTAGAGTACCTGCTTAGCAAGTGTGAGGCCCTGAGTTCAAACCCCAGTGAGACAAAAAAAAAAACAAAAAAAACTTTTGAGTTGTGAAAACTAATTACAATTTGTAAGGTAATCCAGAGTTTAAAGGTAAAATGAGGTGTCACTTCCCACATTTCTCCAGAGACAATCACAGTTATTCCCTGTGTTCCTCCTAGAAACCAAAAGCACACCCAACAAGTGGCCTGAGCATCTGTGCTGGGCACTTGGGTATCACCAGAAGGGTCACATTCTAAGGAAGAAGTTGTGAGGATCAGGGACTGTGATGGGATGCACAGGGATTAGCTTAGGCCTGTACTGTAGGGATTTACCTGACAAGATCAGCAAACACCTGGAGTGTGGGAAGAGCCAGACACGGAAAGACAGCTCCTTACACTGAGGATGCTGTACATAGCCATTTGCCTTTTTTGTTTTTGAAACAGGGCTTCCCTATGTAGCCCAGGGTAGATATATTCTCTTTAGCCTCCACAGTGCTGGGATTACAGGCCTGTACCACCATGCCCAGCCTCTTGTCTGCTTTCCCTCCCTTCATACTTCCTTCCTGCCTTCTTCCCTTCCTTCTTTCCTTCCTGCTTTCCCCTCCCTCCCTTCCTTTCTTTTGCAATACCAGGAATTGAACTGAGAGCCTTGTGCTCAAGCACAATACCACATGAGCCATGCTGCAATCTTTTTGTCTGATTCTTAACACAAACAAGAAGTATGCTTTTTAAACTCAGCATTACAGAGGACATGTTTTTCCCAGAAACGACTGCATGTGCATATACATGTGGCTTGGTCATTTAATCTCTGCAGCCTCTGTTACCACAACCCCATGAAGAGAACTCTTCTCCCTGGAGGAAAGTGGACATGTAAGTGTGAAGGGTACCCATGTAATTTTGTAGGCAGTGAAAATACCTCGCAGAAGGTTCTATGAATTTGAAACTAGCTGGAAGCTGGCCACACACCTGCTCCTTGAGGCTGTTCACTTCCATCTTTTCTTTCTCCAACGAGGCTTGTAGGGCCTGGACAAGCTGCTTCATCTGGCGATCCTCCTCTTCTTTGCGCTGCAGAACTGCTTGCACCTAGAGTGCAATGTGGAATGAGAAATAGGAAGAGGAGAATTTTACACAACCACAGAGCCTGAGACACAGTGTGGGGGCCCTCCACAGCCAGCACCCCATAAAGAGCCTAGCAGGATGACGCACATCACAATGCATCACAAGAGAGGACACAGCTAAGGAAGGAAGAAGCCCATCTCTGGAGAACACTGCTACAAAAGCAGAAGTTTGAGCTCACAGGAGTGCAGAAACAGAGTCATGTTCAAGAACACAACTAGGACTCCAAAAGACACATAACTGTCACACGGGTTACAAACAAATGCCTTCAAGCAAAGCTGCACAGTAAGAACAAAAGTGGTAGGAACTAGGCAAAACCTAAGTTACTCAACTCTAATGACTGGATATTTTAAGGCTAGGGGTGCAACATGGCCCTTGGCTGCGCCCCAATCTACAGAACAGCTGTGGAACTAAAGGAGCTAAGAATATGGTCTGTAGTAATACCCTGGGCAGAGTTCAAATCCCAGCTCTGAACCACTTGAGGACTTAGGTAAATATCCACTGCACAGGCTACTGGCTAGAACTGGAGGACAGTACTGTCTGCCCCTCCAGGAGTCCAACATGCGAAAAGGATTAAGGACCCTGGCACACTGACTCCACAAGTGACAATTAAAAGCTCCAGTTTTACACAAAGCCCAGCTCTACCCTACAGCTGAGAGAGCCAGGCTTGTGAATTAAATTAATTACATTCTCTGAGCCTCTGCTTCCTCTCTCAAAGTAGGATTTCATGTTCCTCTGAAAGTAGCTAAGATGACTGGATATGGTCAGACATCAAGAGTGTACACAGCCACATAATTCTCCCTCTACAGCTGTCAGATGGGTCTGGGTACCTGGAGATTCAGCTGCACCAGGTCAGCCTCTCTCTTGGCTAGCGCTGTCTCCAGGATGCTGTTGTGTTCTCGCAAAGCTGCATTGGACTGCCCAAGTCCTGTGAGTTTCCCTCTTTCATGCTCTAACTCGAGCGCCAACTTCTTATTTGACTCCTCAAGACGCTTTATCTTCCTCCTGAAGCCTCTGGATTCTTGAAGCTGAAATGCACCAAAGTTATTGTCAAATTACATGCTCTCATGGATGGAATCATCACCCTCACAAGAAACAGAAGAACAGTTTTCAACAAGAAATGGCCAGTACTAAAGCACAGCACAAACTGCTCTCCTTGCCTTTTGACCTGGCAGGCTGTATCAGCAGAGATGGGCTGCTCTCCTGGGACAACGGGCTTCCATATAAGTTGGTCCAGGGCCAAGCAACTCAGCAGGTGGGCATGGAACTGTGCTGATCTCATCAACACACATTTCAGGAAACCTCAGACATGGCTAAAGAAAGCATGCAGCCCTGAAGCCACTGACAGTTTCCCCAGGATCCTGACAGAGGGGCCAGGTAGGTTGCCAGGTAGGCTGGGGTCGATGGCAAGAGCCCTTGGTGACAGTGCCAAGCTGCAGTTAGCTCTGCCTGAAGCTAGAGCCCCTTTCTGCTGAGTTTTGAGTTCTATGAAAAGTTCAAATGAATTTATTTTCAACCAATGCCTTCTAACCAGGAGAAGGATTACCAGTATGAATCCCAGTGACCTAGGATTCATCCCTATAACTGAAAATGACTGCTACTGTCATCTTCCTCACTAGAGCATGGACAATGATGTGCTCCAACATCGATCAACAGGTGACCAAACACCATGGCTCTGCCTGGCAATGAAAAGGTGTTACCTCATCTTCCAGCTCCAAAACTTTTTCACGAGACTCCTCTAGCTCCTGGCTGGTCATTGCAATCACCTCCTGCAGTTCCTTCTCTAATAGCATCTTGCTCTGGCCAACATTCTGCAGCTCCACCTCCAGGGCCCGAATCTTCTCCTGATAGCCAAGACAAGATGACATGTTTGGTCACTGGCCTGTGACAGGCCCTTGCACACCCTAAGTCAGTATCTCCAGGTACAAAGCTACATGGCCTCATATTTGCTTTTTTTTTTTTTATTTTCTTGTTTTGTCTTGCTGTGTAGCTCAAGCTGTCCAAGAACTTTACAACCCTCCTGCCTGGCCTAAGTGTGGGGATTACAGGTATGTACCACCACACCTGGCCTGACCACATTCTTACAATACAAGCCCTTTAAAAGGTTTGCATGGCACACACATGCTAGCAACACACAAGGTGCCATTAGAACAAACAAAATAACCTTGTCGATTAAATGTTTTGAAAATACAAAAAAATCCAAGCACTGGTGGCTCATACCTATAATCCTAGCTATTGGAGAGCCCGAGATTGGGAGGATTGTGGCTCAATGTCAACCTGAGCAAATAGTTTCTGAGACCCTATCTCCAAAATAAGCAGAGCAAATGGACTGAAGGCATGGCTCAACTGGTGGAGTGCATGCTTTGTAAGTGTAAAGTTCAAACTGAGTTCAGTTTGAAACTGAGTTCAAAGTCCAGACTCACCAAAAAAGAAAAAACAAAAAAATCTGATCCACTACAATGTCATCTATAGCAAGTAAGCAGCACTGGGCGTAATAAAGGCCATACAAGCACACATGCAGGCAACGCTGCATCAAGCACATGTGCTCATACACCACGCACGTAAGCTCACACACATGGAGACACACACACACACACACTTGCTGCCACCATGGTGTCAGGCCTTGATCCAAGCACTTTCCACGTGTTACCTCAGAGGTTCTATTCTGGACCCTCTCTGGCCTCATCTGATTGAGGAGCAAAAGGTGTGCAATTTGAGGAGGTCACTGCCTTACAAGAGGCAATGCCACAGACTAAACCCAGACTTTAAGTTCAGGGGGCCATGCTGGTTCTCAGCCATAAGCTCCACCAAGCATTTCATGCCCTACTGCCCTCACTAGGGACCCAAAGGACTAAAGCAAGCAGAAAGGAATATGGCAACAGATGCCCCTTTGCATTTTATAAAGAATCGAGAAAGGATCATTCACTTTATTCGATGGGATGAGCAAGCACCATGTTATGGCACAATCTCCTCTACGCAAACACTCAGGTGCACAGGAGATAAGAGGAAAACTGCAGGTGAGAAGAAGCACAATGCCAAGCATGAGTAACAAATGAACTCACTCAGGTAAAAAGATTTAAGGCTGGAGAGAATGTGGGGAGCCCAGGAGTGTACCTCTCACCGATGAGGCTGGTCACAGGGATCCTGGGTGCCCCTGGAGCCCGAGGGTTTCCACCCTTCCCAGCACGTGGCACTGATGTAACAGCACAAGAGCAAAGGCTCCATGCACTGCTGCTAAGGCCAGGAGGAGTGGATCAAGTTATTACTTGTCCACACTGAGTCCAGCAAGTCCTCATTCCTGAGCCTTCTCACTTCCAACCCTTCTATGTGCCCCCCTGACACCAAGCCCCAATTCCTCCAAACCTACTCCATGTGTTTGCCCACCCCTAAACCGCCTACTCTGCCACCCCTCCTTGTCTGAGCAGACTATTTCCTGGCCTGCTGCCTTCATCCTGCTGTGTCACCTCTCAGCCTGGCCCACTTTACTGTCCTAACTCATGCCTGCCCACAGGAGAGTAACTGGGTCCACTCCCCACCACGGGCAAGGCCAAACCCAAACTCCTTGCAGCCAACATCGCATCCAAGATGCCCCCTTGTCCCTCTAGAGCCTCTTGTTTGTTCTAGACCATCTCAAGATTGCCTCCTCCAAAGGTTTCCTGACTCTGCTAAACACTGGCTCCTGGAGGGACTCACATCCTCACTGCAGCCTCCCAGTGGGCATGGCCTACCACACAACCTCAGTCCATGCCTTTACCTAATCCTGGGGCTACATAAAGGAGACTAGAGTGTAGGGGCAGGTCCTGTCTCCACCCTCAGCTAGCAGCTGAATTTCTGCAGGTCATGGAGCCTCCTGAATGAAAATGAGGCTCTTAGCAGACTGCATAGGCTTTTGAGGGCCACATGAGATTCTGTACATAAGTCACTAAACATGCATATATATATATATATATATATATATATATATATACCAAGCAGTTTATTAAAAAATACTATGCCTAGGCCAGGCACTGGTGACTTAGACCTGTAATCCTAGGTACTCAGGAGGCAGAGATCAGGAGGATCAAGGTTCAGAGCCAGCCCAGGCAAATAGTTTGTGAGACTCTATCTCAAAAAAAAACCCATCATAGAGAAGGGCTGGTGGAGTGGCTCAAGGTGTAGGCCCTGAGTTCAAACCCCAGCATCGAAAAAAAAAAAAAAAGAGAGAGAGAGAGAGAAATTATGCCTGAACATTTCAGTCTGGCCCACTTTTTAAAAGTCCTTCTACAGGTTCTTAGAGGGAGAGAATGATGAGAAAATGTCGTTTCCCTAAATTTGAGTCTTTAGGACTCAAATTGAGAGTTATGCGTTTACCTACATGTAGAACGGGGTCGCTGCCACTGCTGACACTCTGGGCTCTGAGCTGGTTCAGTTCTGTGTCCGCAGCCTCCTTGGCAGCAAGAGCTTCCTGCAGACGGCGGCTGAGGATGCTCACAGCGTTCTCATAAGCCTTGTGTTTTGTCTTCATCTCCTTCTGGGCACTGGTCAGGTCTGAGCCTAGCCGCTTCATCTTCTGCTTCTGTTCTGTGATGGCCCTGGCACATAATGAAGGAGATGTGGAGGAAGAAACTGAGTTAACCTCCAACCTGACCATCCAACTTCCTGGCATGTGAAGCCTAGTACACCAGGTGCAGGGTGTTCCAGCTCACCCTGTAGGGGTAGGCAGTGCTCAGACCCCAGGCTCAACCCCAGATTCTGACTCCTCCCAGAATCTGGCCACTGCTCAGGAGGGCAAATGTGCTCCTGCCCTGGTGTGGCTGCTGTAGGAAGAAAGGAGGATGGCCTGGTGTTCCTGAAGCGCAGAGAGCAGAAAGAGCTCCATGAGTTCACTAAGTCACATCCATCACTATCATCAGAGCAGCACAACACTCAGAGTGGATTTAAGTTTTGGTGGTTTTTTTTTTTTTTGATGGTACTGGAATTTGAACTCAGAGCCTCACGCTTGCTGGCAGGCACTCTACCACTTGAGTCACTCCACCAGCTTGAAGTGGTTTTAAAATGATGTTGTGAGGCAAAGAGAAACAGCCCCCTCCCACCAAACAGAAATGTCCCTAAAATTCTTGAAGGTCAGCAACAAAGTCAACATACAGATGCATGATGAAATCACAGGTGTAGTGGCCATGCCTATAATCCAGCCTGTGGGATTACAAGTTCATGGCCAGCTTGAGCAACATAGAAAAGACTGTTTCCCAAAAAATAAAAAATGTAAAAAATGTAAAATCCAAAAGGCCATCAACACATGCAGGTAACATACACACGAGTATGTGTTTATGAGGGACATGTGTTTAGGTTTCCATGAGCATCAAAGGGTGTAAAGAACGAATACCAGAGTGTTACCTCTGGCTGGACACAGTGGCCCAAACCTGAAAAACCAGCTACTTGAAAGGCAAAGATACAAGGGTCATGGTTTGAGACCGGACCCCGCCCCCCAGAAAAAAAGACCGTATCTCAAAGAACAAGCAGGGCATGGTTGGTCATAACTGTAATCCCAGCTGTGCAGGAGGCACAGATAGAAGGTTCTTGGTTAGAGGCTGGTCTGGGCAAAAAGCACAAGACCCTATCTGAAAAAATAACTAAAGCGAAAAGGGCTTGGAGGCATGGCTCAGATGGCAAAGTGATTGCCTAGCAAGTATAAGGCCCTGAGTTCAAACCCTACTGCTGCCAAAATAAAATCTTGTCCCTGGAGAGAGAATGAGAGTGGAAGAATGTTGGCACAAAAGGTCCAATTACAATTTTTAAAAAAGAAGAGTTTTGGGTGAAGAGTGTAGGTATAGCTCAGCGGTAGAACACCTGATTAGCATATTCGAGGTGCTGGGTTCAATCCCCAGAACCAAAAAAAAAAATTAAAAATTAAGAAAGGGAGGCTGGGCATGGGAGGCATACATGCCTATAACCCTAGGATGCAGGAGGCACAGCAGGATGATCACAAGTTCAAGACTAGGCTGAGCTACAGAGTGAGACCCTGTCTCAAAAGCACCAAGGGTGGAATACAGCTCAGCAGAGGAATTTTGGCTAGCATGTGCAAGGCCTTGGGTTCCATCCCTAACACTGGGGGATAAGTTTTTTTAAAGGATGCTATCACAAATCAATTTATAAACTCTACCAAATCATGCTGAATTGTAAGCTTGGAACTTAATACTGCAGGCTGCCTCTTTAACCCCCTCCTCCAGCAGTGTCCACGGAGCAGGGTCACACAGGTCTAGCCTGTGCTCCCGCAGGAGCAAGCTCTTCCCTGCCCTCAGCAGACTGGTGCCCCGCACTGATGAGTGCACGCTATGTGCAGACTTACTTTGTGGCCTCCTGCTGCAGCTCCTCTACTTGTTTCTTTAGTGCCTCATTGGCCTCACTAAGGGCGACCATCTGTTCTTTGTCAAACTGCAAAGACTTCAAAAGGAGGAAAGCATGTGATCAGTGCAAAGCTACTCACTGCAAGACATTTACTTTCAATAAAGGATACTTCACAGGGTCAAGTGTTTCTGGCCACTATGTATAGGAGCATCAGAGGCACAAAAGAAAATGGACTAAAATAGGAAAGGCACCTCCCTTGGGCCTCCAAAGCCCCCCTTCATGTCCAACTGGGAATTGCTGTTTGAAGGATTTCATGTCCCCTTCCTCACTGGCCTTGCTGTGTGGTATGACAAGTCTCCCAGAACCAAATCAGTCAGTGTTGCCAAGGGTTCACCCCAGAACTGGGCTGGCCTCACTCATGCTGCTCAGTCCTGGGCCCTGGCACCCTTATACCAGCACCCTGGTGGCTGCAGCTCTTACTGTCCCCAGGTTAGGCTCCCTCTACCTGTTCTTTTTGACACTAACAGTGCCACCCCAGGGCTTACACATCATTTGCTTGATAGTCTCCAAATGAGGCTAAGAAGGACTCTGCAGGGACGTATTGGCCACCTGCCTACCTGAATCTCAGCCTGGCCCTCTTCAAGACTTCTAGTATATTACATGCAATCCTGCCCACCACCGCCCCAAATTACTGGCCTTTCCCTGATTTCTCATCCCAGGGAAAGCAGGACATCTGGCTGGGAGTCCAGGCTGTGGTCTCCATCTCCACATCCCCTTCATCCCTCACCTCTAGCTCACCAACCCACCATCCAGTCTCCCTCCTCCAGCAGCTTCCACTGCACTCAGAAGACTGTTAGGCTTGCAGCAGCCTAGCTTGCCTGGGGGGCATGGTCAGTCCATGCCCTGCTAGGACTCAGGGCCTCCGTGGAGGTCTTTTTCTTGGTTTTCTGCCTGGCAAAGACTTTGTGGAGCTCTTGGCTCCAATGCTGGCTCCTGAGAGCCTGTCACAAGGTGGTGTCTCCAAGTGTTTACCTGGCAGTGCCTTGCTTGTCCTTTCCATGTGGCATCCCAGCTGGACTTATCTGTCTGCCCACCAGGACAGTAGCTCCAGGAGGGCCATGTTCTAAAAGAATCTCCCAGTCAGTGGCTCCTCTCACCCCAACCCTGAACAGTAAGCACCAAACACACTCAACTGAACCCTCACTACTCAACAGAAACCATCCAGCTCATTCCACTGACCTGCAGGTGAGTCTCCATCTCATCTCGCTCCTTCTGCACTGACTGGAGATGCCCCTCAAGATCCGCCATCTGCTGGTGGACCAGGGACACCTCTTTCTGCAAGCGTGAGTGTTCCACCTCTGTAGCCCTCTTCTCTCCATGTAGCCTGATTAGCTCCTGCCTCAGTTCCTTCATCTCTGAGTCCAGCCGCTTCTTTGTGGCTTTCAGTTCGCTGATGAGCTGGTCTTTGGAGGTGGCATCCCGCCGGTAGGCCTCCACCATCACCTGCCAGACAAGATACAAATTATAAGCCAGTGTCCAAGGTGGAGTATTCCCCTAGGCAATAAAAAAGCTTTAAAAACAAATGTTTACTATCTATTTAGGACATAACATTTTGTCTTTTCCAGTGCTAGGGATTGAACTAAGGGTCTTATACATGCTCATCAAGTACTCTACCACTGAGCTACATCCCCAGCCAGAGGATGAACTGAAGACAACACATTCATCAGTTCTCCACCAAGTCCCTATCCTAGTAGAGACAGTATGTTTGAGCATCTCTGTCATGGGACATGCCACACCCTAACAAATCCAGGAACTACCAAGAGGTATCACTCAGCCTCCTGGACACGTTGTCTCTTCAAAGGAATCTGACAAGGTCTTTTCCCTTCAACTGTGGTGCTTGGCTTCTGACAGGTAATCTCTTGTGTGTATCTCAGTAATAAACTGAAACACTACTCATAGCACTGCTTTGAATGGTCGTCTTCTCTCAGACCCTGCAAGACATTTGACTGGTGCTTCCAAAGAAGTGTGGAAGCAGAGCCATTCCTCCATTAGGAGACATTGGCTCCACAGAATTCACATTCTGTGCCTTTTAGGTACAGCACAATTTGTTTTACTGTTAGACCATGAGCTGGCAGAGTGGCTCAAGTGGTAGAGTGCCTGCCTAGCAAGTATGAGGCCGAGTTCAAACCCCAGTTCCGCCCAAATAATCGGTAAAATTCTTGAATAACTAGCAATAGCCATTTAATATCAGGCCATGTTATAGATTTTTCGAAGCTACTTTATATAGCAAACACAACCTGCATACTAATAATAAAACACACAGATCCCTACCCACCCCTCCTTACTGTGGAAGGGCATGCTGACCTCATATACTGTGATGAAAGAGGTAGAATATCTTAGATCAGTGAAGTGCCTTTAAAAACAGTGAGGACCTGGATGCTTCCTTCCTGCTGACTAGTTTTATTCTACTAAAGCAAAAGACTGCTTAGGACACAGTCTGACACTTGTTTCACATAAGGAAAACCCACACGTCTTACCTTTTGCTGAAGAAACTGCTCCTTTACTTTCTGTGTCTGCTTTCTCAGGGAACTGGTCTCCTGCTGCAGGTGCTCCACCTATGGGAGAGGTTTGCACAGAGGAGGCCTGAGGGCAACAGGCCTGTGTGCAATGGCATTTCCTAAGAGTCAACCCTAGTCAGCTCATGGAGGAGGGCTTGAACCAGACCCAATAACCTGATGGACACTCAGGCAAGATACATCACCAGTCACTTAAGATCACAAAGACAAGACAGGGGGCAGGGAGGTGAGAGAAGGACCAAGGCAGGACATGCTCTAGACCAGGTATCAGCAAGCCCTTCCAGGAAAGGCAAGTGAGGTAACACCTTCATCTTCACAGGCCACTTGTCTGCTACAGATTCTCAGCTCTGCTCTTGAAGCACAAAAATAGCCACAGACACTACACAAAGGGATGAGCAGGATTGTGCTCAGTGAACCTTGATTTATAAAACCCTATACCCCTGCCACCCAAAGCCTGTTAGGCACCAGCCCACCAAATCACCTGTGATCTTATGAGAACTAAAGTTTCAGCTCCAGGCTGACTGAGTCAGATCTACACAGGGAGATCCACAGGAATTCATGAATACAAGATGTGTATGAAATGCTACTCTAGCATTGAAAAAAAGTTGGTTTTTTTTTTTTTGATTCTGGTGAATGAACCCAGGTGCATGCTAGGCAAGTGCTCTACTCAAGCCACATCCAGAACTCAACAAAAAATGCTTTTGAAGAATCAAAATACGCTTTTGTGATGCCACAAATGCTCTCATGGCACTCTGCATGGAGGGCATGGGCCCACATTACATGATAGAAACACTCAGACATACTGTTATGTGACAGTATCCTGAAGTGCCAGTGAAACAAGTTCACTACGCAGTGGTCACAGCACCCCTCTGGAGTCACCTTAGACGGGAGCAGTCAGAATGCTGTCCAGGGCCACTGCCTTAGAGGTAGGAAAAGTTTGTTCAGGGCCAAGGTTTTCTACATCTAAATGATTCCTCCTCTCAGAGGAGGAATCCTAGTGATCACTTGGGCACAGTTAGGAAATGAGCCATCTTTCCTACAATATGGAGGTCATCTTCAGCTTCTTCAGGAATCCTGGGAAGGACCAAGATTCTGGTTGTACAAGAAGTGCCTTGTATCCCCTCCAACTATCTCATCACCTGCTCTATTCTGCATGCAGTTCCACAGAAAGGGCAAAAAGACAAACTAGGCAACAGAGAGTTGAGGTCAGCAAACCTCAGAGCCTTGTGTGGACCATACTGTCTGAGAGAGACCTGAGAGCATGGGTGCATTCAAACGGGACTGGTACTTGGGTAGTGTCTGGGAGGCTCTACATCCCCAAGTCAGGAAACAGACTTCAGAGTTGCAAAGACAGATCCCCATTGTGACAGGACTACCACCTCATTATGCTCCACGTTCCTTGAATTATCATCACAACCCAAGGGGACATCCAAGTAGCTTTGTTAATAACATCACAGTAAAACCTCAACATTGGTCTCAGTGACCAATAGTGACTGAAATCCCTCTTATTAGCCTAACAGTAAAGATTTCTAAAGACCTTCTAAATTAATGCGAAGGGAGACAGACCACTGATCCTTCTAACCCTTGGTCTTTAAAGAGTGGTATTTAAAGGCAGAATCACTCCTTGATACTAATTCTACCTGCTGCACACACACCCTTCTTTACTCTGTCTATATTCTTCACATGTCTGCCTACATCTGACCTGTGTTGTGCTTTTAGCACAGTGGTGTTCCCCAAATATGGTAGCTTGCTGGGCTGTGCTCTCACATGCCAGGACCCATGCTGTGCCCAGTGTTTTGGCTTTATGCCCCGCCCTGTGCTTTGTCTCACCATCTCTGCAGGCAGAGGAAAGAAAACCAATTTTCTTGCAGCTTCTCCTCAAGCTGAGACAGACATCCTTAGAAACAAGGACTGGTATTCTTGGCAGGCATTTTCAAAAGCCTCAAATAAACCCGGTTTCCCAGTTCTGACTCCTCCACATTCAGTGGCTCACACAGGGCACAATGTGAGGTGCTAGGACCCCTGCCCTAGAGCTCCCTTGGGTTATTCCTGTTTCCAAACAAAGGACCAAATGGTCAGCATTCATTCACAACCTAGTACCAGCAGACTGCATTACCTGGCTGGACCTGACAGCTAACTCTTGTCTCAACTGCTCTAAAAGTTCAGATGTCTCTTCAGTGCCTTCTTCCAACCGCCTTGCTCCCCTGTCAAGTTCCTCTTTGTCACTCCTAGCTGCCTGTAGAGCCACCTCCAAAACAATCTTCTCGTTCTGCAGGAAGCGAATCGTGTCCTCCCTGGAGGCAGACTCTCCCTGCAGCTCCTCCAGCCTCGCCTGCAGCTCATCGTAGCGCGTCTGCAGGTCATCAAGGGACTGCCCCTTGGCCTGCAGAGCCTCCTGTGTCGAGGTGAGCTGCCTCATCAGGTCCAGGTGCTCCTGCTGCAGTGCTGTAAGCTGCTGATCTCGCTGATGCAGCATCAATTTCACCTAGAAACAGGTGATAAACTTAACTTGCTGTCCTTGATGTGGCAGCAAGAATCTGTACTTTTTCCTTGTTCAGGATATAGACAGATAGATGGATAGATATAGATTTTTTTTTTGGGCAGGACTGGGATTTGAACTCAAGACTTCATGCTTTCCAGGAAGGCATTCTACTACTTGAGCCATGCCCCTATCCTGATTTAAATAATTCTGATGAACTCTTGCAGTATCTTTTTATATGCAAAATTCTAGTACAGAAGAATATGAAAAGAAGCAATGCCATGGCCAGGCTAGTAGCAGCCTGATGGTGACCCTGCAAACACACTCAACAGACAACCCAACACAAATCTGAGCTGTCAACATGGCTTGATACAACATTGCCAAGCAGGCCACCTGTGTACAAACCTAGCATGTGCACACTAGGCTGGACCCATGTCTACAGGAGGCCTTTGTGAACCTGGGGTCCAGGGTGGCTATTGCTACTTGCCTGTTCCAACTGCTGCTCCAAGAATGCTGCTGCATCTGCTACCTTTTGCAGCTGTTCCCGCTCTCCTTCAAACTCTTCCAGCCTTCTCTGCAAGTCTTCCTCTACCATTGTCTTCGCTTCCCGAATCTGCTCAAAGGCTGCTTCCTGGTCCAACATGTCAGCCTAGGCCCAGGAAACAATATTTTTTAAAAGAAGACTGTAAAGGAACATGCTGCCCCATAAGACGCCCCTCCTTCACATTTCCATCCTGTCTACAAGCTGCAAATTGAGGGGCTGAGGTATGAAAGACTGGCACTTGTCCACTCTCCATAGGACAAACGCCAGGACACGTGGGGCTCTGACCCTGGCTGGCCAAGGCCTGACCCAAGAAAGGACCAGGCAAACAACCCTCCCAGCTACTTTGGAGGCTATAGCAGGAGAATCACTTGAGCCCAAGAGTTTAAGAACAGCCTGGGGTGAAAGGGGAAAAGTACAAAGAAGAAGTTGTAGGAAATGATGAAGGAAACTCCCCCATCGTTTCTCATGGGAGGACAGGTCAGTACCACATGCTTCTATAGTGTCATACATGGAATATCCTCTTTGATAAGACTGCCACTTGATACCACTTGGTAAAAAGACGGAAGGGACCAAGGGGCCAAACATGGTATTCCTTACATTCCAACTATATAGTTGACATCTTAGTATACTTCTTAGGGAAAAAAGGTTAGCTTATAACTCAAAAGTATTTTCAATTTTGTTACACTGAGCCCCTGAACATTAGTGTTCACATGACATGATTCTCTTCTATTATCTGAGCCAATGGCTGTGTGATCCACACAGGAAAAGGGACAGGTGCAAGTAATAAGATAAGAAACCAGAAAAACCACCAGAAAGCTGATTTCGTTTGTGACTATCTACGAAAGGTCAGAATCAAAATCAGCCCAATGACATTCTCAGCACAAGACAATTGTTTATACACTGCTTAGATGTTTAACACTGTTTTCATTTCCTTAATTTTTCTTTTTCTTTCTTTTCATCTTTTTCTTATCTTTCTTTATTTTTTAATTGGTTTTTTAAAAACAGAGTCTTACTTCCAGGCTAGCCTGGAACTCACTATGTAGTGCAACTGGTCTCAAACTCACAATCTTCCTGCCTCAGCCTCTTCAGTGTTGGTGTTATAGGCATGAACCACAATGCTGGGCCTTCTTCACTTTTTCTAACAAGGATATTAAGCAAGTATTTACTATCTATTTTATTAGAAAAAGTAAGGTAGGTTGGGGATGTGACTCAGTGGTAAATGCTTGCCTAACATGGGCAAGACCACAGGTTCAACCCCCAGCAAGAAATAAAAGAAAACTAGACTCAGAGAAGTAAAGAAATCATCCAGGGTCTCACAGACAATGGGATTTGGGTCCAGGTCAAATCTACTGTATTTCTCCACATCTAGAAATGACAAGTAGAGGCAGGTGGCAATAATGGAAATTCCCTCACATGGGCATTAAAGGACTGAATAGCAATGCAGGATGAGTGCTTGCAAACTAACAAAAAACTCACCTATTATCACTGGGCTTTCAAATGCTGTCTGACAAAGACATACTAAGTCCCTCCCTCCCCACCTACTCTGCCCAGCTCCGTCTCCAACTCCAGTAGGCAATGACCTACTGGACTATGGTGGGGTTCAGAGAAGAGCTCCAAAATACCATGGACATCCAGGCCAGACGAAGGATGGGATACCAAAACTTTAAACGGTTTCACTATAGGCTACACAACAGAATGCTTTAAAATATGCTTTCAAGTATTACATATCATTTTAAAAGTACACTCATATACACACACATGTACACGCCTACTTATTTGAATTATGTTTACGAGTATGTATATGTCTTACACTTGCCAACAGGACTCAAAACCAGGTAAAAATCAGCACTGACACAGTCCTACCTCGATGCTCTGAAGCTGGACAGCTATGCGCTCCTTCTCCTTGATGGACCTGTGCTGCGTTTCTGTCAGCTGGTGGGACAGGGACACATTCTCAAGCTTCAGGTGCTCTAGCAGGCCAGCTTGAGTCATCTGTCCAACCTTCAAAGAAAGACCCGTGAGGAAAAAACCTGCTTGACATCAGAGATCAAAAGCAGATCAATTCATCCCAAGCCACCAGGGTGAGAGTCTCTGTCCAAGACAGCTACCAGCTGTCCCTTTCTTCACCCTCAACCTGCAGGACTCACCCACTGCCCACCACAAGTCATCCCACCTCAAACTTAGGCCATCTGGGTTTTGTGTATCTAAGAGGAGAAGGTTGGCTACCCAGAAATCAGATCATCACACCCAGAGTATGCATTTTGGGTAGTTCCCACCAAAGGTACACCTGAGTTCCCCAGGGGAGGAGCCATATCTCAACTATCTCAACTTGCATCAGATGCACACTGGCCCCAGGACAGTCAGGGCCTACACCTCTGACCATTTCCTTGAGAAAAGATGCCTGGAGCCAGGGTCCCCAAGGAGTGAGGGACAGTAGAGAGAAGCAAGAGCTGAAGACATGTAAAAGTGAGGGGGCCTGTGGTGGACCGTCCCCCACTTTGTCTAGCCCCCAATGGACACTGCTGAACTGACAAAAAAGAATGTGTGACAAAGCAGGCCTCAGGGCTAAAGGGAAGTTGCATGGAGCAACAGAGGACAGCATTCACTAGGGCTGTTTCATGATGATGAAAGAATACAGACATCCCTGCATCCTCCAACTCTGTTGACTGCTACTGGGAAAAGAAGCAGCATGAAAATTCCTAGTTACAAAATGCTCACCCTATACCTTTCCTAGGCATTTTGCCTTCTATTCCTCCTGCAAATCTCCAGAGCACATCTCTAAAGTCTCTAAAGTCTAAGAGGCTGCTGCGGGCAAGGCCCAGGTAAAGCACACCCACCAAACAATATGTGGATTGGCACAGGTTCCCACACCTGCAGAATCAAAGGCTGACATGGTCTGCATGCACTAACAAAATGGACAGGGAAGAGGAATATGTCCCCTACAGGACCTGGAAATGACTGTACATTCTTGAGTACAAGCAGTCAGAGCAAGGTGAAGTTCTGGGGCACAGACCACTTGCCACACTCCATGTTGTCAGAAAATTGGGAGGAGATTCAGAGAGGCCAGGGTGGGAAGGCCCTAAGGCCCAAAAGACATGGACTTGAGGGCTGGGATCAAACAACGGAAGAGTTACTCTTCACAGGAAGGATGGGACTGACTAGCAGAGCCATGGCATAGGATGGCCTAAAGTGGGGCTTCTTAGAATGAAAGACTCAAGCAGAAGCTGGGATGCTCTTACGTCAGGACATGGGGGAGGGTCATGCACAGGATGGGTATGGGATACCCTGGTGGTTAGCAGACTCTAAGCAAAAATGTTCCCATGAAATCTAAAACCAGAAACACCTTTTTAATTCAGAGGAAACCACATATCATCGCCCTGAAGGGAGTCCCCGGATCATACCTGGATGTGGGCCACCTCACCCTGCAGCCTGACCCGGGCTTCCTGCGCCAGGGCCAACTGCTGCTGGTACCACTGCCGGGCATGCTGCAGAGATGCAATTTCAGCTTGTGATGCTTGCAGCTTGCTGGTCAGCGTCGTGCGCTCTAGCTGCACTTGCTGGAGCTGGCTCTGTAGGGCTGCCATCTGCTGCCGAAGGTCGTGCACTGAAAGTGAGCAAGCACAGCCAGCTCAGACTAACCAGCACCAACAGGAGAGCCGCAGCTCTGTGTGGACGTCTGACCCAAAGTCGGGCTCTGCAGAGAGCAAGAAGTACAGCTGATGGTGGCTATCCATAATGACCATGTTCTATCAAGTGGCCACAAATCCTGGAGTGGCAGAGATGGAACCACTGTTCCTCGGGAGACACAGGGCTGGGTTCCAGAAAGCTCTAGTCACAACATTTTTATCAAGTGATCAACATATAACCTTCGTTTACATGTGATTCTGTTTAAAGACCTTGCAACCCCCAGAAGTACAAAACTATCTTGGTGCACAGAAACTTTTGGACTTTATTTTTCCTGAGGGATTGGTTATCATAAAATGCTCAAAGTCTGAAAAATCAATAGCAATTGGAATAGTAAGTTGTTGCAGAGGGCTCTTTCTCTTCTCTGGTGAAAAAAACTGAGCCTCTGGAATAGCAGCTTTTCTCCTCTAGGTCATCAGATCTGAGGCACAGCCTCACAGCCACAGCTGAGACAAAAGGGAATGCGTATGTGGCCTTCACAACTCTGAACAAGAGCCTCACTTGTCCTGTCACTCAGGTCTTGGTCTTCAATCCCCCTACCCCACTTTACCTTCTCCTCCCCACTCCTACTCAAACAACATGCTCTGAGAGCAAACAAGAGTCCTCTCAGGAGTTGGTAGAGCCAACTCTAGGTGAGCCCATAGGAGCCAGCCAGACCAAAACACTGAACTTAACACTGGGAGGAGGGTCACCAATCAACAATCTGGATGATCAAAGATTCAAAGCTGATCTCTGAGACCTTTATTTACCTCCTTGGATGTATATACAAAAAGGTACAGAATCTCATCATTTCAACCAAAAATTGTACTTACTTTAGCAAAACAGAGATCCCACATGTCAATTATAAGCTAAAATGATCCTGTGGCCTCACTTGTATGACACCACTGACCAGATTTTGGAAGCAGGAAATGGGCCTCACCTGTGTTGTCCTTGCTGAGCATGTTTCTCTGCATGTCCTCCACTTTGGCCATCAGTCTCTGGTACTGTTCCTCCGCTACCTGCAGGTCATTGTTGGAGGATGCCAGACTCGCATTTTTGGCTTCCAGCATGTTCTGCAGGTCAGTCATAGCTTGCTCCAGATCCCAGCAAGACTGCTTCAAAGTGTCCACTTCAGAACTGAGGGAGTCCTGCTTCTGCTGGCTGCTGTGGCTATGCTCCACCTGTGCCTGCAGCCGTGTGCTCAGGGCAGCAAGCTGAGCCTGCAGCTCAGCCTTCTCTTTGAGAGCCTGAAAATAATTCCAAACAACCACAACGGCTTTCAGAAAAAGGAGGCAGTCCTATCCACTGTATTAACAAGACTGCTGAGACGTACCAGTGAGACAAAAGGAGGTAAGTTACATACTGCATACCATCTCCCCAGTCTACCCAGACCACTGCGGACTCCACCATGACAGTTATCCCAGAAGAAGGTCATTTTCCAATAGGCCCAGGAGGCAGAAGGGACATGTGTAGACACTGTGCTGGCACTGGGTGAAGCCCAGAGGACTGAAGGATGCTGGAAAACATACTGGCTCAAAAACAAACAGGAAGCCAGGCACTAGTGCCACATGCCTGTAATCCTAGCTACTTGGGAGGCAAAGATCAGGAGGATCACAATTTGAGGCCAACCCCGGGCAAGTAGTTCATGAGATCCTATCTTGAAAATACCCAACACAAAAAAGGGCTGGCAGAGTGGCTCAAGTGGGAGAGCACCTACCTAGTAAGCACAAGCCCGAGTTCAAACCCTAGTACCGCCAAAAGAAATAAATAAAATAGGAAAACCAACAAGATATGCATGCATGTGCACAAAACACTCAGAAAGAATACCAGACATGCTGAGGGAGTCCTAAGAGATTGAAGACTCAAATACAGGAAGAAAATGGGCAAAAAAAACATCAGCAGAGAAATGCTGCTGCTACAAAAGGGGGTTTCCAAGGGCTTGAGCTAGGGCCACTGGACACAAGAGCAACCCTGAGTGACCACAGCAGCACTGCTCATAGGACAGAGCAGGGAAAGAAAAGGCAGGCCCCAAGAGCTGCAGAAAAAATCCACAACAATAAGACAAGTGAGGCCTGGGGTACAGCACTTGCCTAGCATGCACAAGGCACTGGGTTCAATTCCCCAGCACACCATAAAAAGAAAAACGACAAGTGAAAGACAAAGACAGGCCCTATCCACCCACCAGCACATTCTGCTCACACCAGGTCTAGCTAGGGTTACCTGTAGACAGGAATCCAAAACTCACATACTATGGAGAACTAACTGTGAAGATAAATGACACATTCAACAAACAGATCAAACACCCCTTGGAATCAATTAACTTTATAAACTCAATAGGATTTTAGAACAATAGTAACTAACATCCACAGACAGTAAGGACCTATGACAATCCACACAGATCTTGGCTTTGACATGAACAAGACACAAACTGGTCATCACAGGAGGAAAGCTACGGTTCTTAGAAAGTTCAAAGAATTGCATACATAGAGAAAGTGGAAGTGCATTTAACAAGATAGGTACATTATAAAGTAGTGTATGAGGGGGCCTGGGATATAGCTCAGTTGGTAAGAGCACTTGCCTAGTTTGTGTGAGTTTTGGTTTTAATCCCTAGCACCAAACACACACACACACACACACACACACACACACAAAGAATACTAATAGAAAAAAAAATAAAAGAATACTAATAGATTATTGAACATTAAAAAAATATCCTCTGTCCACACTAATAATGTAAAGAAAATAAATGGAGAATGGAAGTCTTCTATTAGTTTATGAGGTTAAAATTGTCCTTGAACTCTCTGAATCACCACTCTCCTTTAAGTACCACAAAATGACTGACTAATATTGACAAAATGATAAAAATCTAGTTCTTTGCTATCGATAAAAGTATGTGCAACAAAATGACAAACAAAAGCTGATGAAAAATGGTATTTTTAAGCAAATACTAACCAGTCATAGAAAAATACCAGAAAAAGTAGAACTCATTGCAAAAAGTATTAAAGGGGGCCAAAATGAAAACTTTACCATCCCAGAAACAGATACAATCTACCAAAAAATTTTACTATTACAGCCAGGCATGATGGCTTATACTTGTAATCCTAGCACTTGGGAGACTGAGGCAGAAGGATCATGAGTTTGTGGCTAGCTGGTACTACACTGAGAGACCCTGCATAAAAAGGAAGAGAAAAAGGAGGGAGGGAGGAAGAATTTAACGGTTACAGACCATGAGATAGCTAGTTTCTAGGAAATGCTTTGGGCAAATCTAGATGGAGGCTCAAGAAGGACTGAGCCTCACATGATCACAGCAGAACTAGCACAGAACCGCTTGGGGCCAAACATCAAGCAGACAAAACATACAACATAAAAGCCTGTCATGCCAGTGCTAACATAGCTTACTCCTAAAGACATCTGTAAAACTTGGCACCCAGCAAGGAGGAACCATACATTCTTTTCAAAGACTTAGCTCATCAAACATCAAACTTCCCTTACCTGACTAGCCTCCAATGACAAGGCCTCCAGCTGTCCTTCAAGTCTCATTTTTTCTTTAAGAACCTGCAACATTTCATCCTGTGTTTCAGCAAGAGAGCTCTCCATAGACACACTAGGGGACAGAGCCAGAGTCAGAAGGGGGAAACATGGTGGTTATTATTTGCCATTTACCCTTTCCTGTATTCTCCAAATTTCACACACACCTGCTTACCTCCTCCTCCCCCCACACTTTTTTTTTTTTAAATAAGTAAGTAAAAAGACTTAAGTAGTGAGCTGAAGCTTAGCCCACAGCAGTCTCTGCAGTCGTTATGTGTTAAGAGCATGCTCTGGAAGCATGAGCCCCTGGGAGCATCTGGGTGATCTTAAGAGCCAGATCTGTACAAATGTGGGAAGACAGGCTACTTTACTATTGCAACCGATCCCACTTCTTAGGAAGCAACAGAGACATGTGCACATGAAATGTCAATGTGAAGACAACAGGGCATTAGGAAAGATATGCTCTGCTCTGGGACACATGGCAGTGGTCCAGAGCACAGGGTCAAAGGCCAGGCCATTGTCCCACCTGCTGCAGATGCTGTCTCTGCGGCTCCGCACTTCCCCATTGACTTCTTGCACCTGGTCCTGGTGTTCAGCTGCTGCAGCCTGCAGTACATCTTTAATTGAAGGAAACTGGCCCAGGGCCAGTTCCTGGCCATTGACCATGTAAGCAGCTCCCTGTGTAGTCATGTTCACCAGGACATCACTAGTCCCACGGGCAGAGAGGCTGCTGTGTGAGGAGCTATCACTCTCATTTCCATCGGCCTCAGATACACTGTCCCCAGTCATGGAGGCACACTCTAGACGGCCATCAGTCTCAGGAGATGGGCTGATCTCAGACACGACTGAGGTGCTGCTTCTGCTCTGCTTCAGGGAACCCCCGACAGAGTTTGCAGTAGGACCAAGGCCACCAAAGTCACCTGAATCTTCTGTTCTGTAATCTGCCAGAGACCGAATTTTGCTTGACTTGGAACTCTTTTTCTCCTTAGGATGTGCCAGCAGTCCTAAGCTGCCCACTTTAGGCCCCCGAGGGAGACTGGTACGCAGGAAGGAGTACTCTTTTGTCATAGCCACGGTACTGGCCCTTGGCAAGTTTTCTGGATTTAACATGAGCTCAGGATCAAGTGTGCTAAAAAGTCTCATTTTTGTTGCAGGTTGACTGGACTGAGAAGGAAACAAAAGTATAAAAATATGTTTAAAATTGGGACTCTAAAACTGTCACCCAGAAAGTGTGTACCAATTAACATTCCCTTGGCTGATGAAAGTATGGCAGGCCCTTGGTATGCGGCTACAGCAGGCCTGAGTCTCAAGCTCTCACTGCGTCAAGGTTATGAGCCTCAACCAGTACAGCCATTCCTGGACCTGAAGCACACTCTTTTATGACTATTACTTCAAAACATTTTTAAGCAGGTGTTACAGAAAGTCCTTTCTCATTACACTCCCTTGACAAAACTTTCCTGGCCGTTCTCCCATGTTTACTCTTTCAGACACACATAAAAATTTCTTCAAGTTAAATACAGCCCTTTGGTGGGCGCCAGTGGTTCATAACTGTAATCCTAGCTGCTTGGGAGGTAGAGATCAGGAGGATCAAGATTTGAAGCCAGCCCTAACCTCGAAAAAAACCCAACATAAAAATAAAAGGGCTGGCAGAATGGCTCAAATGATAGAGTGCCTGCCTACCAAGTGTGAGACCCTGAGTTCAAACCTCAGTACCATCAAAAAAAGAAATAAAGAAATACAGCCCTATTGAATTACAACTACCTTAACTTTGTAAGTGCTTATCGGACAATGAACTACTTTCCTCAATAGTGTCTGCTTTGTATGTTTGTCAACAAAGACATTATGTGATATTCTTTAACTGGATCCTAAGCCCTTTTTATCCCCCTCATGATTCTCAGTTTGTCATTTTTGTTGTTGTTATATATGTAATCTTTATCTACTGATTTTATAACTGTGGCAGGAAACTACTGACTTTTCATATCTCTTTTAATAAACTTACAATTTCCCAAACCCAAATTAGATCCAATAGTTTTCAGTTGATTCTCTGGACTTTTTCAAGGCATTACCAACACCTGCAAATAACAACATTTCTTCCATTTGTCAATGTTTTTATCTCCCAGTTCTTTTTCTTATATTATGGTATTAGCTAGAAATTAGAGGTTTGGGATGAAGGAAAGACACTCTTCATTTTGTTATATTAGCATGACTTTCTCCTATAGGAAAAGTTCGATCCTGTTTTACAAATCAATATATAATCCCAAGACACATGGGGAGGAAGATAAGAAAAATCACAGACAACATTGGGATATAGCTGGATATATAAATAGCAAGAACAGCTAGAAAAGAACAGAAAGGGTAGGGGTAGGCAATGGAGAGGCTGGACCACCCAGACATGGACAAGAATATTATGCCACAGGAGCTAGATCCATTTAGACCTCACACATGAGCAGGCATACAGGCCACTGAGATAGGATGCAATCTAGACACCAGTCTAGGAGGAACAGACTCACCCTTTCCTGCTGGCGCTTCACTCGGTACTGTCTGAGCTGTTCTTCCAGCCGCTTCCGGGCCTGAAGTCGGACCTGCTCCTCCTTCTCCAGGGGCAGTGAAGAGGCTGTGGAACCTGTGGGGAAACAGCCACTGAGAGGCTCATAAAGGAGCAGGACACAGACGACAAATCGATAACTACAGCTTGATTGTGTTGAGTTTAATTACCAATATGCTTTAGCTCCTAAACAATACACAGCCACCTAGTTTCAGACAACTCCAGATTAAGAGAGAACGATGAGCCTCAGCCACTGACTACAAACAGTATATACCTTGCAGGAGGCACGCTTGAAAGTGCACACTTGAAAATGCTAAGCCTCTTTTGTGCACAAGTACACTAGCTACAAGTGCGTTTCACGCAGTAAAGCAAAAGACAGGTGACAAATGCCTTTTAGTAACACAAAGAATGAACTTAAAGTTAGGGCCAGGGTTGAGTCCTCAGAGGCTGAGGCAGGAGGACTGCTTGAGCTAAAGAGTTGGAGGGCAGCCTGGGCAACATAGCAAGACCCCATCTCATAAACAAACAAAAAGGAGTAGTGGTGCAAGCCTATAACCACAGCACTCAGGAGGCTGGGGCAGGAGGATTATGAGTTTGAGGTCAGACTGGGTAACAGCCAGACCTCATCTTAAAAATAAACAAAAACAAAGAAACAAGAGTGTCTACTGCTGGTAGGATGTGGGAGAAAGTGTCCTCACAGGTCACTAGTGGCGTGGCAATATGGCCATGTGGGACAGCACTAAAAATCTACATAGCCCATAGAGAAGGAAGGCCAAAGCCCAAGGACACATGCAAGATTCCAGCTGCAGCACTGCCCTCTACTGCCAAGGACTAGAAATACAGCAGGTGGCAGTCAGACATGGAGGGCTTGCCAGGCACACTGGGCCAACAGATCTTGCACTGCACTGACAGTGGGAAGCAAGTGAGAAAAACATGCAATCACAGGAACAGCAGAATGTCGCTTAAGGTTCCTTTTTGTTTTTGAGATGAAGCCTTGCTAAGATGCTGGGGCTGGCCTCAAACTTATAATCCTTCTGCTTCAGCCTCCCAAGTAGCTGAGATTACAGGCACATGAATTTTACTTTTTAAAACAATGACCAAAAATCTGTGCATGTTTACAAAAGCTTAAAAAGAATCTTGGAAGATTATGGCTTACCTGGAGGGCAGAAATGAGTTACATAGAGACAAGGGGATAAAATCTCACAATGTAAAATAGTATGTATGTGTACATATAAAAAATAAGGATCAGCAAAAGATCTTGGGGTTTCTTAGACTCACAGACTACCAGTGTAAGAACTGTTCATCATTCAACCCAGAAATCAGCACAAAATAAATGCTGACTAAAATAATACATAAAAGAACACCTTTAAGTGTAATTGTAACTGTCTCAAGACTGATTCTCCTGTCTTCACCACTGGGGTGAAGAAGGACAGGTGAGTAGGCCTTTAATCAGGGACCCTGGCACCCCTGTCAGTACCAGATGGCAAAGTTCTAATACCCACACATACTTTCACTCTTTAAAAAGCTACCTTGAAAAGAACAACACTGCCCTCCCCCGCCACACACACAAATAATAAAATGGCCCAGGGCAACACCATGACTACTCAGAAGGCAGCAGTCAGGCACTGACCAGAGGCTGAGGATGCTGACAGGAGGGGATGAGAAGAGTCCAGCAGGAATGGATGCTTACACAGTTGAGTTTCTTGCATGGGAAGACTGAGTCTGAGAGACTGCAAAGCTTCTTTTCTAACACTGCCCTCAGCACTAGTTCCCTGAGACTTCCTTAGGTTGTCATGGAAACCAGTCACACCTGGAGAGGCATCAGGACCCACTCGGCTTGTGGTAGGATCAAGAGACAACAATGGAGGGTCTGGGAACTGCGGCACTGGCCCATTCTGACAGAGGGCTGCCTGGCCAGATCCATCTGGGCTTCCTACTTCCCTGCAAGCTCTGTTTACCTCAACACTGGCACCTAGAGAGAGAGAGAGAGACCATATTAGCCACTGTGGTTTTTAACATCAACACTAGTACCTGGAAAGAGAGACCCATGTTGGCCACTGGTTTTAACAGGATGAAGTCATTTTCAGACATGCAGCTATGCAGGAGTCACATGAGTAGGAGTATTTCCACAGCTTAGAAGTCTGCTCTCTCTCAGAGAACATGAGGCTCTAGGTCTCTGTCCTGGGGCAGGGAGACCTGGGGCAAGTTCCAAGCCTCACTGAGCCTCCATGTCCTCACCTGTAAACTGGTCTCACCCTCCACACCCTGACTGTGGAATTTAAGTCATGTTTCCTTTTCATTTAATGGGTTTTTGTCATTGTTGAGTTTTTTGGTACTGGGGGTTTAACTTTGGGCCTCATGCTAGACAGGCACTCTACCACTTGAGTCCCTCTGCCAGCCCCTCCTTTTCATTTAAATAAGAATAAGAAATCTTTGAAAGTCTGTTTTTCAAAAAAAAATATAGAAAACAAAAGCTTAAAACAAAGCTTATGATTATTCTAACAGATGCTGATAACAGAAGGGCTAATTAAGAGTCCCAGCTCACATTTTTTTAAAATAATTTAAGCTATTACATGTATATATGCAATACCCTCCCAAATATCATTGAAAACATAAGTGAGAAACATTTTTTTCTGGGGTTGGAACTCAGGGCCTCACACTTGTTAGACAGGTGCTCTACCACTTGAGCCACTCCACCAGTCCCAGCTCACTTTTTCAAGAGCTGGTTCCAAAGTCAATTCAAAGCTTATGTTCTCCCCCAAAATGGGAAACCTAGGGCAAAAAGGTAAATAATCTGATCAGATCGATTTTTGCAAAAGTGAGAATAGAACCCAGACCTTGCTTCTGCTTGACTGACCACCAGTTAGGTTAAAAAAAACCCAAGTTTAACCAACTACACTCATGCCAAACTGAGCTCATCCACTAACGTTATGCAAAGAACTAAGATATTTCCGTCTCAAAAGGCCAGGAAGAAAGACTTCTTATAATTAAATTACTTTCAATCTTTCCCTTGTCTCACCCTTGTTTTAGGCCAGTCAGTAGTTAAGAGAAAAGGAGGGTCATAAAGGGTTCTCAGACCCAGTAGGGTCCAGGCTTTCACAGGGATCAACATTAGTGTATCCCAAGACATATCCAGGATGCATCCAGAAAATTCCCTTTTTGTTCGAACAAATTAAAAATGGACTTGTCATGTGCTAATGTGAGTCTCTTACTAATAGAGCTACTCAGTGACATGTCTCAAAAGGAAGCAGAGCAGGAAGAGAGCATGAAGACTTGGGAACGCTCAAGACAACTGTTTGCTCTGGGACACATGTCAGGTCTAATAATGGGAAGGATCCTGCAGTTCAAATACACGTTACTTTGTTAAAAACTACTTTCTGAAGGGTCTCTAACCCTTCCATCTACATAACAAAGTGGGTTGGGTTTTTTTGTTTTGTCTTTTGTGGCACTGGGGTTTGAACTCAGGACCTACACGTTCAGCCATTCCACCAGACCTTTTTTGTGAAGGGTTTTTTCGAGATAGGGTCTTGCAAAGTATTTGCCCCAGCTGGGTACAAACTGAGATCTTCCTCATCTCTGCCTCCTGAGTAGCTAGGATTACAATGGTGCCCAGCAACAAAGTGAGTTTTGAGCATCATACACACTTCTTAAAAAATCTAAAAGTAAAAAAGACCCAATAAAATATTAAAGACTTTACTGTTCCCAAACACAAGCTTAACTGAAAAGAAACATAATAATGAAGACAGATGACAAAAATAGCCACAACCAATCCTGGAAGCAAACTGAGTGATAGGGTTTGAACACTAACCTCAAGCATGCTAGGCAAGTGCTCTACCACTGAGCTACACTGTAGGTCCTTTGGCATGTTATGTGTATTTCTTTTAACTCTCACAACTATGAATCTTCCTGAGTGACAGGATCTAAGGTTTGGTTCCATGTTTGTATTACCTGCCTCATGTGGCACTGACATACCAAGAATCAACAAGGTCATGTTAAGTGTTTGAACATGATTTTACAATAATCAGAATGCAGTTTACTGCTGGGTGCTAGTGACTCATGCCTGTAATCCCAGCAATTTGGGAAGCTGAGAGGATTGCAGTTTGAGGCCAGTCCAGACAAATAGTTTGCCAGACCCCATCTCCAAAATAACCAGTGCAAAATGGACTGGAGGTGTGAAAGGTGTGAAAGCAGGAGAGCACCTGCTTTTCAAGTGTGAAGGCTTGATTTCAAACCCAAGTCCTGCCAACAAAAAAAAGAATGCAGTTTGTGCTAGCAAACTAGTACATAATAATCTGCTTTAAAGCACATATTACACTGCTAGCTCCTGACTGACCAGGGCAAAAAAAATGAGAGAATAGCCACCCTTTACTTCATTTTTTTGTAGTACTGAGGTTTGAACTTAGGGACTCATGTTTGTTAGGCAGGCAATCTACCACTTGAGACACTCCACCAGCCCTCAACCTTTACTTCTGATGCACAAATAGCCCAGCAGTTCATTTTTGTAACTTCTGATCACAAAAATGTGATTTGGGAATTCTTAGTTCTCTACTGAACCATTTCTGAATTCTAGTTATTAAAACTTTGGCAACCAACCGAAAAGGTAGAATTTCAGGCAAGAGCAATAACACATCTGTGGAGACCCACAGAAGTTGTCAGTTCTGTGTATCCATGGTACACAATCAACTAGGTTGCTCCTATTCTGTCTAATATGGATGACGCTTGGTGTACAGACAGCACCAAGATGGCAGAATCGTTCAAGTGCTAGTTCTTGCCTGTCAAGCATGACACCCTGAGCTCAAACCCCAGTACTGCCAAAAATAAATTAAAAGTCAGCACAAATTAAAAAAAAAAGCAAAAAACTTGTAAAATTACTAAAACACCTTCTGAATTGAATGAAAGTTCACATCCTCCTCTAAAATACAAGTTGACTACCTGTCCCTGCTCAGAGGCAGGAAGGGCCTGTTCTAGAGCAGAGTAAACCAGATGACTTACTCTGAGCTGTGTCTGGCTGGTCAGGTGGTGCTGAGCCTGGAGGCTTCAGGGGGGCATCAGAGGGAGCTGAGGTGCCACTGCTCATGCTGTCTTCCCAGAGGCCATCTTGCTCAGTCAATACACTGTCCATGGTCACAATGGCCCAGACTGAGCAGACACTGATGGGCTACAAGTGACCCTGGAGCAAGTTCGATTTCTGCCATCAGCAATAGCCCAGAGCTGCTAGGAAAGACGTTACTTTGTTTTCCATTTTCAGGGTAAGATTTAAAATCTCACAAATGGCTTGAAGTGAAACCAATCAATATCATGATACCTGACAGAAAGGAAGAAAAAAATGTATTATTAAACTTCATTTGTTAGACTTCAAGTAACAATTATAAAATTAACATTTGGTTCCCAACTTGCATTTGTGTAAGAAACACAGACTTACTCATTACACAAGCAGTCCTTGAGTATTTCCTAGGTTTTGAAGAACTCAGTGTCTCTTTTGGTACTGGCTAAAGTTCTGCCACAAATGATTTTCCAAAATTACAAAGAAGCCTGTAACCTGTGCTATAGTCCTATATTTGGCAAATGAATTTTAAATTAATTTCAATTTAAACAGCCATATATGGGCAATAGCTTCTGAATTAGACAGGCCTGGGTGATCATAGCACACATGGAGCAACTGCGCCCAAGGCCATAGCTCCTGTCAGACAGCCCCAACCTTGCAAGGGGCACAGACAGCTCAGATCTAGAGGGCTAAAACTTAAAGAAGAAATCACCATAGGATGAGGTGACCGTATGCTATTTAGGGAAGGTGCAAGGTTCAGAGGACACCCGGAAAGGCAGCTGACTTAGAAAGGGGGTTAACAGAGAAAGCGTCTCAGAGCAGGTGACAGTCTGCCTTTCACTAGTAGTAGGATCAAGCTGTCTTTTGACCCATCCTTGCAGGTTAAGATTAAGGGAACCAAACTTCTCCCTAAGTTTGGCAACTAGTTATTAACTCTGAAATATACTGATGATATTAACTAATTTCCTTATCAACAAATACTAGTGTAAGCTTCTAGACATTCTGCAGAAATGCTGGCATACATATACTTCCTTTAGAATAAACTTCATAGTATTCTACGTTCTGTTTTACACTTCACATGCTTCATGATAAAAAATTATATAAACTCCACCCCTAGTTTACAAATCCTATTTCTAAATTACAGATAAGAAGCCCAAGTGGGTGGTCCTTGCTTGCAAGGAAGTGTGATGCTGACTCAAAAGAGTATGCTTGTCACTGAAGGCAAAAGTACTCTGACTCCATCTGTAGTGGTAAACACTGGTGGTAGGCACAGCCTAGCCTACCAATACAGTCAATGACAACATAGGATTGTCTCTTTCTGAGACCTTTGAGCATTAGCTCATAACTATAATAATCCAGGTATTCCTCTCTGCTGATTTCAGAATCACTGTGAGTTAATAACAGTGCTGTTAAGATCATAAAAAGAAGTCAGACAAAGTGGTGCTCATCTGTCTCCCTAGCTACTTGGGAGGCTGAAGCAAGGGGATTGCTTGAGTCCAAGACTTGGGCCAGTCTGGGCAATATAGTAAGACTCTGTCTCTTTAAAACAGAATGAAACTAGCATTAAGAGCTTAAAACTTGAAAGTAATACTCACAAGAAAGGTTAAAACATTAAAAACTACAAATCCAGTATATCTAATCAAAAAAGTACAGTAAACAATGGGTTCTGGGAGTATGTCTGACTTGTGGTGCCTAGCACATGTAGATATACGAAGACTAAAACAACATCTGGGTGGGGGGAAAGGGAGGGGGCAGGGGGAAGGGGGGAGAAATGACCCAAACATTGTATGCACATATGAATAAAAGAAATTAAAAAAAAATAACGTTTGAAGGAAATTACTGAGATCAGCCAAAAAGAATTCTACGTATGATGAGTTTACAATCTCATTCTTATCTCTAATAGTCATCAGTAACATCTTCATCCCTGGAGTGATTTTCTAGCTGGGTGAACAGATGAATGGGCCCCTGGAGTTCACAGACCTCTCTGAAAACTACCACTTCACAGGACCCCACCTCCATGGAAAAGCACTTTAACACCTACCAAGCCTGCATCTCAGTGACAATCCCACATACTCTTAAGGAACAGCTGGTGGTGTATCAGTCATACCAGAATGATACTGTGGAAAAGACAACCACAAAGGTAGAACATCAGCCAAATGTTACCCAAAGTGGCCCTTTCATCACAGGCTCAGCACTTTAAGAACCACCTCAAATACTCTTCACTCATAGTGGCAATCAATACAGGTTAATCTTTGGCTCTGCCAAGTTCTATTCCTTAAGCATCCATGCTAATGGTCTCAAAACAAGATGATAAAGTAAGTGAACCCTGAGCATCAACATTCCTTTTTCAAATACAAAAAACTCTTTATTTATTCCTACAGAAAATGCCTGGGAACTTCAGTTTCAATGACCATAAAAGAATGGCTCTGGGGATTATAAACTGGAACGGGAACACACAAGGGCAAAAGCCCAGAGAACCAATGTCACCTAGTAAGGACAGGACACTAGGGAAACCACACTTATCTATAAAGATGAATATGTACGTAAGTCAAGGAGTCCCAGAGAGAATGTGCTTCAGAGACAATTAGTGACAAGGCACACACCTAAGACTTTTTAGGAAAGCAGAACATCAGCCCAAAACACTCAAGTTCCACTGATAGTGACAAATACAGGGATAAATGCATCAGCTGTCTAGCCCAAGACTAACATATACTGCTCTTAATTCTCCTTACTCTGATTTCTGGTTTTTGTTTTGTTCGGTGGTACTGGGGCTTGACATGGACTCAGGGTTTCCGTGCTCACAAAGCAGGCACTCTACCACTTGAGCCACACCCCCAAGATCTTACTCTGATTTTTTGCTGAGCTAGCCACCTTCTGATTCCTAAGCAGTAATTCCTTCCAGAGATGGGATGGCACAGACCTCCAAAATACAGGAGCCAGAGGCTGTGACTTTCTCTGGTTAACTAAAAAAGACAGCTCTCTTCACAAGTAGTTCCTCCTGAAGCCTGACTATAGTGACAAAAATTTCCTGACTGCCAGGAGTGGAGCTTCTGAAGGACCACTCTGTCGATCTTCAGTATCCCCTGAATTTTAGTTAGCATGACTCAGTCATTCAAGTCCTTGTTTCCTCAGGCCACTGAGGAAGACAAGTCTCTGGGCAACAAAGAGGATCATCAGACAGCTGAGTGTGTGTGTCACAAGGAAGCTGTTATTAGCTATATGTACTCCATTTATGATTTTTTTTTCTTTTTGGTGGGACTGGGGTTTGAACTCAGGGGTTTACACTTGCAAAGCAGGCACTCTACACTTGAGCCACAACTCCAGTCCATTTTTCTCTGGTTGTTTTATTTTGTTGGCAGCACTGGGGTTTGAATTCAAGGCCTCACACTTGCTAGCCAGGCACTCTTAGTGCTTGAGCCACTCCACCAGCCCTTTTCTGGTTACTTTGGAGATTGGGTCTCTAGAACTATTTGCCCAGGTTGCACTCAAACCACGAGCCTCCCAATCTCAGCCTCCCAAGTAGCAAGAATTATAGGCTTGAACCACCAGTGCATGGCTTGTGATTTTTTTTTTTTTTAATAAAGGGGTGAGTTTCATTATGCTACCATTTTTGGCCATTTGCATTACTGTTTCCTAGATGGCAGACACAGGGCAAAGCTATCACTGAGAACTTCCTAAGCTATACATAGCTCTAGGCTTACTCTGCCTGATGTCAAGGGACTTCACATTGCAAAGCCGTCACCTCAGGCACTGTAGGACTTCCACCTTCCCCTACTCAGTGGAGTTCATGACTTTGGTACACACATCAACAGCGCCACCTACCCATCTTATTGAGCTTGGTTGAAGCCATACTAGTGAACAAAAGCAAACAGAACTGTATATAAGTGAAAACCAAAGGCAAGCCTCAGGTCACTGCACAGCAGGACATAGTATAGGCTTAGGAGCTGGACACATCTGCTTCAAATCTTGACTCTCCCCTGACTTAGCTGTAAGAGCTTGGGCAGATTTCTGAACCACTCTTAGCCTGTTTCCTAATGAATAAAATCAATGAGAAAAAGAATTCAAAAGTTTTGCTAGAATTGACTGCAGTAAGATACAGGGTCTGCCTATGCCCAGGATAAACACGTGCAATTGTTATTATTATCATTTTCCCTTCAACTGCTGCTGCTAGTCTAAATTAAGAGTAAAAGGTAACTGAAGATACTTTCACTTGAGAAATTACATTATTTCTTACAGCAACTGGTTAAAAAAAAAAAAAGCTACTTTTGAATCTGAGTAATGTCAGATGACTCATTTTCTTTTCCTGACATTCCAGTTGTTCTGTAACTGAAAACTACTAAAGAGCTATAAAGGCAAGGGACATGATGCACCTATAAATGGCTTACAATGTCCCACTGACAAAGTAAAAACCTCTCAACCTGAACTGTGAAGCCACCTTCATGTAGCTCCTGCCTACATCTCTACCCTCACCGTTACCGCTTCCTCCTTTTTCATTATACCTCGGCGATATTCTGTACCTAAAAACACAACTTGCTCTACACAGGGTCTCCACATTTCCTGTTCATTCTGCCTGAAACGCTTTTCTGGGCAGTTCTGCAGACCAGTTTCTTGTCATGGAGGCCTTGGCTCAAGTCACCCCTTCTACAGGACTTCCAGTAAACCTAAGTAGTTAAATCCAACACTCCTCACTCAATCCTCTCAATAATAACTTTCTTACTGGTCTGTGTCCCTCTACCAGAAGATGAGCTGGGTGAAGGCAGGGGTCACAACCATGACCTCAACACTATATCCCAAGATGAATGACAGGTTGTCACTCTAGTGGCATTCAGTAAGCACTTGTGAATAGAGGGTGAGCTGATCACCCGGCTCACGCTGGTGACAGCGTCTGGCCGCAGTCGTTATGGACCGTAGCACCGAACGGCGAGGCATCTCTGAGCACCAGAATCAAGACCGTAAATCCTGACGCAAACAAGGAAGTACCCGCCACCAGGTCACGTTTGTCATCAGCTGCAAAAGGTCCAGACTTCCAATGCGCTGGCCCAGCAGCAGGAGTGCACGCCCTCCGCGCAGACCGCACCCCAGGAGGCGCAAGGAGAGCCGGTTCCGATACCAGTCGAGAGGCAGGCCGGTGCACCAGAAGGACTGACTGGAGCTGGCCGCCGCTGACCTCGCGCCTCCGCGACCTTCCCCCAGCTCGGCCCCGCGACACTCCCCGACGCAGATCCCAGCCTTCGCTCCTCCGCGTACCTCGCCCGGCAGAGCCCCGCCCTGGCGCTCCAGCGACACAAGCTCCTGGGCCCACCCCCAGCTCAAGGCCACCGACTTTCCTCAGCCAGCACCCCTCGACCCACACTTGGCGTTCCCCGGCCCTGCGGCTCCGGCGAGACGTGGCCGTACGAGGGGCGGGGCGCGGCGGGACGCCGGCCTCGGGGGTACCCCCGGAAACAGCGTGGGTGCGCAGCCTCCGTTCCGGAAAAGAAACTGTCCTTTTCTGCTCGCCTACAGCCACACTCGAATTGGGCCCGGTATCGACCCGATTCCGGACAAGCCCGAGGCGGACTTCACAAAGCGACTTTAGGATTTTGCAGCCCTTTCCCTCGTAGAAATAACTTCCAGACTGGTAGGATCAACTCCGTCAGGAAGCTATACCAGAGAGCTTCCGGCGGAAGTGGCGTGGCCGGAGCTCGCCGCGTCCCTGTTCCGCCCCAGCCCTGGAGCTATGGGCGTGCCCTGTACTGCTCGGCTCTCCCGGTGGGCGTGGGTTGCGTTCTGGCCACCTCCTCCCCAGCCCCTAGGCCCCGCCCCGCGTGCTTGCTGAGTGCGGTTTTTCAGCGCTGGTGGAAAGGGAGATCTACTTTGAGACGCACCAGTGTCAGACTTAAGCTGCCGCGATGCCCCGCGCTTGTCATTCCCAGCACTCAGGAGGCCGAGAGGTAGAATCTCCTGAGCCCAGGATTTGAAGGCCAGCCTAGGCTACGCAGCGAAGCAGGCCAACAGGGCGGGTCCTTCCGCTGTATCGGGTGGCCACTCTGTTGCCCGCCGAGGCTCATGGCTTTCCACCCGCGTTTCAGAACAAGCTTGTCCACGTCTCCAGAAACCTTCGTGGAACCGGGAGAGAAACCGCGCCGCATCCACAAATGGAGCGATGGTGAGAACCATTTCAGGACTCCCCATCTGCTTAGGGTTCCTTGGATTCCCTTCGCAGCGTTTTGTAGTTCTCAGGGTGCGGTTTCGGTACCTGCTTTGCTGAACAAGTTTACACCTAAGCATTTCTTTTTTTCTTTTTTTGCAGCGATTATAAATGGCCTTGTGGGGCTGGGGGTGGAGCTCAAGTGGTAGAGCACCTGTCCAGCAAAGCACGATGCCTTGAATTCAACCCCCTCCCCCACAAAAGGCCGTGTTCTTTTGATTTTAGTTTCCACATGTTCGTCGTCACTCCACAAAAAATGGGAAGATTCTGTGGGCTGATCCTGCATCCTGAGACCTCAGTGAACTCACAGGTTAGTTCCAGGGTTGACTTGTTCAGTTTCGTTTTGTTAAGTTCCCCGAAATTTTCTCTTCAGACCATTATGTCATTAGCGCATACAAAATTTAACTCAGAATAATCACAGACTCAAGTGTCAAATGTGCGAAACTATACAGCTTTTGGAAGACAACAGAAAATGTTTATGACATGGAACTTAGCAAAGAGTTCTTAGACATGATTCTCAAGAGCACAAACCACCAAAGAAAGAATTGGTAAACTGGACTTCATCAAAATTTAAAACTCTTGGGCTGTGGTTGCAGCCCAATGGTAGGGCACTGAACTAGCAAGCTCAAGGTCCTGGATTCAATCCCAGTAAGTGAATAAATAAATAAATACTCTTGTTCTGAGAAAGACAACATTAACAGGTTAAAAAGATGAGCCACAATGCCAGGTGTGGTGGTACACTACTATAGGCAGGTGGATCCTCAGAGATCAGCCCGGGCAAAGTTAGGAGACCCTATCTCAAAAACAAAATACAAACAAAAGGACTGGAGGCATGGCTCAAGAGGTAGAGTACTTACTTGCCTTCTCAAGGTTCAATCCCTAGTACCAAAAAGACTAGAGAAAATATTTTCAAATCACATGTTTGAGGACTGGCAGAGTGGCTCAAGCAGTAGAGCACCTGCCTAGCAAGCGTGAGGTCCTAAGTTTGAACCCCAGTACCACCACCAAAAAAAAAAAAGTTGTGTTCCACATATTTGATGAGTGACTATTACCTAGAATATATAAAGAACTCTGAAAATGCAACAGTCAAAAAATACAATTAGTAATCCTAGCTACTAAGGAGGCAGAGATCAGGAGGATCGTGGTTCGAAGCCAGCCCAGGCAAATAGTTTTCGAGACCCTATCTCAAAAAAAAACCATCACAAAAACCCACCTTGGAGTGGCTCAAGGTGTAGGCCCTGAGCTCAAGCCCCAGTACCGCAAAAAAAAAAAAAAAAAAAAAAAATTAGAAGTCAAAATAATTGAGACTTTTCTCTGCAAAGGATACATGGATGGCAAATATTCTTGTGAGAAGAGGTTCAATGTTAACTAGCCATAATAGAAAAGTGAATTGAAACTATCTTGGGAGAGCTGGTAAAGTGGCACAAGTGGTAGAGCACCTGCCTAGCAAGTGTGAGGCTCTGAGTTCAAACACCAGTATTGCCAAAAAAAAAATTAAAATTAAAAAGACTGTCTTGGGCTGGGTGTGATTATGGTGGCCTATAATCCTGGTACTCAGGAGGCTAAGGCAGGTTTGAGAGTTTAAGGTCAGCCTGACTCATCTTAAAAAAATAAAACAAAATACAATCTTGTGATATTACTATATACCTACTAAGGCAGCTAAAATTATGGAAATAATGTGAAGAAACTAGATTGCTCATGTATTACTGGTGGAAGTGAAAATGGTATGGCCACTCTGGAATGTAGTTTGGCAATTTCTCTTAAAAAATTAAACAGCCAGGTGCTGGTGTTCATGCCTGTAGTCCTAGCTATTTGGGAAGCAGAGTTTAGGAGTATCTTGGTTCAAAGCCAGCTTGGGCAAATAGTTTGAGAGACCCTATCTTGAAAATACCCAACACAAAACAGGGCTGGCAGAATGGTTCAAGTGTTAGAGTGCTTACCTAGCAAGCATGAGCCCCTAACAGTACCACACACACAAAAATTAAACAGTAAACTTTTTGGCCCTACAACTACATCCATGGACATTTATCTCAAAGAATGTCCACACAAAAATCTATACATTATTGTTCCTAACAGCATTATTTATAATAGCCCCAAAGTGGAAACAATCCAAAATATTCTAATGGGTGGATGGTTAAACCATTGTGCACCACGAAATACAACTCAGCAATAAAAGGGAGAATATTAATCACAACAACCTGGATGAATCTTAAGTGCATTCCATGACAAGGCCGGTATATCTTAAAAGGTTTATACTGAGTGGCATGATTCCACTTACACAACATTTGTAACTGACAAAACTAGAGATGAAAACATCACTGGTTACCATGGGTTAGGAATAGTGCAGGTGGAATGACTGAAAAGTAGCAAGAGGATGCCCTGTGGATGGAACTGTTCTGTATATTGATTCTGATGGTGTCCCTGAATCTAGATGTAGGATAAAATGACACAAACCATACACACTTTAGGTCAGTGTCAGCTTCATGAATTTGACACAGTGCTATAGTGATGTATGGGGAGGATGAGGAAAAATTAATTAGCAAGTGTGACAAATACTAGATTTCAAGACAAAATTCAAATAGAGCTACCTGTAATCTTTCCTACTCAGAAGGGAGAGATCGGAAGGATCTCGGTTCAAAGACAGCCCAGGCAAATAGTTCCCAAGACCCTATCTTGAAAAAACCCATTTAAAAAAAAAAAAAAGGGCTGGTAGAGTGGCTCAAGGGGTAGAGCACCTTCCTAGCAAGTGTGAAAACCTGAGTTCAAACCCCAGTATAAAAAAAAAAATAGAAACAAACGAACCTAATTATATATTACATTGATGGCATGTTCACATGGGAAAAGTACTAATCTAAGTAAGAAAAGTGTTTTTCAATGCTGGGGATTGAATCCAGGGCCTTGCACATGGTAGGCACTGAACTATATATATCCACATCCCTAAGTAAAATTTTTCATATCTTCATTAAGGTATAGTTTACATACCATAAAATTTCCCCATGTGTACAATGTGATGATTATTTTAGTGAACTTGCAGGGCTGTGCACCCATCACAACAATCCAGTTTTAGAACATTTTATGACCTCTAAACCCTGTTGTCCATGTGCCCTTCCTTCCATCCCTGGTAACCACAAATCTATCTTCTGTCTCTTTGGATTTGCTTGTTCTGGACATTTCACATATATAGGACCATACAAAATGTGTCCTTTTACGACTGCCTTTTCTTTCACTTAGTATGGTTTTCAGGATTCATCCACATTGCTTCATTCATTTCTGTTGAACATAATTTTCCATTGTCTGGATATGCCCCCTTTTCTCTACTCATCAGTTGATGGGCACATTCAAGTACTTTATTATTTTGGCATTACTGGGATTTGAACTCAGGGCCTTATGCTTGCTAGACATATGCTCTACCACTTGTGCTCTACTGCCAGCCCTGTTTTGTGTCAAGTATTTTTGAGAGAGTCTCTCAAACTTTTTGCCCAGGGCTGGCTTTGAACCTCGATCCTCCTGATCTCTGCCTCCTAAGTAGCTAGGATTATAAGCATGAGCCACTGGCACGTAGGTAGCTACATTCAAGTAGTTTAAATGGGCCCAGCACTATTCTGTATGCAGGGCGCTCTAGGGGGCAAGAGGACTGACAGGGACCTTGCTTGTTTCAGCTTTATGAGTGGTGGAGGGGAACTGACCTTTAGGGAGGGATGCCTGGTATAGACAGGGAGTTAGAGTGGGCTCAGTTGCTAGCTATTCTTCATTAAGTACCCACTGTGCCAAGACCTATACCAGATGCTGTACAAAATCCCTGCTCTCAGGGAAGTTACCAGTGGGGAACTAGTCAACAGACAAACATGACGGGAGTGATAAGCTGAGATACAGGTGAGGAGGCATGCTGGATTTTATAGATAGTTTAGGGAGGACCTCTCCCATGAATCTGAGCCAGCACCTAAACAACACATGAAAAAAATCACAAGGTTCATGTAGGAGTGGTGTTTCAGGTCAGCAATATGCTCCCAAATTCCTTTGAGCTAAACCAGATGGAGAGTCAGGCATGTGAAGATCTGGGAAAGCATGAGAAGGAGAGGAACCAGCAATAGGATCCAAGTGAGGCTGGGAACCAGCCACACAAGGTCTACCAGCCATAGGAAGGTGTCAGCTTTGGAGACCATAAAGGCTGTGGGGATGGGCAGGCCATGCTTTGGGTGTGGTGCTCACAGGCTTGCCCACATAGGAAGGGCAATGGTTCTTAGCAGGAAGACATGAAAGGTCAAGGATCACTCCTGGGTTTTGGCTCAAGTCACAAAGATGTGGTGCCTTTTGCCATACTAGGGAGCACAGAACACAGTCAGTAGACAGCTGCAGGCCTAGCTCTGGGTCTGTTCCAAGGCTGGGTTCAAGAGCCACAGAAAAATATGTGGAATTTATGGCTGCTGCCAGGCCATTCCTCCACAGTGAGCCTGGGCAGCAGCTTGCATACCCCCCACATGAGACAGCAAGGTTCCTGGACAACTGCAAATTGTTGGTTTTTTTGGGTGGGGTGGAAAGGTATCAAAGTAGAAAAAAAGTACAGAAAATTATAAAGACACTGTATGAGTTCCAATTCCCCTGTGTTGATAATTAGATAGTTCAGATCACAACTGGAAATGACCGCCCAGACTCAAGGCTCCCTTGGATTAGAGCTGGATGCAAAGATGTGTTACCACCACACACTCATCAGAAATTCTGATGAGTCCCCCTAGCCCCTTTAGCATGGAACAGGAGATAAACTTCTTTAAAGGCCAGAAGTAGTATAAGTGACTTCCCAGGAAGCTCCCTCTTAGACAGGAAAATTGACAACTAACCCTAGGCACAAAGACTCTATAAATTTTTATAGGGTCTACAGTTTCATTTTTACCTCTTAGAGAGGGTGAGGCAGAGGAAGTGAATGTTCCCATCTCTCAGACACAGCACCCCTCTCTTCCCAGCTGCAGAAAACACATCTATACTGGACAGTCTGTTGCTTTCCAGGGATGGTAGAATGAAGAGACCCTGTGCCGTTTTCACTGATGCTCAGAGTCTGAGCCCAGCCAAGTCCCTTGTGACTCAAGTTTGCTCACCCCTTGCGGTTACTCTTCTGGTGGAGCCACCAGATTGACTAGTAGGCAATAAAGTATATATTATGAGTAGTAAAGAACTAGTAAATCTGCACAGAGCCTGTCTCCATTACAATGGGAGCATGTGGCAGCTCCACACTGACCCAACACACAGGAGAAAAACAAACACAGCTTGTTTATTAGGATCAAAAAAGAGAACGTTCTCCCACAAATACAGAGTGCTGCCTCTCAGTTTCTATCAAGAGCAAGACAACAGTTGAAAATCGTATTCCTGAGAAGAAGCAAAAAAGTTACCAGTTTGCAAACATAACAGGTGAGTTCAACAAAAGATAAAAAACTTTTTTTTTAACAAAAAGCAAAATTTCAAGTATTATTCCAGATGACATGGCAAACCTAATGTAGCAGGGAGCAAAACCCCTGCCTCTCCAGGAGTCCTGTAGGGGTCTCAGCAGGGGGGACCTGATCTAGAGGGACTGGAGGGTTTAGGGAAGAGCCCCACCCGGCTCTTCAGCAGGACCACACCAGCCCTGCCCAGAGACCCAGAAACTCCACTGACACACTTCAGCAAGGAGCTGCAAGCTTACGTCCACATCCACAGTTAGCAGTTTTGGACATTTGATAATTTGACTTTTTTTAATAAACAGAAACATATGCTCATTCTTTCAAATATCATACCATTCCCAATTTTAGTCAATTTGTAAATTATAAATTATATTATTTGTGCTACAGTTTGTGATATTTAAATCTTATTAGAAGACAAGCACCAAACCTATTAAAATAAAAAATATATAAAAGGCTGTGGTTTTCCCGACAGCAGGATATTCTGTACATCCTGTAGGCTGTAAACTTATGCTCCCTTTGCTTAAACAGAATGCTTTTCATAAAATTTCCCCTTCCTCCCATGAGTCTTTTCCTGAAAAAGAGATTTCCGGTTTAACTGCAGTAATGGTAAGGGTACAAAAGCACAAACCTGCAGTCAACGCCCCTGCAGGAGAGGACAGTTGTCTGATAGGCAAAAGGCCATCAGTTGGCCAATCTACTACCTACACTCACCAGGGATGGCTATGGCTGCCAGGCTGCCCTGGGGGGAGTCTCACACTGAGATGCCACAAAACAACAACAACAAAAAAACCACACCATAGTATCCAGCCAGAGACCCCAGAACCACTTAGGGGGAAGAACTGTAAAAATGCCCTTAAAGTGTTTGTATGAAGTATTTTCAAAAACATGGTGTCGTTGCCTCCAATGCTCCGCAGCCGTCTACATGTCTCCCCTGATGCTCAGTTCTTAAATCTTGTCTGTTCACAGATGTGATTGAATTTCCTGCAGGGAGAAAATGCTCAAATTACACAAGAGAGCATCAAGAGACATATTCAAACAAAGGGACTGTGAAATCCACACTGGATTAACCACATGAGGATACATGTGCACCCCAGCATATTTTTAGTAATATTAAAAAAAATGACCCCCAAAGGTGGCTTTCTTACAGAAGAGAATAAGGACTGCCTCCTCAGTGTGCCTGTGGTCTTGTTACCTGACAGTGGAAACATGCTGAGGCAGGTGACAGTGACACCTTCCCTCCCAAGTCATGGGCAAGAGTGGGGACATCCATGGAAGAAAGCAGAATGTGCCTTTGCTACATGTATCCATGCTGTTATGAAGAAAGTGCTAACCCTAAAATGCGTGTCAGGTGTGCTCTGAAGGCTGTCAGACAAGGGATAAAAATGACTCCAGACACAAACACATAGGGGAAGACAGAAGTGGATATTTGCATATAAACATTTCAGGAGATGAGGTAATAAAAGAGGAAAAATTCTAAATGAAGATGCTACTTTACATACTGCATGACTTTAAAGAAGCATAATTACTAGTGTATTGTTGGGGTTTTTTTTTTTTTTTTTTGCAAACCCAGGGTCTCAGATTCTACCACTGAGCCACACCCCCTAGTCCTCAAATTGTTATGTATTGCACAGACAATTAGGCACTATTGTTGCCTTCCTGAGCCCTGAGCTTCCAGGACCTGTAGCTGACCCAAGTGTCCCCCAGCCTCACTCACATCGCGTGGTGAGCCTTCACCTGAGTGCGGCAGTTTCGGCCCCAATAGCAATCAGGACGGGATGTTACAGCCACTAGAAAAGAGGAAAGTGTATATCTATATTAGACATTATCACAAACACCTACACAGTAACCGAATTTAACTGGAGACATGAAGAAATGCTCACTGAACACAAAGCATCTTGTTGCTCTTTATGACCAGTTTCCTTAGACCATGCCAGAATTTCAGGAAAATAAAACAAATTTAACTGAAAACCATATCTAGGAAATGAAATTACTCCAATGGTCTATCTGACATCTTTATGTATGTATATTTGCTTTAGAAACCCATGTTGCCTTGACCAGCAGTGACAGCCAGTATAGAGGCAAATGGCCTGTGTGCTGGTCCTCTTCCTGGCTGGTGTGACTTCTGCTAAGAAAATTTCACAGAGGTTCAAATGGAGCATGTGTTAGAAGCAGGTAGAGAAGCCACTCCAGACAAAATTGGAGTCCGTGGGCTCCTTACCTGGTAACTCAGAAGCAGGAATGTTCTGCCGATACTGATAGGTCAGCTCTCGGAAGCTGCGCAGGCCACAGCAGTAACACAGCACGGTGTTTCCAGTGATTCTATAATCTGGAGGGAACAGAGCCTCATGTAGACACAGCCACTTATCAGGCAATGTCATTTTCTAGACAGTAGAATAGATACAGCACTTTAAACTAGTGGGAAGTTAACATATCGATCCAAAAATGAGGTAGAGACAATGGGCCATACATTTGGAAACAGCAAATCCAATTTCTTTATTTTCTTTTTTGGTGGTCTGCTGGGGTTTGAACTTAGGACCTCATGCTTGCTAGACAGATGCTCTACCACTTGAGCCACTCTCCACCAGCCCTTTTTTGTGCTGGGTATTTTCAAGATAGAATCTCATGAACTATTTGCCTAGGCTAGTTTTGAATTGTGATCCTCCTGATCTCTGCCTCCTGTGTAGCTAGGATTATAGGTGTGAGCCACCGGCACCTCACTCCCATTTATTTTCTTATAGTAAAATAATTCCACATAGACTAGAAAATGTAAATACTATTTTAAGAAGAAAATTGGAACAAATATTTTCTCTTGAGGTTTTTTTTTTCCTTTTTTGAGGTATTGAACTCAAGGCTTCATGCTTGCTAGGTAAGCACTCTATCACTGGAGCCACATTCCCAGCCCTTTTGCCTTTGTTTTTAGTTTATTTTTCAGATAGGGTCTTGTATTTTAGCCCAGGCTGACCTCTGACTGTGACCCTCCTACCTCCACCTTCCAAGTAGTTGGGATTACAGGTATGAACACTTTGGCTTGTTTCTGAGCAAGGGTCTGGATAACTTTTGCCCAGGCTGGCCTTGAACCTCAATCCTCCTATATCTACCTCCTGAGTAGCTAAGATATAGGAATACATCACCCTGCCTGAGCCTTTTGAGCTGCTTTTAAGTACAATTTGAGTATTCCTTATCTGAAATGCTTGGGATCAGAAGTTTTGGATTATAGATTTTTTTCAGATTTTGGGACATCTCATATACATGATATATCTTAGGGATAGGATTCAAGTCTAAACATGAAATTCTTTCATGTTTCATACACATCTCAAACACACAGCATGAGGGTGTTTTATATAGTATTTTCAGAGTGTCTGTTTTTATGAGGACCCTTCACAGGAGGTCAGGGGTAGAGTTTTCTTCTTGTGGTATCATGTCAGTTGTAGTCAAAAGTTTGGGATTTTGGAGCATTTCAGATTTCAGATTTGGGATGCTAAACCTGTATGTTACAAAAACCAAATAAATCTGATCACCTGACATTTAACCTTCAAAATTGAAAGACAACAAACAACTGTGAAATATGAACTATATAGCAGAAACATATCTGCAACACAAATGAGAGTATTATACACTTAATTAACAAGATATTGTGTAAATGCACACCCACACTCCAAAAGAACAAGATCACAGGCAAGCAAATGCCATATAAATGTAGAAAGATCTTCAACTTGCTTATAATAAAACATGGGCCAATACAATTGTGATGTCACTGTTGGCCTCTCCCATGCACAAGACTTAATGGCAAATTTGGAGCTAACAGGCCAGGAATGTTCACCTCAACTCTGAGGCTCTAGGGGAAGCCTGCCCAGCTTTGAGAAGAACAGTGTGTTTGTGTGACAAAGGCTCAGCTGTGTGTACCACTGCCCTAAAAATCCCATTTATTTATTCTGAGAGAAATTTCCAAATGTACAATGCTACATGCTCAATAGTTGTGTTAAAATAGTAGAAAACTGGGAATAATTCAAATATATTTTAGTAATTAATTACCTAAGTAAATTATGATATTTTAGAACACTACATAATAATAAAAAAAATCAAGGTAGGGCTGGGGATGTAGCTCAGTAGTTAAGTATCTGCTTAGCATGCACAAGGCCTCAGGTTTAATCTCCAGCACCATAAAAAAATAAATAACTCAAAGTTTAGATCTTTTTGTACTATTTAGCTTTTCATTATTGTGACCAAAGTACCTGACATGAGTATTTTGAGGGAGGATTTATTTTGGCTCATGATTTCAGAGCATTCAGTCCATGGCTACTTCGCTCCATGCACTTAAACAGAACATCACAGTGGTGGGAACTTATGGCAGAGAAGGTTCTCAACTCATGGTGCATAAGAAGCACGGACAGACATGAACCAGGGACCAGGTGGAACCTTCAAAGACCTGCCCCTGATGACCTACTTCCTTCAGCTAGGCCCTACCTCCTAATGTTTCCACAACATCCCAAAATAGTGCCACCAGCTGGGGGCTAAGCATTTAAATACAGGAGCCTATGGAGTACATTTCATATTTCACCCACAACACCTATCTTATCAGAAAAAAGTGTCTAATACCTTGCTAAGTGAAAACCAAAGACAAACAGCACACACAGGAAGGTATCATTTGTGAAGTTATCCACAAAAATGCATGTGTACATGGAAGGGCATGGTAAAGTGGTCATAAAACACCATCAGAGCATGTTTTTATTTTTATGTATTCATTTATGTTGTTTCAGTACTAGGGATGGAACCCAGGGTACTACACATGCTAGGCAAGGCTCTGCCATTGAAATACACCACCATCCCCATGTGTTTTAGGGGATGGGGATTTCCAGTGATTTACTTTATCCTTTATACATCCCAAGATCACTTATGTTTTCTTTGTGAGCCATATCACAAAAATAAGAAGCCATTATAAAGCAAAAGTGTTCAGAGCAGCCTGATGTAAGTGGCAGCCATGGTGAACACCAAGAGTGACAGGCAAGACATGCATTAGAGCATGTCCAGGAGACAGAAACAGCTCAAAGGAATTTGGACTTGAAAGTTCAACCTTGTCAAGTCTTCCTCCAATGTTAATGTCTTAGGAAAAAATTGCTTGTTAATATTTCTGCAGCCTCCCTGGGTAGTAAAAGTCATACTGCACAGGTACTCCTGGGAGAGGGTACAAACCTCCTAAGTCATAACACACCAAATAAAAGACAATCAAGAGTCGGGAAAACCAGCCTAGGACCTCAATGCCAGCGAGTGGTGAAGTCTCCCTAACTCATGCTTCTGCCTTCCCCTATAGGGAGAGAGGGTGCTGTAACATGTCATGCAGGTTCAAACCCAATTTTAGAATAACTCAAAAGTATCAAGATCTTTCTCTCTGCCAGGGAGGGTGGAGATCAAAGTCATAAGTGTAGGAAAGCAGATGGGTAATACTACCTAGATATGTCCTGCCAGGTTTTTGCTGTTTTGCAGGAGGAAAAGGCAGCCTTAAAAACTCATAACTGTTCTACAAAGGCCAAGGCCAGAGAAATAAAGCTTACCAGACAGTAGGAACACTCCCCGCTGAAGAGCCATGAGACTCTCTGTCAGCATGTTTTTCCATGTCAGACCCCTGGTTGCCAGGTAATTCTATGATGGGTAAAAAAGGGTAATAAGAAGAAATACAAATACTACCTTAGGGGTAGAAATACTAAAATGACAAGAGAGGAAAAACTTCACAAAAGGCCTCTGAAGGTGGCTGAAACCAGAGCACAGCCACTCATGAGCAGCATTTACACAGGGCCAGCAAGTGAGCCCGGGTCAACATATCCCTGCAAAGTTCACAAGCTTTGTTGAGAACCTCTCTGAGCCTTCAGAAGGAGAGCTGGCCTTTGAACCTGAGATGAACATCACCATTCTCTGAAAAATTCTGCAAAGGCACTCATAGCACAGGCACACATGAAACACAAAACCTTGCTGGAATCTCCATAGTCCCCATGACAAGAAAACTGAGGGCCTGGCATCTGCTCTCTATGCTGTTCAAAAACATAGAGCTGCTAGCTCCTTTTGCATAAACCTATAAAAAAAGTGCCCCATGGACATTAAAGCAGGGTGTGATGCTGCTGGGCCAAGCTTGCCTAGTGGTATGTCCATTTAAATGGAAGGTTCCGCTATTATGTGCTATCAGTGGTGCTGGACACAAACCAGAGGGAGGCAAAGGGGCACATTAAGCATGTTATAATTATAAGAGTTGAGCTAGCATCTCAAATGCTGAGAAAAGGAAACAGAGAGAAGGGCCAGCAATTCCAAGAATCTCTGTGAGCTTGTGGGAACTGATTTCTATGGATTGATGATGTGATGGAAAAAAAGGAAATCCCTATTTTTGAAATATGGGGGAAAACAGATATACATGAATGGGATACAAAGAACTAATTACCTATACTGGTCAGAAAATGAGGAGTCCTAACACACCTACAAAAGTTGTAGGGACACCTCCTGGTTTTCACCAGAACTCCAGGGTTGGAGGGAAGGCAGTACCTTCAATATATCCAACTTGACCCCAGGGAGAGAAGGAAGGTGGTACTGTTGTAGGTACTTAGAAACTGCATAATTGCTTGTGTGTGTGTGTGTGTGTGTGTGTGTGTGTGTGCGCGCGCGCGCACGCGTGTGCTTGCTGGGAGGGTGCTCTACTACTTGAGCCACATCCCAGCCCTGAAACTGCTTTTGCTTAAAAAAAAAAGTACTGACTCCTCATTTGAGCCTACAAATTAACTAAAAGCAGGATAAAAACCTGGTTTACCTGCCTTCATTTTACAACTGTCTCCTTTGTCTTAAAACTCTAAGTCACACTCTTAACTCTGCATGTAGGCATGTTAATTACTCAAGGAGTGTCTGTCTAAAACTGATGATATCTAAACCATCTCATCCCCCTTTATGGAAGAAGGTACAAGAAACAAAGTTTTCTGACCCTGTCAAGTTCTTCCATTTCAACATTCCTGCTGCTCCCCCATCAGCAAGAAGTAGTTCCTGAAGAAAATAACTTTCAGCATTTAACACCTCCACAGAAATGGAATGACAACTTGTGAGTACCTGAAGGATGCTGCTGGTCACTGGCTTAACTCCATTTTGTCCCATTCTGGCTCTATTTTTTTTCCTCTTTAACATTTTTCCCCCTGCAGTCATCTTGGATTCCAGAATGACAGGACTGATCTATGAACATCTTGTGACAAAGGTCAAATCTACTCCCTAGGCAGCAATGACTTTTTTTTTTTTTTTTTTTTTTTTAGTGGGATTGGGGTTTGAACTCAGGGCTTTGCATTTGCGAAGTGGGTGCTCTACTGCTTGAGCCACACCTCCCAGTCCACTTTCCTCTGGTTATTTTGGAGATAGAGTCTCATGAACTATTTGTCCAGGCTGGACTCAAACCATGATCCTATCTCAGCCTCCCAAGTAGCTAGGATAACAGGTGTGAGCCACCAGCATCAGGCATAGCAATGACTTTTGTATGGTGACAAGGCCCCACCTGACCAATTCTGAGAAAATGATCAACCAGGCTACAGTCTTACCAAGACAGATTAACATGCTTCTTGCCCCTTCCCTATAAAACATGTCAGTACCCCAAAACAGACTTGAAGTCACTGAGTCCCTTTATCTATTCTTCCTGACATGGCCACATTGATTCTATCTCCTTCTTCTGCCCCTTCACCACTACTTGTCTGTTCAAGTTGGTGGATTGGGACAGGTGGCCAAGCCTCATATGTTGGGACTCCTGGTTTTTTTCCTTAAAACTCTGGTAATAAACTTCAGGACATCAGATTCAACTCCAGAGTGAGAGGTACCTTTAGAATATCCGACTCGTAGTTATTGTTGTTTAGCACTCCATCAAGACATTTGTCCCCCAGGTTGAGCTCTGCCAGAGGAAAGGGAAGAACATCATGTTTATACAGATGACACCATATCCAAGTATTGTTTGCCTGACAGGATAACCAAATTTCTTTTCTTTATAGATGTAGAAAGAAAAAGAAAGTTCCATCATAAAAAGAAAATCACATCATAAAGTGTGATTTTAAATAGAGAACAGATAAGAAATGATTCTATCCCACTCTTTTTTTCTTTTTTGGCAACAGGGTTTCGCTATGTATGCCAGGCTGGCCTTGAACTCACTATTGTAACCCTAAATGGCCTTAAACTCAAAATTCTCCTGCCTCCACCTTCCAAGTGCTGGGATTACAACTTTGGTGTTTTGGGGTGCATAAATAATGTCTCCTGTATTGGAAATTAGTATTTCCCCAAATTGTTTTGAGGAAAAAGTGAATTTGAGAGTTCCCAAGTGATAAACCTCTGCAGTTTAGCAGAAAAAGGTAGGTAATCACTTGGTGACTACCAATGGCCTCCCCCATTTCCCTGCACATGGTAGACCACATTCAGTGCCACTACCACCTGTCCTCAAGTTTACCAGGAGAATAAAGAAAGATCAAAGAAACTGAGGGCTGAAGAGCTAACATTACCACAGAATGGGGCCAGGCAGCCAAAGCAGCCGGTCCGGGTACAGCCCCAGTATAGATGGCAGAAGGGCTGTAGGCACACTGCACCTGCGGATGGAGGACAACTGGTCAGTTGGGCCCTAAGAGCTGCACCTGGTCTCACGTGTAACAAAATTCAGCACCAGATTCAGGATCTCTACTCTATTCTAAATCACCCTTTACTAGGAGTTTTCATGGAATGGAGAGAAAGAGGCAACATCCCAGCTGAGATCTAATGTAAAAATGTGACTTAATTGTGACAAAGAGTTGTGGCCTTAAAAAGTGTCAGACCCATGGATCACATCTCCCCCAGCACCCAAAGAGCCTGATGCGCAGCCTTTCAGCTCTGAGTATATGACATACTTGCAGTAATGGCACATTCACACTCTGTAGATGGTTTTTTCTACCTAACACAAGTATTTCTTCACAATGTTACCTTGGTTCCCTAAGTAGACATAATTTTTCAATGTTTAATATTCTATACAATGCACTTCCCTGGAATGCATTAAGTCTGTCATCATTTCTTAAATGTCTCTACATGTAAAAAAAATTGAAACAGCTATTAAATAAATGAAGAGCTCTGGTTTTTTTTTGTTTTTTTGGTGGTACTGGGGCTTGAACTCAGGGCCTACACCTTGAGCCACTCTACCAGCCCTTTTTTGTGAGGGGGTTTTTCAAGATAGGGTCTCATGAACTATTTGCCCAGGCTGGCTTCAAACCACAATCCTCCTGATCTCTGCCTCCTGAGTAGCTAGGATTATAGGAGTGAGCCACCAGCACCCAGCTGAGCTCCATTTTTGTTGTTAGTTTGTTTTGCAGTGCTGGGATCACACCCAGGGCCTCACAAATGCTAGGCAAGTGCTCTGCTACTGAGTTACATCCCCACACCCAAGGGTTCTTTTTTAATGTAAAAACTGTAAATCAAAGATACTTCATTAGATTTGTAAGTGAGACATTATACGGTGACTGTGATACCGATGTAGGGATGGATATAGATTCAGACTCTAGAAAGAAAACCACACACACACACAGAAATTTGGTCTAAATAGAGTGGCATTTTCAATTGGTGGGAAAAGACAGACTGCTCAATATGGTCATACAGGATCAACTGACTGGGAAAAAAAAAGAAGCACTGCATTTTTGCTTCATATCCCACACAAAGTAAACACCATTTGAAACCTGAGTTGTGGAGAACACACAGGAAAGTCCTCCTGTGGGAGGACGCACCTCAGGTGGATGGGCTTACTCACACTGCTGAGGGGCGACATGAGGGTCCTGCTCACGCTCGGCTCTCCGGTCAGGCATGGGCTGGAAACAGCAAGTGCATATGGCATGGCTTCCTTGGAGAGGGCATACGTAATCCTGAGATGCTGAAACATGTGCATTCAGGCCAGAACATGTCAGGACACCAAGCAGAAAAACACAAACAAGATTTACATCTAGAGAAGCAACTGAGAAGTATAGGGGGAAAGAGCCAGGCCCTAAGATAGGACTAGAAGAAATTCAGGCCCTAAGAGAGGACTAGAAGATATTCAGTTCTAAAGAGTCAAATGATATTCTACCATTTAAACCAAAGGAGTTTAAGTACACTGAAAAATAACCAAGAATTAGGGTCTGGGGGTATGGCTCAGTGGCAAAGCGCTTGCCTTGCATGCACAAGGACCCAGGTTCCAGCTCCAGCACTACAAAAAAAAATTTGTCTTTGGTTCAGTGGTTGTAGCAAGATTTCAAAGATCAGTTGACGGCTTTCTACTATTTCCTACAAAGGGAGGACAGGCCCATAAAGTACATATTGTAAAACAATAAAACAAATTACATATTTAATTCCTGCTGAGGCAAGAGAATATCTGTATCTTCCAAAAAACAAATGATAGGCATGGTGGGCAGGAATGACTGATCTGATCTGGCACTAGTAACTCTATGACCATGTGGCACACTCCCTGGACACTCACCGTCCACACAGGAAAGACCATAGGAGGCCACCTTGCTGACCATCAGAACATAGCTGCTAAGGGTCCCTGAACACCTATGGGGTCTCAGGCTCTATCTGTGCATAACATACATTCTACATGTGTGGTCCTACTGTTTTTCTGATGGCCCCAAATGGAGGTACTAGTGGGTCCCCACTGTGCAAAGAAAGGCGCTTGTCAACTGGCAAAGTCAAACCCTGGCCATGGCCGAGTATCACCCCTTTGGCCAAGCACTGCCTTGCTGTCCCAGCAAGATAGTCAAGAAAATGGCTCTGAGTGACAATCCCAGGTCAATAGCCTTGTGATATGCTCAGGCCAACCAGTGGCGGCTAAGAGCACAGGGCCCCTAAAGACATCTTCTGTTTGGCAGCAACTAGAGCAGACAGGGCCAAGAAGTGCAATGACATGTGCCCCTGGCCATCTTTCCATTTCTTTTTTCTCTGTTTGGTGCTTGTGATGGAACCCAGGACCTCACACATGATAAGAATGCCCTCTACTATTGAGCTACACCTCCAGTCCCTCCCTTGCTTTTCTTGAATGGTATCTAGGGGCACACCTGTTGGAAACAGGCAACTGACATGAGAGTCTTTAGAGCAACTATGTGGACACTTGAGACAGCCTCTGGGAACTTAGCAACACTGCTGGAGGGAAGCCAGTCTCTTATTTGAGACACGGATGTGCTATCATCATGCTGATTTTTTGCATACTCCACTGGCTGATACAAGCTGCCGAGAAGCAGTGTGCTGGTGAGGGACCCAGTGATGAAAACAGGACTATTAATTAGAAGGTGCATCCAAAAAGGGAAACCCACAAATTAAAAAGTATTTACCCAATTTTTTTAGCTAATTTGTACTTGATGGCACTGGGGTTTGAACTCAGGGCCTCATACTTGGTAGGCAGGCACTCTACTACTTGAGCTACTCCACCAGCATTTTTTTGTGTTGGGTATTTTCGAGATTAGGTCTCACAAACTATTTGCCTGGAATTAGCTTCGAACCACAACTCTCCTGATCTCTGTCTCCTGAGTAGCTAGGATTATAGGCATGAGCCACAGGTACCCTGGCTTCTTACACTGATTTTTGTTTTGAATTTTATTTTGTTTTGTTTTGTTTTCCTGTGTAGCCCAGGCTGACCTTAAACTCTTAATTCTCCTGCATCTGCATGTCAAATGCTAGGATTACAGGCATGCACCATTATGACTAGTCTGTCACTGATTATGACAAGAAGAGGCTACAAGAGGTAGGGGGCCACAAAGGCAGGGAACTGAAGGTTAGGAGAGGTACCAAGGAGGAAACACAGAAAACAGGAAACCAGAAAAATGCAAGTCACAACAAGGACTTGACACAATGGATGGCACATGATTAGATACCGCTGTCTCACCCGTTGGGAAGCTGGCAGACGTCGATGGTGCATCTCCCCCAAGGGCCTGAGGGGCCCCTAGCTCGCTGTCAGGTGCAGGGCAGGGAAGGGGCTGCACTGCTTGTCTTCTGTACTCAGGACATTGTCTGCACACGATGTATGGCTGACTGCAGAAAGAACACACAACAGAACTGGAGCCATGGAGGAGCAGATGCCAGGCAGCACAAGTCAAGGCCATACAACACTACCTCCAGCTGTCTCCTGTTGCTGGACCTTGACCCTTTATGCCTCATTTCTACCCCTGTTCAGCTTCTTTGCCACCTTGGTGTGTGTGAAGGGGAAGAGCGTGTCCCTTTTTCTTGCCCAGCTCCTGCTGTTGGAAAGGGCATCACCCAGAACCATCCAGAACAGGAGAATTAAGATGAGGACATGTGCCACTACCACACATTGGTTTCTCTGTGCTCAGCCACTTTCCTGCTCCATTCCTCATACCACATGTTTCAGCACACTTTCCCCCTGGGGCCACTCAATCCCTACTTGGCAAGACATGTACTCACAGGCTCTAAGGCTGAGTGGAAACCCGGGTTCAAACAAGAAACTACAAGGGTACTGCTGAATCACCTAGTCACATGCATGTTCTCCCCGTGTTACAATGTAACAATATGTAATGATCGAAAGACACTCTCTCCTCTGGTAACTTCCCAACTGACCAGCAAGAGCCCTGTACTACTTATCCTCATGGCCCATCACTGCCCTAAAGTTATTTCTTTATTGTACTTCACCTGTAGTTTCAGAAAAAAAGTGACTGTAATGAAAAAGAGGACTGCAATGAAAGAATCCACAGAAAAAAGTACATGAGACTCATCTCAGATAACCTTTCTAAGCCTGACTCCAATGGCAGGAAGAGGGAAGAAAGGGTACCAAATGACCAGAGAAAGACAAAACACAATGAAGAGATGCACAATCTCATCCATAAGGAAAATCACAAATGGAAAGGACACTTCTATTAAACTGGCAAAGAGAATCTTCATGTGTACCTCATAGAGTAGCATTAACGTGATATTTCCTACATACAACTGGGTAACACAGAAGGGAGAGGAGGAGAGGGGAGAGAGGAGAGGAGAAAGGGAAAAGTGAAGGGGAAGTGAAAGGAGAGGAAAGGAAAAGAGAGAGAAGCCAGGTGTGATGGCGCAAGCCTATAATCCCAGCACTCAGGAGGCTAAGGCAGGAGGATCATGAATTTGAGGTCAGTGTGGGCTATATAATGAGTTCAAGACCAACCTAGGCTACATAGCAAAACTCAGCCTCAAAAATCCATAAAGAAAAGAAGAAATAAAACATTAACACTGCTAAAGCACCTGCCTAGCAAGCATGAGGCCCTGAATTTAAACCCCAGTACCACAAAAAAAAAAAAAACTGAAACAAGCAAACAAACAAAAAAACACTAACACTAAAGTGATTTTTCACCTAAAAAACTAGATACCATTTGTTGCCCTCAACGCAGAGAAACTAAAGCAGATACTTTAAAGCAACTGAGGCCAATAGGAGAAGGGGACCAGGAACTAGAGAAAAGGTTAGATCAAGAAGAATTAACCTAGAAGGTAACACACATGCACATGAAATCAATGTGAGTCAACTCCCTGTATAGCTATCCTTATCTCAACCAGCAAAAACCCTTGTTCCTTCCTATTATTGCTTATACTCTTCTTCAACAAAATTAGAGATAAGGGCAAAATAGTTTCTGCCGGGTAGCGAGGGGGTGAGGGGAAGAGGCAAGGGGTGGAAGGGTAAGGGAGGGGGTGGGGGAAGGGGGGGAGAAATGACCCAAAAATTGTATGCACAGATGAATAAAAAAAAAAGTAAGTGATTTTTGGTTTGATTTCCTTTTTGCTTCATTGTCACTGCTAAATTTTATAAAAAAAGAAAGAAAGATAATAAACTGGGTATAGTGGCATATGCTTACAATCTCAGTTCCTTGAAGGTACAGATTGGGAAGATCAAGGTTCAAGGTCAACCTGGGCAAAAGTTAGCAAGAGCCCATCTCAATCAACAAGCCAGACTTGGTGGTGCACATCTGTGATCCCATCTACACAGGAGGCATGGGTAGGGGGATTGAGGTCTGAGGCCAGCCCCAGGCAAAAATGAATCTGAAAAATAACTAAAGCAAAAAAGGGCAAGGGGGAGTGGCTCAAGTGGCAGAGTGCCTACCTAGCAAGTACAAGACCCTGAGTTTAAACTCTAGTACTTCCAAAAAAGAAAGAAAAGAAAAGAGTTGGGGTTTTTATTTATTGTTTTCTTACTGTCTTTTTTTTTTTGGGGGGGGTAGGGAAGGGTGCTGGGGATTAAACCCAGGCCCTTGCACATGCTAGGCAAGTACTTTACCACCAAGCCAAACTCCCAGCCCTGTTAAATATCAAGGTCTTGGTCCAAATTCAGACCTGACCTTCAGAGTTAGGAAGCATCAACATATCATCAGATAAATTAAGTTCTCTGAGGGTTCTCTCAGCCAGGGGACTGTGCCTCTCCTGTGATACTACCCTAAAAAATAACACTGCCATTTCTGGGAGGGCTTATGGTCACTAAACTACAGGGATTAAGTGTGCTTATGTGGGGAAAAGACAACACATTAATGATGATCCTTTGTTGTAACCACAATGCCAAGACTAAGCAAATGAATGATGTGTAGGAGGGTCCAGAACCTATCACAACTGACTGAGGCTCATACCCTGCTTGCTGCTGCTCTAAGCTTAGTCTACCAGTGCCAGTATCAGAAAATAATCTCAAACCATTCAGAAATCTGGCTGGTAAAGCCCCATACTGTGCACCCCACAGAAAACTCAAACTACTGTTGAACTCTAGCCTCTAGTCCCCACTGAGCCAGCCACAGGATTTACCTGATGTCTGAGGATTCACTGTCAACATCTGACAGCTCCAGCAGGTCCTCTGAACTCCCCTCTTCATCAGAAAAAGACCTCCTGACTTTGGGCTGCAGCATGTCTTGAGTGATTTTATTTCTGGCATCCATATTTCTCACATCTTCTTCACTGCGACTCTTGTCTAGATGCAAAAGACACAGGAACATTCAACATCACAAAGACAGAGAGACACCTAGACTGTTCTGAGCAGAGCTCACAGTCCCAGCCCCTAAAAAGGGAAAGGTCTGGGAGGTTTAAGCACTTGCCTGGGTGCTGAATAAGGTATGCTTCTACAAGGTTGTTCAGGATGTGGTTTTTACAGATCCGCTCCACTGGACAACGGCAGGTGGGGCACAAGGATGAGCGCTCCATCCAGCCCGAGTAGCAAGCTGCACAGAATGTGTGCATGCAGGGCTGCAAACTGGAAGAAAAGCATGTCTCCAGACAGAATACTCCAAAGATTTGCCACTGTGACCTTTGGACAAGGTCTGCAGCAGGCCCACCCAGAAGAAAGTCAAGCTGGATCCAACCAATTGGGCCCACCATGAGGCCATCCATCATCCAACTTCAAAATACTTCAGCTAAGTCTTGGTTGATAAAAAGAAACTAGAGACCATGCAGCCTCTATTTTCAGGAAGATCAGAAGAGAGCAGATAGTGACTTCAGGAACATCAATACCAAATGCTTTGGGATGGAAAGCTGGGTAGGCTCTACCTCTTAAAAAAGCAAAGAGAAAGCTCCTAAAGATAATCCTGAGATATTCAATCTGTGACAAGTACTATGTCTCTGTAACTAGGAAGTGTTTAAAACTTGGTATAGTTCATTTGATCTGTCTGCAAGGTAAAGAACAGATTTGCTGGGATACCAATGACCCATGCTACTCAAAATGAGGGCTGCCCAAATCTTGTGGATTCTATGACCTCAGTCTCCAGGCATCCTTGTTGACTCCACATGTGAAATGAAAACGGCAACCTGAGAAGATCTGTGGCCAAAAAGGATCCAGATGTTGTTTCACTCATGGCCTCCTCCTCCCACTGATCAAGAGTCACAGGTGCCCAGTGCGCCCATGAGCCAAGCTGGGTGTGAGGCAGCATACCTAACGCAGTCATGCAGCAGGTCCTGGCAGATGATGCAGGTGAGTGTCTCCTCCATCTTGTCTGGCTTCACAGAGGCAGCTCTGACATCCTCACGAATGGTTTGGGTGTTTCTGCACTGGTCTGTAACCAACAACTGCAGGTTCAGTTTGAGCTCCCCATCTACAAGAGAAAGAGAGATGAGTTCCTGGACTGAGGGTGTGGCTCTAGCAATACAATGCTTGCCTAGCAAGCTCAAGGCCCTGAGTTCAATCCCTAGTACCACCAAGAGATAATGGAGAGGAAGAAAAGGAGGGGGAGGAGGAAGGAGAGGAGGAGGGAGGGGAGAGGGGAGAGAGGGGAGGAGAAGAGAGGAGAGAAGAGAGGGGAGGGGAGGAGAGGAGATATCTGCTTTGACAGATATCTCTTTGACTGTCACAACCAAGTAGGAACCAATGTACAATCCCTTTGTTTTACAACACCTTAACCGATAAACACACACAGAAAATTATCAGGCCTCTACCGTCCATCAGAAGCAGAGGACAAACAACCCTTGTCATATGTTTGCATTTATAAAGGCTATTTTTGGGAGGGGGCTACTGGGTCTGAATTCAGGGCCTTGCGGAACTTAATCCACAACCCCGGCCCTTTTTCCTTTCACTTATTTTTTTCAGGTAGTGCTTTTTGCCCACGCTGGCCTTGGAATGCGATCTCCCTACCTATGCCTCCTACATAGTTGGAATTACAGTTATACACCAACATGTCCACCTTTTTGTTGAGATGGGGGTCTCTCTAACTTTTTGCCCAGGTTGGCCTCAAATCACAATCCTCCTAATCTCTGCCTCCTGAGTAGCTGGGATTACAGATATGAGCCACCACACCTGGCCCTTTATAAACACTATTTTTAAGAGGGAAGGTATGTTTTAGAAGAACAGTTGCTGAATTAAAAAAGACATTCAGGATGTATGGACAAGCGATAAAGGCAAGCCTGGCATGGTGACATGTTTCTGTGGTCACACCTACATAAGAAGTTGAGGCAGAACCAGCCTGGAAAACACAGCAAGGCCCCATCTTAAAGCAGAGAGATTAAGCAGTGTTTATGCAAATGTCATTTTTTGTTTAAAGAAATAAAAAAAACATGACTCCACACAGGAATGTGCTGGAAATTGGAAACTCTAAGATAGCACTGGAAGCTTTTTCTCTTTGTGTGTTTTTATTTTTCTATTTACATATGTGCTATTCATCCTGGATCATTTTTATTTACAATTAAAGAAATACTTGCACATAATTTAAGAAATTATATAGAATAAAATAATCACAGTCATCCTGTGCCCCTGCCTCTCCTCACCTCTACTTCCCTCTTGTGAAAAAACCACTTTTGTGTCTTTCTGCTGTCTCTTTGGGTATTTATCTCCACATTATTTGAATTGTAATGCTACATTTGATTTACCTCTTTTATTTTATTTTTTTTGTAGCACTAGAATCAAACTCAGGGTTTTACACCCTGAGTAGAGTGCTAAAGCTAGGCGAATGCTCTACCGCTGATCTATGTCCCCAACCCAGATTTATCAATTTTAGACATCTTCTGACATCTATTAATACAGAAAAGGGTTTTGATCCCTCGTCCCAATATTATTTAGCACAATTTCTGGTTGTAGACATCATTATGCTTATGTAAATATTCACCAAAATTAAATTTTCTGCCTCAAGAAATTTTTCCTTTTGGCTGCAGTTAGAAATGCCTTATTCTTTCTGTGTAACTGTTGCTGATTTACTGCATGCCCTCCTCAAGCCAATCAATTCAATTTTCCACCAATGTTTAGACAATCCAGTTTCTTCCCCTAGGACCTCCTTCCTAGAATTCTTTTATCACATTGTAATCACATCTAACTCCACAGCTAGCTGTGGCTGCTGCACCAGCATCATCGCACCACCATATTCCCAAATACTTTTTATAATCTTTTAAACTCTGGCTTTTATCATTTTGTGTGTGTGTGTGCTGGGGACTGACCTCAGGGCCTCATGCTTGCTAGGCAAGCAGTCTTCGCTAGCGGCGTGGCTCAAGTAGAAGAGCACCTGCGTAGGAAGCATGAAGTCCGAGTTCAAACCCCAATACCACCAAAAAAAAAAAAAAATTCACTATTCCACTGAACTAAATCCCCAACTCCTAAACTTTGGCTTTTACCATACAGATTTTTTTCTTTAAATCAGCTTCAATATGAAGATTCAAATTATCACTTAAAGATAACATATATTTTTAGAAATTACTGTGACATTAAGACAGAGGACTTTGGCATCAATTCTGCAACTTAGAATGCAGTTTCCAGACCAGGAGCATAGCCTGGTAGTAAACACAGTTTCATTTGCATTATGCAAACAGGAAAGAGGTGGCCCATACTTTCATTCAGAAATGTTAGGTATTATAGATATAAACCTGAGGCAGGTTCACATGTCTCTGCAGAAAATGAAAGTGGAATCCTATTAACAGCAATGACTACCACAGCACAGGGCACCAAAGAAGTCAAAGGATGCACAGAATGGCAAGACTCTAACCTCCTTTTATCTTCTTTTTCACAGGCTCCAAATCTTCCTGGTCCTGGGGTTCCAACAAGGAAAAGGGTGTTCCCTCTCTGTCTTGGAGAACTGGAACAAGGCTGGGGAGTTTGTCACTTGTCACAAATGTGCAACATCCTTTCGGGGAGATGCCTATACTCCCAGACTCTGCGAGAGAGGACAAACAAGACAGGTTCTGGTTCATCTATATCAGAGGGAGAGAATGTACCAGGAAAGTGTCACTGATTTAAGTCAAGTGAGTTTGCAATCCAAGATGTCATAGCTTTAGAATGATACATGGCCTACTAGAAATATTAGTCCATGCAAGTCACATTTTAAATATACTCAGGCCCATTACTATGTAAATGGAGTCAGAGGCAAGTGACACATTCACAAGGAAAGAAACAGAGAGATCTGTGATGGGATCAGCCCTCAACATTGGGTCTAAGACATAGAAATCTGCATGCCAGCAATCACATAATGCATGCTATGTGATAAGCAGCCCGCCTAGAAAGAGGTGCACGGAAGTAGAGACATTCAGACAGAGTGGGAATGGTGGTGATGTTGTAAATGGAAGGAGAAGAAAAGTAACTGGTAAGCAGCAAAGAAGATAGATTCACACACAACTGCAATGAGCTTGGGAGAACATTAGCAAACTTTCCAATATCCTCTATCTTGGTCAAGACCTATTTCATAATGATAGGTATAATACATATCTATCTTATAATATTTAGATATTAAATGTTAGAATTTGAAAAAAAAAACAGGTTTACATTAGCTGAAAAGAAAAAAGATAGCTAGGCACTGGTGGTTCACACCTGTAACCACCTCATGGCAGAGACCATGAGGATCGAGGTTTAGAGCCAGACCAGGCAAAATAGTTCAAGAGACCCTTTCTCGAACAAACCCATCACAAAAAAGGGCTGTGGAGTAGCTCAAAGTGTAGGACCTGAGTTCAAGCCCCAGTATCGCAAAAAAAGAAAAAAAAAAAGAACTACTTTGGGAACAAATTAACTCATATACTAAAGGAAGAAAAGGACAGCTAGCTTCTTGAGGTGTCTCTCCTGGTCCCAACACTCACTTAAACTATGATCTCAAGATCATTCTGTGTTATGATTGGACTTCTCATCTCTAGAACAAAGCTAGTAATAGCATCTAACAGGCCCCATGATAGGAAGAATTAATTTATATCTTATAAAAAGCACTTACTGCACTATCTCATATCTAATAGGTGTTCAGTAAGTATAAAGCATAATTACTTTGTTTATATATATAAATTCTCAGACATACACATAGAACATTTTTATTTTTTAAAATTACACAATATAGGAATGCATTACACTTTTTTTAAAAATTAGACTATCATCAAAAAGTTAATAAAAACTTTATCAGACTACATGTCATGTACATGAACAGATGGAATAGAAAATAATTTTACTGTTGAAGTAGGTTTTCTTTAAGCTGTCCTGTGCTTCATTTCTGAAGAGGGTCTCATGATACCCATAAAATGCACATCTTGAGACTACAGACATGGCCTATTTTATCTAAGTAGATAGTTGGAGATTTGTGCTCATTTCAAAATGCTTTTAAAAAATGCTTCCAACTTCCTACCTTTTCTGTGCTTGTACTTGAAGTGCTCTGGGCCACACTGAAGTGGACTTAGTATTATTTTTTCTGCTTTGGGCTATCATCACATGGGGTGGGTCACCAGCTGTAGAAAACCAGCATGCACCCCAGCTGTGCCCTGTCTGTGCTTTAGGGAACCCAGACAATACTGTGAAGGGTACATTGGCCTAGTTAGCCTGTAAGACTTAGCCATCCAGATAACTGCTCAAATCTGCTATGCTTTAAACTGTGATTGCATTTTCTTTTACTCATGAATTTGAAGTAATGTTAAAACAGAGGTAATCAAGAGACTTTGAAAAGCTGGAGTTACAGTTTTGAGGTGTGTTAGACACAGAGAACTTTTATCATTGGTTTGTATAAACTGCTTGTCTAATGTGCAAAGTGCTCAGTGTCTCAGCTAAGGATCCTAGATGTTAATGAATATCTAAGAAGCCCTTCCATGTATGCCCTGAAAAGCCGCAGCCACATTGTGGTGCCACTCCTCAGATGGTGTGGCACCACCATCTAGAACAGAGTGAAGGGAACACCTTGCTGCTGGGGAGTTAGGCTCATCCAAAGACCCTGTGGAGCTACTATAGGCCTTAAGGAGGATAACAAACAGGGGAGAGCTTCCTGTGTCAAGAGCAACAGTGTCAGAAAATAAAAAAAACCCAAATGAAGAAAAATGGAAGTAAGTCCAGAGAGTATGGGAAAAGTCTTCCAGCTGGATACCAGTGACTCACACCTGTAACCCTAGCTTCTCAGAAGGCAGAGATCAGGAGGATCAAGTTCCAATCCAGCCTGGGCTAACAGTTCACAAGACCCTATCTTAAAAATACCTAACACAAAAGGGCTGAAGAAGTGGTTCAAGCGGTAGAGTGTCTGCCTAACAAGCATGAAGCCCTGAGTTCAAACTCCAGTACCACTAAAAAAAAAAAAAAAAAAACACTTTCAGTTTTAAGAAGACATACTGACTTCCTGCCTCTACTTCCCCAAATCCCTGGAGAATACTTAGACATATACAAAAGAAAGAGGGCTGGTATGAGAAAAAGGAGTGGGAGGAGGAGGAAGAAGGCATATCTTACAACAGAGCAGCACACCAGCTGGTAAGATGAAGACACAATATTTTGGAGTGTTTTGGCCAGTCAGTGAATAGAACCATTTGGGACAAAGGTCCTTTTTCCAGGACTCCTCTAGATCCTGTTGTTGAATGTGGTGTGATGTCTAGAGCTCTGGTGGCCATCCTGAAACCTCAAGACATCTTGACATGCTTGAGACAAATGAGCAGCTTAGGATGGATGAATGGAAAAGCCCTGGCAGCATCATAAGCTGCTGACCCTATCCTGGGCTGTGTGTTTCTGCACTTTTTTTTAATGGGAAACAGTTTTTCTGTCACACCCAAACAATCCTAACTGATATTTAAGAGGATCTCTATTCACAAGAAACCTACAAAGAACCAAGTATCCTAGGAATAAATAAGAATTAGTTCAAAACTAGGTGAATGGGCAGGAGGCATGGCTCAAGTGTGGTAGAGTGCCTGCTTAGTAAGACTGAAGCCCTGAGCTCAAACCTCAGTACTGCAAAAAACCAACAAAAATCAAGATGAAGAAAGCTATAAACCTTTACTAAAGAATCTCAAGAAAACTTTTGCATGTGTTGTGCATGTGTGCAGTACTGGGGATTGAACCCAGGGCCTCAGAAATGCCCTGGGTACTCTACCACTTAGCCATACCCCCAGCCTCAATTAAGAGTATCAAAGAGTTTCAGGAAGAAATGTCATTTTTCTAAATATTACTAAAAAAAAAAAATTCTCCCTAAATCAAAGATTTTTTTTTTTTTGGTGGTGGTGGTGTTACTGGGGTTTGAACTTAGGACCTCATGCTTGCTAGGCAGGTGCTCTACCACTTGAGCCACTCTGACAGCCCTTTTTTGGGGGTTGGGTATTTTTCAAAATAGGATCTCCCAAACTATTTGCCTGGGCTGACTTCAAACTGCGATGCTCCTGATCTCTGCCTCCTGAGTAGCTAGGCTTACGGGCGTGAGCCACTGGTTATTTTTCTGAATGGACTCTCATGTTTTCTTGTCCTGGCTGGCCTGGACCATGATCCTCCTATCTATGCCTCCTGAGCAGTTGGGTGACTAGTGCATGCTACCATACCTAGCTTTATTGGCTGAGATGGAGTCTTGCTAATTTTTTACCCTGACTGGCCTTGAACCTAAATCCTCCTGATCTCTGCCTCTGGAGTAACTGGGATTATAGGCATAAGCCACCATGGCCAGCCTCAAAAAGATTTCTTAAATTGAAAAGCTAATTTTAAAGATAATCTGGAAGAAAATACAGGAGAATAGCTCAGAAAGTAAACTAAAAAAAATGTGTAGTGTCATTTTACTCAAGAATGTACATGTACATACACTCTACCTAACAACACCTACAGGAAAATATTCATACCACACTGCACCTGCATGATCTCAATTCTCCCAGTGACCACAGGGGATGGAAAAAAGAACCCAAGCAGTGAGAACCAGGGCATGTAAAACTGGGTTAAACAATACACTCCTCTGGGTAAACTTTGAAAACAGTACACTAAGTGAAAGAAGTCAGTCACAAAAGAGCACATACTATATGATTCCGTGCACATGAAATCTCCAGAAAGAGAAAAACAATGAAGCATTAAGATTTCAGATGACACAATGTTCTGAAATTAGTGATGGTCATATAACTCTTTAAATGTACTAAAATCCACTGATGTGTACACATTAACCGAGTGATATCTATTGTATATGAATTATATTGCAATAAAACTATAAAAATACAATGGGAGCATGATCCTTAACCTTCAATATTTCTCTTGGGGATGGAACAAGTCAGTATTTGTCACTACAGGATTCTTATTAATGAGTTACATCTATTGTAGCTTTTCTATGTCTATGACAACATAAGTTAAGGACCAGGAGACAAAAATCTGCAACCGCCACAGTGATCCCCATCTCACCGGAGCTAGAGAAATGCTCTTGCCCTGTGGAAGTCAGCTCTGTGGAGGAGGTAGCGGCTGTAGGGAAGAGGTCTGATGTCGATGTCGATGGCTGTGGTTCCTCCAAGCACGCCTGAGCAGCGGGCAATGATGGTGGGACCTGGGAGTCGTCACCCCGCCCTGGACCTGAGATATCTTTGGTCACATGGAACACATTTTCTTTATTGGCTTCTGTAAGCACAAAAAGAGCAGAGGGAGCATATGCTTAGGGCTCAGGAAGACACTGAAGGAGCTGGTCCTAGAACTCAACAACCCTTCATACACATTTATGCCTTTGCCATAAACTCACTTACCAAAGGATTCTTGATTCATGCCTTGCTTTTCACTTAAAGATTCGTAGAGGTATGCTACATCTAAAAGGAAATGAATCAAATCAGAAAATGGTGGCCATGTAGAAAGCAAGACCGTCTCTGTATTCCTCCAGTCTGTTGATTATCTTCACTTATCATCTGGTAACAACTTTCACCAGTTTAAGAGATTACAATATAAGTGACACACAGTATCTTTATAAACCTAAAACTAAGCAAGGCATTATGGGGGAAAATGGCCTCAGGAGACAGATTAAGGTGAAGGATCATCCCTCTCTTATAATTGCCACGGAAAGGAACAGATACAAGATCCATCTGTGTGGCAAAGGGACTGATTTTATGTTGAAGATGAACTAAAGAATATTTGCCTCCCTTTCCTCTTCCTTACCTTACCAAGGAAGACCTTATGATTGTCTTCAAACATTTCAAAGGACTCCCCTAACTGCTCTTGTCCTATGTGGTTCTTCCACAAACACAGTCCAGTTTAACCTTTCCTGCCTCTTATAAAGTTTCCAAAAGCAGAATCACCTGGGCTTTATTCCCACAACTCCAATTATTCTACTGTAAAACCCACCTCACCCCACCTCATTCATTCCTCTCTGATTGCCATTTTGAGATGCGCTGATCACAACCATGGTGGCATTTTTTGAAGAAATGCTCTATATGCCGTCAGTACTGGTTCTTCAATTGCCTACACAATAATCTACAAAAGCACGGAGATCAGGGTTGGGAATGTAGCAGATCCTAACTTTCCTACAGGAAATATCTGTTTCAAAAATATTCTGTCTGGGCTGGTGGAGTGGCTCAAGTGGTAAAAGCACCTGCCTAGCAAGCATGAGGCCCTGAGTTCAAATCTCAGTGCCATCCCCCCAAAAAATTCATACATTAAAAAAATATATTCTGAGGATGTTTCCCAGCCTCAGGGACTTTCCCTCAGTGCAGCTCCAGGGCATGTGTCTAAACCCAGTAAGTTTTCCTCTCTTACTGTGCTCCGGCTCATTCTTCCTGTACACCAAATAGATGACATCCCCAGTCTGTAAAGGGCAAGTTTGTTTCTTAACAACTTTCAGCTTGTTGATTACTGTTCCATTGGTGCTGTGAAGAAAACAAAAGTACAAATTATCCTACTCAAAATAGCTAGGGCTAATTTTTTTCCTACCATCATCAGGAAATTTGCTCAATATTACCATTTTGAAATAGTCACAGAAATGATGTAACTATTTAACAATGCACATATGCAAGTGTGCCCTTGAGAAGAAATTGCCTGTTACTCCCTTCCTGGCATCCTAACTAGCAACCTAATCATCTTATCAAGTGTTTTAATATTTCTGTTGTTCCAATGCAGGTCCTCCTAGTGGAATCCAGTACCTCAGCAGCAGTACTGTGACTTCATTTCCAGCCTCTTCTCAGCTGTACTTAACGCCAACCACAGTTCTGCCTTCCAACAACAGTCATGACTCTAGTCAGTGCATTCTTCAAGTAAGTACTGATACCTCCCAAGAGGTGGGTCTGGGCAGAAGCAATATAAATCATGGGTAGTCGACTAGAAGATGACACTGCCTTTGTGCTCAGAATGTGTGATCTAGCTCAGCACTAACCACACTGCTGAATGGGGTGGCCCATGGAACTTGTCCCAAACTCAGGGTTGGTGGGGTGTGGACTTCTGGGTGGAGACCTGATGGAAAACCAGGGGTTAGTTACATGATGGGCAAAGAGAACAGTACGGTGAACACATAAAATTTAGCAACTAAACCACCATAGGTCTTAGCTCTACAGCTTCACTCCTGAAGCCAACAGGTGGAGGGAATTTTCAGAGTCGGACTTGTACCATAGTTTACTGAGGTCAGAGAATGGCATATCTTTTCTGTAAAGTCCAAGACAGAAAATAGTTTGAATTTTGTAGTCATAAAAACTTTCGTCTAACCACTCAGTTCCGCCACTGTGGTGTGAGAACAGCCAAGGACAGGACATAAACAAGTGGTCATGGTATAGTCACAATTTGCTGGCCCCAACCATCACAATATTGCCTGAACCTCTGTTGCCAGGCTTCTCCTCATTGTTCATTTTCACACTCTTCCTAAACAAAAATCGGATTATTTCACTCCTCTGCTTGAACCCCAGCAATGACTTCCCACTGCTCTTAAGGCTGAAACACAAACACCATGGAATGGTTTTCCATTCACCATATGCCCTGACTACACGTCCTTGTGCCTCTGTACACATGCAGTGCCTTCTGGCTGGACTACCACCTTCCCTCCAGATACCTCTGCCCAGGAAGGTGCACTTCTGGCAGGGAACAGATCCTCCTGTCTCCAGAAGGAACCAAGCCTGCCAAGATATTTTAGCCCAGCGAGACAACCCATGCTGGACTTTGGGTCTCCACAACTATAATAAATTTTGGGGGGAGAGGGACTGAGGATTAAAGCTAAGGCCTCACATATGCTAGGCAAGCACTCTACCTTCTAAGCCATGCTCCAGCCCTTTTGTTTGTACTTTGTTTCTGAAACAGAGTCTGAGCTAACTTTCTCTGGGCTGGCCTTGAACTCAAAATATTCCTGCCCCCGCCTGCAGAGTAGCTGGGATTACAGACAAGTACCACCATGCTTGGCTAAATCTGTTTGTTTTAAATCACAAAGTTTATAGTAATTTTTTTTTACAACAGTCACAAGAAACTAATACTGTCATACAATCAATCTAGTGAAGTCTGGCCCTGACCCAGGCAGGATGGCTTTAGAACTGTCACTGGTTTCTACTTGTGCTAAGAAATAAAGAATCTGCTCTGCTACATATTAGAATAGGAAAAGAAGCACCAATTCTTCCCAGTAAACCCACTTTCCAGTTTCTATCCATGAAACTGTTGTTACCATAGTGCCTGATCACTATAAAAACAAAAAGCCTCATAAAGTGGGAAAGGCACACCTCAGTGTATTACCAGAATGCTACCTATGCCAGCTTTAAAACAGGCATTCTGAAACAGCACTGCCTTCTGAAAAAAAATCACATATGAATGTAGTGTTTGGAGAAGAGGCACTACAGTATCATTTATTCTAAAAAAAAAAAAAAAAGTCAGAGTAAGAACTGTCTACCAGTAAAGGAAATGACAAGCAAATTATCATGAATAATAATGCAATGCCAATGAAATACTCACAAAAGTTGCATGTGGTGACAGGCATGGTGGCTCACACCTGTAATCACAGCACTTGAGAGGTAGAGACAGGAGGTTCACAAGTTTTGAAGCCAACCTGGGCTACATAGAGAGTTCAAGACCAGCCTGGACTACATAGTGAGATCTCAACTCACAAAATGAAATAGTAAGAACAAAAGCTGCAAGTGGAAGCCCAGAGTTCATGATAGTAACTGTCACATAATCTCACTCAGGCAAAATAATACACTCAGTCATGAATTCTTTTGTGTGTGAGGTAGTACTGGGGTTTGAACTCAGGGCCTCATGCTTGCTAGACAGGTACTCTACCACTTAAGCCACTCTGACAGTCCTTTTTTGTGTTGGGTATTTTTGAGATAGGGTCTTGCAAATTACTTGTCCAAGCTGGCTTCAAACTTTGATCCTCCTGATCTCTGCCTCCTGAGTAGCTAGAATTATAGGCATGAGCCACCAGCACCCAGCTAGGCATGAATTTTTAATGTGTTAGGTGAGGTTTTGGCAGACTTTCCACTTCTTAAAAGTTTTTTTTGTGGTGCTGGGGATTGAACCCCAGAACCTTACATATACAGGCAATCATTCTACCATTGAGCTACATCTCCAGCCCAGCTTTCCACTTTGTATGTATTAATTAATATATGATTTTATTAATTAAGAAAAGATTGTTTGGGCCAGTCATAGTGGTACACACCAGTAATCCCAGCACTCAGGAAGCTGAGGCAGGAGGATCCTAAATTCAAGGCCAGCCTGGGCTACATAGCAAGTTCTCATCTCAAAAAAAAAAAAAGAAAGAAAGAAAAGGACTAGAGGTGTGGCTCATGCCTTTTATCCTAGCTACTCAGGAGGCAGAGATCAGGAGGATCTTGGTACAAAGCTAGCCTGGGTAAATAGTTTGTGAGACCCTATCTCGAAAAAACCCATCACAAAAAGGGTTAGTGGAATGGCTCAAGGTATAGGCCCTGAGTTCAAACCCCAGCACCACAAAAAAAAAAAAAAAATCCTGAGTTCAAACCCCTGTAACACAAAAATAAGGAAGGCTACTGAAGTTATATACGAATATGAAAACTAATTTTTTAAAAAAGATTTTTTGATATGGGAAAAAGTCAAAATTGAATAGATTTTTAAGAATCAAAAAATCTATCATCAAAAAGGGCTGGTGGAGAGGCTCAAATGGTAGAGTGCCTACCTAGCAAGTATGAGGCCCTGAGTTCAAATCTATCAATGTCTTTTAAGTCTTATTTCTCAGCCATATTTGATTTAATTTGAATAGGAGCCACAGGCACCCAAAGCATCTCCCAGGATCCCATGCTGGAAACCAGAGAATGCATCCTGATGTCTTGGGAACCCAAGTACCATGTGAAAGAAAGCAAGCTGCTGCTAACTCACTGAAACAGCACTGTCAGCTTCCCAAGCTACAAGAGGAAACAGAAAACAAATTCAGAAAGCACTCACCTGGTGTCCTCCAGTGTTACCTGACCAGACTTTTCATCTAGTAGGATTTTACAGTGGTCTCCAGAGACCAGTTTATTGTTGGGGAATGAGAGGTCACAACCTAAAAGAGAGAGGACAAGAGGGCACTGGATATGATTATGTGTTCTATAAATACTACTGACATTGCTTTATCAAAGTGTGCAACCCACTGCATACACTTACTGAAACAGTATTTGGGTTCTAAAGTATTAACCCAAAGTGAAAGAGCAGGGGCTGTGTTTACAACCTTTTTGAACCTAGCCACCTGGAAGATACCCCATCACACCAACAGCTTCTTCATGATAATTTATGACATGCATACATGCACATCTAGCCAGATAAATGTCACCTGAACTTAAAAAAAAAAAACTGGGCTGGTGGAGTGGCTTAAGTGGTAGAATGCCTGCAAGCCTACAGCCCTGAGTTCAAACCCCAGTACCACCAAAAATAAATAAATAAAAGAAAAACCCTACAGGGCTTAATTAACCTTCAGTAAAAAAAGATTTCACAAGCTTTTAAATATGTAATCACTAGTTACTATTGCTTATGATAATAGTCGATGGTAATACATAAAGATAGTATAAAGATTCTTTTGAGATACGGTCTTGCTAACTTGCCCAGCCTGGCCTCAAACTTTCAATTCTCCTGCCTCAGTCTGCCAAGTGCTGGCATTACAGGCATATGATAGTGTGTCCAGCTTTTTTTTTTTTTTTTTTTTTGAGACAGGGTCTCCTTATATAGCCCAGGCTGGCTTTGAACTCTTAATCCTCTGCGTTCGCCTCCCAAATCCCAAATATTACAAGTGTGAGCCACCACATCAGCCTTCAAATTTACTTCTTAAAAATGTTTCACGTGACTAGAGCATGATAATCTCACTTGTAATCACAGCACTTGGGAGGCAGAGGTAGCAGGACTGAGAGTTCCAGGCCAGACTGGGCTACATTAGCAAAACCCTATCTCAAAAAAGAAAAAAAAAAAAAGTCCCACATGAAACCACAAGCTTATCCTGATTTCATCTGAACCTCATCTCATCACTGACCTATAGCTCAAAGACTCAGTATTGTTTTTTTGTTTTTTGGTGGTCCTGGGATTTGAACTCAGGGCCTCATGCTTGCTAGGCAGGCGTTCTACAGCTTCAGCCACTCCGCCAGCCCTCAATATTGGTCTCTCCCCCTCACTGGGCCATAATGTTTTATTGGCAGGCCGGGGAAGAGCGAGTGGTGAGGTTCCCTCCCTTCTGCCTCTACCCAGGGGAATCCCTAGGCAGGAGGGCAGGAATCCAAGAGCCTGATGATCCAGAGGGCCTTGGGTGTGGGCAAGTTGTTGTAATTGGTGTTCTGGCCCTTGAGCAGGGTGTAGTAGGTAGCAATCTCCCACTCCAGTCACTACTTGATGTCCATGAGCTGCTGGCACTCCTGGTTCTGCTGCTCAGTGTCAGCACACTTTAGTGTCAGCATACACGTTGCCCAGCTGGGCTTACATGCTGCTCATTGGTGCCTGGATATGTACCAGCTGGGCTCCATGACAGGTCTCCACCTGCCACCAGGCTTCTGGGCAGCTTTCATGCTGAGCTGCAACTGCAGCTTCATCTCAAGACCCTGGAGTGTACACTGCAGGTTAGTGACATCAGACTTGCTCATCTGGAGTTGCTCCCCATGCTAAGCAACCTCTCAGTTCACCCCCTTGGTCTGGCTGATGAACCAATTGGGCATCCTTCCAGTTATTCTCTGCCATGACCTCATACTAGCTTCTTGTGTCACTTGAGATCTTGGCTAGGTTGATGCCCAGATCACAGTGTACCTCCACACTGACCTGGCCCGCAGGGCACTGATTTCTGTTTTGTTCTTCTTCAGGTTGACTATCCATCTCCTCCTCCAGGCCTTCACTCTGCGTTTCCATGTTGGTGCTGGCCAGGCCACTGATGTCAGCCTTGATGCTCAGATGCAGGGCCTGCTCTATTCCATCTTAAAATTGTTTCAGAAGTCATATGCAGTAAGACAGGAGTTGTTGACCTGCAGGACAAGCCTGAAATTCTTGATGGTGGCACCAAGAATCTTGTCCCATAGGTCCTTGATGGGCTTGAAATATTTGTTGTAGTTACAGGAGGGTCCAGGCCACTGCTTAGGGTACCAGCTTCAGATCTTTACCAGTCTGCTTCTGAACATACACCTTGTCCAGGTAGGAGGCCAGACAGTCACTGAGATTCTGCATGGTGACATTATCATTGCCCATCAACTGCTTGTTGGACCTGGCTAAAGTGTCCATGTAGACACTGCCACCACAGCCAGGACATAAAGAGGACAAGGACAATGAGGACATGAAGAGGTGGAGGACACAGACATGCCTCAGTCCACCTAAGCCAACATAGATGTTGGGTTTGTGGAAGGCACAGCTAGCCTCAAACCACATGGAGCTGCCACCCAGGCCCCTGAAGGAGGAGATGGTCGACGACTAGTGACAATTAAAGGAAGTCAAGGCAAGGAGGAGGATGTGAGCAACACTGGCCTGAGTTGCTGTGGATAGCAGAAGGAGTCAGAAGACTCAATGTTGTTAAGATGCTCTCCTGAATTGTATCACAGATTTGATGCAATTCTAGTCAAAATTTCAGCTTGCAGAAATTGACCAGTGTATTCAGTGTATTCAAGTTCACAGAGAAAATTTTAGAAAATCAAGAGCAATTTGAAAAAAACACAAAGTTGGAAGACTCATATTACTTGACCCACTCAATATCAACAGTAATCAAGACAGCATTGTATTGGTGTAAGGAAAGTCAGTCATAGAGAAATGTAAAACCTAAAAGTATGGGACTTTCCTGTACCACAGGAAAAAAATCTTAGTAATGCCAAGTTTGTCACAGATTTCTTAAACACAGTCTAGAAAGAAACACACTGATAAATGGAGTTCCATGCAGGTAAATATCTGTTTTTCAGAAGACAATGGCAAGAAGATAAAAGGACACACCACAGTCAGAGTGGAAATATTTGTAAAACACACATCTGATAGAGGTCTTGCAACCAGAATTTACAGACAACACCAAAAACCCAATAATAAGGCCAACAATGCAATTTTAATAGATTTAACCACTTTATAAAAGCAATGTGGATAGCTAATAAGCACATAAAAAGATGGTCAGCATCATTTGTCTATAAAAGAAATGAAAAAACCCTGAAATATCACTGTAAACCACATAAGAGCTCACTGAAATTTAAGGCTGACCACACTCAGTGCTGCCAAGCAGGATGTGGAAAAACTGGAATTCTCATACACCCCTAGTGGGAATACGAAATAGTATAACCACTTTGGAGAACAGTTTGGCAACTTCTTATCAAGTTAAATATACACTTACTACATGACCAAATAATCCCACCTATAGGTATTTAGCTAAGAGAAATAAACATGTAT